AGTGATTGCCGGGAGATCGTGCGCTAAGCGGGCGAACTTGTCCGAACTTGAGTGCGAGGTCCTCAACAAATTTGCATGTCAAGAGTTTGGTCGGGCACAGTCGTTGCCTCACGAACCATTGCACTGGATCCTTGAACAGCTGGAGCAGCGTCCTGATTGCGTACTGCTGGCAACTAGCTGGAACATCCCACCAGGTCTCTTCACATTCTTGGTCTTAATTTCGAACTTTTCTGAGAAAAAGCTCTCCGAACGAACCCAAACCCTCGTGACATCGTCTGATAACCACCTAGCTGCGGACGTGATCACTCACACCTTGAACGAAAACCCATGACACTTTTCCTTCCACGAATCATCGCAAAGAACAGGTCCTCCCCTTTTGGAAGCGACCGCACATTTAAGCCCTGCCTGAGGACAGGCGTGGCTTCCTTTTCCAGAATCTGTTCATCACACAGCCGCAGGCCTCCTTTTTCAGCTTTAAATCCTCTATACTCACCTTCTCCTCCATCATCAACACCATCTCTCGGACATATTCTTCCAGCATTCTTTCTGGACACAGTCTTATCCTGATAACATCCTTCCCGAACTCATCTCGCCGCCTCTTATCCAGCACATATGGTGAACCAAGCAGCCCCCTTGCCTGGAACTCGGAAAGCCCCAGTGCAAGCCTCGACCAGAGCCCTCATGCGTGAACCACCGGTTCTCGTAGATCCCTATCTCGCCGAACGCATCCAGTCTAGGCTTCACCTTGCCAGGTCCGTTGTTGGCAAACGCTCGATTCCAAAATGCAACAAGAACAATCTTTGGGTGCGGTAGAACTGACAAAAGTGATGGTCAACAGAGATATGTATAGGATGATGATCAAGCAGCAGCCAAGCGAAGGCCAAGTGCTTGCTCCTCAAAAACGTGCCAGCGGTAAGTGACACTGCGACTCATGTCGACACAGGCACTAACCCTCATCTCAGCCAAGAAGCCACAGAATGACAAGGTCTCCCTCGATCCTCCCATAGTGATCGAGCTTCTAGTTATCGACGATGATCCCACTAGATCCTGGCTTCACAGTCCATACTTGTTCTGCACGGCTGAGCTGGTGAGAGTTGACGACAAGCCCAACAGGTCTGACACGCTTTCTGGAACGTTGACATCTTCGCTCCACGTGGTGAAAATGAATGACGGAAAAGGTGTGTTTTCCTGACTTGCATTGCCTTTGGCCTTCGCTAACAGATTTGCGGCCCACGGCTTCTTTGTTTTTGGCGATCTTGTCCCAACCTGCGCAGGGAAATTCTTCCTTCGATTCACGCTGTTCGAAATGCGTCGCAGGTACGATGAATAAGATGTGCGATATTGTCATCGCTGCTGACCAGTCAAGAAGCCAAGATGCCATGTTTGCGGAAATGCTCAACTCCGTCTCTGGTGCGACCTTTGAAGGTGAGCGATACTGAAGCGGCATTCGTCACTGGGAAGATACTCACAAGCTATCAGTCTATGCCCGCAACAAATTTTCCCCTCTGCCTCAGTCTACCGACTTGACGAGAGCGTTGAGTGAGGGTGGTGTGAAGGTCAGAGTTCGAAAGGAGCCAACGTATGTGTCCCCTGCCAAAGATTTGGCACATGTTCTCTTGTCAGATCGAAGCTAACATACCACCAGGCGTCGATTGCAAAGAAACAAAACCAACTGGGGGTTCCAAGGATACTTGGGCGGGTATGGTCAGGCCGTACCAGCTTCCGTGTATGGACAACCACAACCGTATCTGCATCATGGCCTGCAATGGAGTCAGCATGGGAATGCGACTTATAACACGAACAACGCCGTTGACATCAGAGATCGCATAAGTGTTCAACATCATGTTTCGGCGCCGCAATGGAACAGTGGCGTGCACCAACACGCTGCAGTGCCCATGGGCCCTCCCATACCACCGCAGCCGCAGCCGCAGCAGCAACCACAATCTCAGCCTCAACCTCTGCATCGACTTGAACACGGGGCTTTCTTCCACGACATGCGACAGCAACCAGTGAACCAGTTACTCCCACATCCGCAAGCCCCGTTAGGCCCACTGCTGTTGCACGAGACACAACACGCGCTCATGCTCCCGCCACCGGTACCGTCGCCTCAGAACCAGCAGCAGCCCTCTTTCTCGCCGCTGCCACAGATTTTGGGACAAGATTTCCCCCCTCTTCACCCGGCAGGGTACACTGCGAGAGATGACGGGCAGAGCCAGTTGGAGTATTCCACTGCAGTGGAAAACCAGAACTTCTATGCCACCTCCGATAATCCAATGCCCCAGTTCACCGTGGCGGGTGATCAGGTTGCTTATACGTCTTCTGCGGGCGCGCAATTGATGTATTCCACAGCCCTTGAAGACCAGATGGTTCCCACAACGTCGCCGGGAACCAACTCAACGCGGGCAGCATCCTCGAGCAGTGTGGACCAACAACAATATCAGCAAAGTGTTCCGCATGTTCCGGGCACATATCATGACCCAGGCTTTGACAATTTGCACGATACGTATGACCCAAGCTCTTCACTCGGAGGGTTCCTCTAGGGGCTGCATCATCTTCTGAGAGCTGAACTTGACGGGTGGGATGTGGGCTGCAAAATTCCTTGAGAGCGGATGTGGTAGTATGAATTGAAATGCTCCCTCAGCCTCCGAGGGACAGAAATATACGAAGCCCAAGCTATGGGTTGTTTTGTTTGATGCGATTGCTTTTATTCGAGTATTGGTATTTGATGGACTTGGTCAAAAGGGAAGGTCTAGGGAAAGAGGCGGGTGGGCATGGTTGTTGGGAAGGGAAGGGAAGGAAAAGTGATTTTAAACGGTAATTGTATTTGTTCTCTGTCACTCAGTCAATTGTTAAACGGCGATGTAATAGAGGGGGCTGTACTTACACAGCTAGCATATATCCAGGACTCAGTCCACCTTTCCATAATCATTCCTCGTACAGCAAGTCAAAGGAAGTCATGCAAAGAGAACGCGCAGTCAATCTCACCACATGATTGCCCACCACTCTTTTTCCACGTCGTTCGAAGTCGTTTAATTCAAAAAGAAGAAAAATGCGAGGGCCAAAGTGATCGAAAGGCACATGTTAAATACCTATCTGAAAGAGAGAAAAATGCACCGTATGGAAAACTTTTGTTGAAGAGAAGGAGGAGCATAAGGACCCTGAGCCGTTGGTGTAGTAGCGGGCTAAGGAAGCACAGGCTCCTCACACTCAGCTGACGAGCATGGGCCAGATGCACCGATGGATCCGAAAAAAGGTTCTGTCTGCGTGGTACGTATGTGCATTTATTTCCTGGTAACGAACGAGGCGTCAAAACCAAATGCCTCGTGCAGCAAACCAACAGAGGAATGACACGGGGCAATTTCGACAAGGCCCACGGTTCATCGTCAACCACATCACCACGCAAAGTCTTCTATTGCATCCACAAGACCATCCAGGACCTCTTTCTGGCATCAAATACCTCGACTTCAGGTCGGTGAATCGTTCAGGTTTTCTCTGTCACAGCCTTGTCAAAAAGCCCACGGACTTTACACTTTGAGTTCTCGAACATATGGACACATATATCGAAGCCAGTAACAGAATCCGAGAACTTTCTGATTCATGCATCCTCTCGCACATATCCGCTCGAACAGAGCGCATATGACCCATCATCATTACACAGCAGGATGCAGATCAGGGATTGCGCTGGACAAGGCTTAGCATTTGCAATACAATTGGTTCTATCCTCAATCTCTCCGAGAAGCCAGCCACGGAACGACGGAGCAGTCCACCCCTTTCCTTTGAGGGGAAAAAGTAATTCCATCCTTAGCGGCATATCCAGGGATGGAGATCGAATCCAGCCACCGAGTGGAAAGGCAAGGTCGAGACGCCGGAGACAGAGATATTCCAGCAAGTAACAGCCATCTCAGAAATTCTGAACCAATAGAGCCAAATGGTGGCATCAGACAGCCATGGAAGCATTCATTCTACTGGCTAGCTCAGATGATCTACGTCAAATTTGCTCAAACTCATATCTCGGTCGCGCTTCTACCAACTCATTGGAGACTGCGAGCTCAGCCAGGTAAGTTATATGTCCGTGGACAATGAAAAGCTGCGCTCCAGTTAAATCTCCACACGCGCGGGTTTTACTCATTCTCAAAGTCAATTATGGCTGCATGCTAACTTGGAAGCCTAGGCAGGGATCAAGCCCTCCACAAGTACCAGGCGGATAGATATGGCTTGAAACATCGACGGGAACCATTCACTGTCCAGGGACAAAGCAACGACTACGGAGACAGCGGCGGATCCTGTGGTTACATCGCCTGTTGACATTGACATGGGTCCCTATGAGAGTTGCTAAACCAATGTCAACGAGCCCTCTCGTTCAATATCTCGTCTAATACTAACCTAAGTGGCTCTTCCACAAAGCTGCTTCTTTGAATGCTCCGCTGCGGTGCCGTTGACTGTTCCCATGGCGAGTCAAACACTATCATCGTTGGTGTAAGTACATTCCCCTTTCGCGACGCTCGAGATTCATCCTGCTTAGCTGCAACATTTTCAAATACTATCTACGGAGACGTCTCGGCGACACCAACGCGGATGCTGTGGCAAGGCAATCCAATACCCTCCCTCTTCGAAGAGACGATCAGCCCTAGACGCAACTGGTTCAGCATGTGCATATACTTCTGGTTCGCACCTTAGGGTTGCGCCAGGCCGACGACACCATGCTTCAGTGCATGGTTGTGCTAGGAAAAAAAAAGATATTTGCTTTTCCCAACGCTCGCCATTGTGGCAAGCCCACATGTCGGCATCTATGACTCATTGAGTCGTCCATGGCCTCGGGGATGCAGCAATGTTCAGGTCTCTCGTCTTACAGAACATTCACAGCTATGGGCAGGACATCTGCATGCTGCTCATCTGCGTCAAAAACGATGGTGTTTTTGTTTGACTTGGTAGAGGGTTGATAAGCTGCGCCTTTCATTCTTACTGACCACAAGACAATAAATAGCTTGATGAGCGACGCCGTGGATAATGCTAAGGCTGGAATATCGCCTTCAGGATCTCTTCATCGATGCAGTCTTCCTTCCAGCTGGGCCCTTCCTTTCTCCATGACAACCAGCTCTTCGCCATCGCTCCATCCTGACTTCTCAGGACGCCTACTGAGACATCTACGACTTCTGGTCGTTTGTTGTGCCAATAGAATACGGTTGCACCACATCTCCCACAGAAGCTCCTGCAAGTATCCGTGCTGGACCAGATATGTCTCAAAGTGGTCGCCCCATTTGAGCCTTCCTGGTCGCCCTCCGCACCAAACTTCACCGTTGTCCCGGTGTCGGCAAGGAATATGTTGGCCGGGGGAATGAACACCCACGGCTGGAAAGAGACTCCAATGGCCAACCTGCATGAACGACAGGCACAAAGGCCCGCGACATACTTGTTCTTCTGCTCGGGGATATACCTCTGCGGCAAATTCAACGACTCGAAGTCAGGACGAGTTATTCGGACGTTGACTCCTCCACAGTGACATTTGGCCTCCAAGGAGTCGTTCTCAGCCCCCGGTGCTCGCTGAGCAAGCAGAGACATTTCCCGCAACTCGAGCTCGTTCACTTGTCTGCTGGTATACGGACGCTTCTCCCAACATTCGATCTTCCGCTTACCCAGCTTGATCATTTTCGCTGCCAGAGCACCATCTCCTGTGTCGGTGACGAAGATGTGGTGTGTGGCTCGAGTGGTGTTCTTCGGGCCAGAGTCACTCCCTGACTGCTCCAGCACGCCGCCCATGACCCACCATCTCCTCCCCTCGCCTCCAGTCTCTTGTACAAACATGTGCGACCCGCATTTACCGCAAAACCATCTGCGACGGGTGCCCGAGCTGTCGTAGTGGACGCCGCGTTCCACAACGTCCTGAGGGGGAGCCTCTGGTAGCTGCGGAGACGACAGATACAGGGCCCCCGTCACGTATCGGCAATCGGAGCAGTGACACAGATCGCTATCCATCGGCAGCCGTTGATCCGCCGGAAGAGCGTACGAGATCGCTCCGCACAGGCACGTCGCTGTGATGCGCGGTTGACCACCTTCAGTCGTCGGTGCCATTGCCATATGTATAGAGCTTGGTAGGACAGAGATCAGTGTGATCTTTTGCTTTGTGTGGGATTTGAACCTCCATGATGACATTGGCAGCAGCGCGCCTTATGGCATTCCTTCTCGGCCCCCACCCCAGGTAACCGATGCTAGCCTCGCCTGGGGGCGTATATCCACATCGCCACACCGCGTAACTCGGAGCCGGGTGGTGAGCGGGACAAGGCTGAGACCCCTAAAGTTGGAGAAGCAGCCGCCAAATGCCAGGACGCTACATTATGTATGCACATTCTTCTCGTCAGCTCTGTCCGTAGGACCCGTGAGTTCAAGCTCAAGCCCTCCTGCGGAAATATCGATCGCTTTCCCTGATGCCTCAAGCATATTAAGGTAGGTGGTATACACCATGATGCAGCGAAAGGGCTCCATTCCTTGTGGTGATATGAATCAGGCACTGTCTTCCGTGAACAATGAGCAACATCCTCGCCGTCTACCTCCATTCTCTCGCCCTTTGGACCAGCTGCTAGCAGTATGTCTGCCTTGGCGGCCAGAAATCAACATGTCCAGGGAAGTAAGCCGAATTACGACTGAATAGTCCCTGCTAGGTAGTCTGTCACTTCACCATAAATCCCTTGGCGACGCCACAATTGTTATCCTATACAAAATATTTGAATTCTACCTGCGCGACACCTTTCCTCTTTTCGCGGGACCAAATCACAAGCAACTGCTCTTCTTGATCAGAGATGAATCCTTGTGATGGTGTAAGTCAATCTGATGTGGCATGACCGCCGATGTTCAAACGACTGACGATGAGAACAGGGTAGACACCACCGCGGTCTCCCTCCTCCTGACCCTCCTGGGTCATCTTCCATTCGATCGACTGAGGCTTTGGTCCTGCCAAAGCTGATGTCTTCTTCTCTCCCATCCCAGGGAGCTCTGGTCCTGCCAGAGCGACCAATGGGCACCAACCCGAGCGGGTTTTCAATAACATACACTAGATCTTCTGATGCTGACTCACAGCCATCAACAAAGCGACTTACGAGCAGTACCCTTCCGAGCTGAACTTCCAGTGGCATGGGGGAATCTTCCCTGTCCGAGCAGGTCGATGCTTTGAAACGGCAACTCGACGGACGCGACTGGCAAGGTTCCCGCCAGGTTGCCGAACAGCTAGGGTTGGCAGGTAGGAGAATGGCATGTCAACTTGAGATTGCAAGCATCGATTTCCGGACAGCCGGCAACAAAATTGCGACACTTGAGATGGAAATCGCGGAATTCAAGAGAAAGATTGGAGAGCTTGAGCAGAGAAATCCACAGCCAGCCACTGAAAATCTCAGATCCGAGATCGAGCGGCTGAACAGTGTACTCCAGGAAAACTCAGGAGAGAACATAATACTCAAGAGTGAGAATGAGGAGCTCAAGAGAAATCCACGCCTCGCCACCAAGGATCTGAGACCTGAGGCTGAGTGAATGAAACACAAACTGGAGGAGAACGACCGAAAGTGGTGCGCAAAGCTACAGGGAAAAGACGATGACGATGAGCCGGAAGAAGCCGTTTCCTCTGAGGATACCTCCCCGTATACTTCGCCACGGAATCACAAGCCTATCATGGTACGCGAAGAACCCGAGGCCGATGCCTTTTTTCCATATGCGGCGGCAATGAATGCTCCTATCCCTCAGCCTATGGAAACTGAACAGAACACTTCGCAGCCTGCTTTCAGAGACGGCAGAAATTCTCTGTTCCCCAGGGCTTGGTCGAATACCCAACGCCACAAACCATCGGCGCATCGAAACCCTCGAAATCCATTCCCGAACGCGAATCGAGGTGATTCTCCCGAGAGCCCGCCTGAAAAACCGATGCCCAAGATCGATGCCAAGGGCGGGTATAAAATCCTGGCAGAGATCCAGAGATGAGTGGAAGGACTCACGGTTAGAAGCAGAGGCCGGTGAACAAGCCGACGGGGTTTCTGAGAAATTGGCTGCCGGCGAACTGGAAGAGACTCACCGGGAGGTCAGACCTGGCTCTTTTCGAGTCCAATCAGGCTAATATGGTCTCAGAAGAGCTCAATGGACCATCTCTGGGATTGAGAGAATCTGTCAGCGACCTCTGGAAACCACGGGTATCAAAACGAATGCCAACGCCGGAATATTACCGCGAAGAACACTCGAAATGGAGACATCGAGCTCCACGAGGCAATTCCAGATCAAGAGGCCGGAAGAGGAAGTTTTCATCCTTATCGGCAGTCCCATGCAATCTCCCCGCGGCAGGCACACCTAAAGGAAATACTAGGTTCAGAATATAAGTAATACTGTGGGAGACAGTCAGACCGGGGGCGGGAAGCAATAGAGATGGTGCGGAACTGGCTGGAGTTGATGCTGAAGAGATAGCAATGGTATGAATTTCTGAACTTTAATCTACACACTGCTGGCACACGCAGTATGATCATCATCTCTCTCTCTGGATCTCAAAAGATTGTACACCAATGTACGTTCCCGTTGCCGGATGTGGCTTTACTGGAGGAACAGAGACCTGCCGTCACATATGCTCAAATCACTTGAAGCCTTTCAAGTCCTAGACGCGGTGTGTCACGGCGGACTCTAAACCTTCTCAACGTGGTGCGGGATGGATGTGACTTCCACCTCCTCCAGCTGCTGCGCGTGTTGCATCTTCTCCTCGACGACGTCCAGGTCGACGTGCGCGACCTGTGCGTCCTCCCCGTCGAAGATCTTCGCCACCTCTTCGAGCGTAACGCCACGCGTTTCGATGAACAGAAAAGCCACAAAGATGACCTCGAAAAGGAGCCAGCCCTGCAGACGGCAAAGTCAGCAAACGAGTCTCAACAATTGCATGCCTGGTCAAGAGGTGGACTTACACAGTAAATTGAGTAGAATCTCCAGCGGGGTTCGAGATGCGACAGGCCAATTGGGTTGATATACCTTCTGCAGTCAGATCCCGGAAAGCACTTCCTGGTTTCGAGACGACTCACTGGTTGAAGACGAGAGCAGCTTGGACGAAGAAGTTCATGAGCATGAGACCCTAAGGGATCACTGTCAATACTTGGACAAGGCAGGTCATCACGATGCTCTCACCTTCGCACGCAGCTTATACGGCATAATCTCGACTGTATAACCCACGAGCAGACCGGACCAGGCAATATTATAAAAGACACCGTGAAGGAAAATGAAGAAGATGACAGTCTTTCCTGCCGCGAGGTTGCCGTCGACGTCGTACAGGGCGGAGCAGGCTGTCCAGAGGACGAAAGAGACGAACATGCCTGTCACGAAGATCAGCAGGAGACATACCAGCCAGCGTCGCAGCTACTGACCCACGGTCGCCGTCAAGAACAATGGGCGTCTGCCGAATCGGTCAACGACTGCTGCGGCGATCAATCCGACAATGAGCTATGAGCAGGTCAGCAGTCGGTCTGTCTTCGAATTGAGGTCACCTACTGAGAGAATTGTCTTGGAACCATTAATCTCAAACTGCTCATTTTTGTCTGTCACACCGATACTCTTCATCACAAGGGCAAAGTAATAGCTGGTCAAACCGTTGCCACTCCATTGAGAGAAGAGACCGAGGGCGACGACAAGCAAGAGTCGATACCTGTTGCCCTTCGTCCTGAGGAAATCCAAGAAGCTGCTGGACTTTTTCGACTCAAACTCAAGGCGGAGGGTTTCCCTGATTTCACGATACTCGAATTGGACCGTGAGATCCATTTCGTTCCCGTTCGAATGATACTTCGCAAGCGTAGTCAGAGCTTCGGCATGACGATCCTTCGATATCAGCCAGCGAGGTGACTCCGGAATGATCCAAATGAAGCAAAAGAGTATGAATGTCGGGAAAGCCTGGAGGATCGAAGGGATGCGCCACGACCAGTTGTTCTTCATGCTAAATGTGCCAAAGGTAATCCACGTTGCCGCAATGGAACCAATATCCCAAAGCTGATTATAGACAGTCGTGACTCTTCCGCGATGTTGTGGGTGGCACAGCTCCGTCAGAAGCAGAGGGGCCGAGTTGGAACACATGCTGTTGCCAAATCCAACGAAGAAACGGCCGGCGATGAACATGGAAAAGTTTTGGGAGGCACTTTGGATGGCGACGCCGGCGAAAAGGAAAAAGCATCCCGCCATGATGGCGATGCGCCTGCCATAGATGTCACACAAGTAAGGCCTATCGACACGTTCAGTTGGACTGCTTGTCTCGGAAGATACCAACTTACGCAAATGGCAACCCTGCGAGACTTCCAATGCTGTAAATCGACCCGAAGAGACCGAGAATCGATCCTGTAGGATGGTGGAAGTAGTCTTGCCAGACATCGAGGATTTGGAGACCGTTTAGCATGGACCTGATGATTGTGAGCGGTCATACAGCGAACTTGGGTGCGGACCATACCCGTCATATCCTGTCGTCGCCGAGGCGAAGAATAGCGCGATGGCCATGCCATAGAGCTTCCTCAACCCAGGATCCTTGTACCAAATGACTCGTCGAAGCGCGGGAGCCTCAGCAACGGCGACCTCTCGCTCAGATTTGTGCATGGGCTGCACGGCTGCTATACCGACCATGGTGAAAGGTGTGCTTTTGTTGCTGTCTAAACTGCCTCAACGATGGAACAGAAGACAGCCCGGGTTTCCACAGGACTCTGGAGGTCCCATCCACAGAGCATATATGCCCTCCTTCACCTTGATCGAGCAAACTGCCGAGGGTCATGGTATAGAAGGGTATTAAGCTGCACCATGTGGCTCGGCTGTACCATTCGCGGAGCCTTTGTCGAATCAGGAGACCATTTACCCCATATGCCGGCGGAATGTTCATGGAGATGCAGGTACCTCAATTCAGCCTTCTTTAGGCTAATAGGAGAATGCCCTGTCCCAGGTTTCTCCCATCTCCAAAATGTCGATCTCTCCATGGAGGCCCTGTGGGATGGTCCGCTACCCCAAACTGGACCCCGGGGTCGGTGTTCGGACACGTCTCATTCGTTCGACAACCAAGCTTGTGAAAGCTTCAGGAGACCAGCAGCAGTTGCCAAGCCGCCAGCACGGAGCAGGTGATTGTCTATTCGTGGGGAATTATGGCGGAAGATATCAATCCCACCTGTTGCCCTTTTACACGGTCTGCTGGTGCAAAGCATGTGTTTTTGGGAGTCGCCCACTGGCGAGCTGCTGGGACGATATTGATCCCGATGTAGCCCCGACCGGGCGATTGTGGACTGGATTTGGAACTGGTGAGTGGCTCTAGTCCATTTCCTGACTGGGAGATTGAATTGGCGAATACAGGGTCGAAGCTCATTCATCCTATTTTGCAGTTGCTATCGGTGAGTCTCTAGAACATGAGGATAAGACTGCTATTTGCGCTCAATGACCTCCACCCAGCTCACTCGTGGGGACTCCTGGATACATTGCCTCGGAGGCTCAGCTCCTCTTGCCTGCCAAGAGCATAGTCACTGAGCCCAGATGTTCGAAGGATCCGCAACATGTGGTGTTTATTTTGCCACAAAAGCCCCGCGCCGGGTATGCCATGGCAGCGTGGGCCGGCGGAGTTGGCCCCATACCCCATATCTCACGCTGGACCGAACAGGCAAAAGAGCACAGAGTGGCATCTCATCCATGACCTCGGGTGACTGTCCGCTCGGGGTTCTAATCCTCGCAGTCGTGCTATGTATCATCTGAGGCTTGGTAATGAGCATTTCGGCTAAATACAAGCTCGTGTTATTGGTGAGAAGAGAATATGCCAAGGCTGCCAGATCCAATGCAGCGGTTTCCGCGGCATATGCTGACGAGTATTTCAGATTCAGGGAGCAGAGAATCATCGCATTTCTTCTGTTCGCATCAAAAACCAAACTTGGTAGCAGGGCGGCGTAAAGCTCAAGACCCAGAAATCTCAGGTTAGGAGACGTCACTTTCCCACAAGGCTGACTCTGTTTCGACACCAACCATGGAAGAGAGAGAGTTCAAGCATTTGACCCCCGAGCAAGTCGATTGCTTTATGAAATATGGCTATCTGCGTGTCCCAGGATGCTTCACTCGCGAAGCTGCTGAGGAATGGACAAAGGACGTCTGGGTGAGGCTCGGATTTGACCCAAAAGACCCCGACACCTGGACTACGGAAAGGACCAACATGCCCGGACACGGAGAGGTGTTGGTCAAGGATTTCGCACCCAAGGCATACGACGCCATCTGCGAGTTAGTTGGAGGGGAAGAACGCATCACCGAGGAATCCAAGTCGTGGAGAGACAGCTTCATCGTCAACCTGGGAACAAAGGAGCACGAAGGCAAGGAAGCCCACCCCAAAGAATTGACCGGCTGGCATGTGGACGGAGATTTCTTCATCCACTTCCTCGATTCGCCAGAGCAGGGACTGCTGGTTATCCCTTTGTTCACAGATATTCTACCCAACGGCGGTGGGACCTGGATTTGCTCTGAAGGAATCCCGAAGATCGGAAAGTGGCTGTACGACCATCCCAAGGGTGTCCTTCCGCGAATGTCGCCCGTTGGGGGGGTAGAGAATTTCGAAAACGGCCTGCAGTTCTACCACACAGTTGTCCAAGGCTGCGACGACGAGTCTTTTCATGAGATGACCGGTTCGGTGGGAGATGTCATCCTGCTGCATCCCCTGATGCTGCACTCGGCCTCCAAGAATGGCCGCCGCTTACCCCGGATCATCACCAATCCACCGGTGTCACTGGTGGAGCCTTTTAACTTCGATCGTGAGGACGAGAGCCAGTATAGCCTCGTCGAGCTGAAGACAATCAAGGAGCTCGGGGGACAGGACCAGTTGAGAGGATGGAAAATCCAGGGGAAGAGAGACACTGTCGTGCCAGAGCGGGTGAGACGTCAAGCCAGGATGTTGGAGGAAGAGAAGAGGAGGCTCAAGGAGCGGGAGTTGCAGAGTCAGACGCCGCAGCCCGTCGCTGTCGCATAACAACGTATTCCTTGCTGTGCAGGCTTAGAAATGTGCGGAGGGGCTTTTGAGGGGTCATTTGCAGCATCGACTTTGTCCTTGTAGCTATCAATTCAAATCATCTTCTTCGAGGCCTTCTATTTGGCGACAGGAAGTAGAACTGTTGTTCGATGGAGAAGGGCGCTCTCACTAACTGATTCCTCATTATTTAGGTGCGCTCGTAAGTAGCCTATGCTCCAATCGAGCGTGTACCTACCCAAGTATACGACAGGGGAGCTGAATTGTCCAGCCACGTCGAAAACTTCGGGTGCCTGAACAATTTAGGTCCTCCCTACAGTTCTAGTCTCCGCACAAGCTGTTGATATTCAGCTGAGCCGTCAATTCTGGTGAGTGAGCCGAGTATCACTACCTTGTTGTGGCCAGCGTCAGGCTGTTTCTCGGGTGCTGACTGCCAATTCGGGCATAGTGTCTATCAAAACGACTCGCTTATTATGTTTCGCTATGCTGGTGATATCCCCTTTCTTGGCTCGGCTGATCGGTCGACTCACGCTCTGCAAACGGCTATATCTTGTTCAATTTCTTCCAAGGCTTTCCTCGTCGTCATGATCATCCCTCGTTTTCTTGATTAGGCTTCCCCATGGCTGGCAGTGTTGCGTCAACGTTCCTGAGTCAAGGCCTTGTGGATTCCACTTCTTGTAAGGTCAGTTCCACAGTTACAGAGGCTACGGGAAGTTCGAAATGAGCATGGAGTCAGGCCACATACGAGCTACCGTGACTTGCTAAAACTGGCGCTCTTGTCGTCGACAAGGCGGTCCAGTGTCGATGTCGGGACATGAGTGCCATTTCTGGAGAGTCCTCCGACGTGCTTTCAGCTCCGCCCAGCAACGACGTCAATCGTCACACCGTGGTGATGTAAAGGCTGGACGTCATGGTCCCAGGGTAAGAGCTCCAGGTGAATATATAAAGACTCAACACAGGTCCAGACGAGTCCTCAAGCACAGTCACAACGAGCATCCTTCGTTAACCAGACTCTTACACCTTTACCTTTAGCACAAACGCCGACCATCATTCAGCGTTCAAGCATGCTGCGAGCTACTTCTTTCCTGCTGTTGGCTCTTCTAGCCAACAGCGCCCCTTTTACAGCGGCTTCTCCGGTCAACTCTGGGCAAAACACCACTCTCCAATGGAAGAAATGCCCCTCCGAGAGTGGCTGGCCTTCAGACTTTACGTGTACCGAGTTTACTGTTCCAGTAGACTGGGAGGTGCCTGATGGACCCAAAATCACGCTCTTCATGAATAGAGCCCCTTCAACAAGTCAGAATAAGCGGATTGGAAGCTTGTTTGTCAATCCAGGAGGGTGGGTTGCTTACAGACTTCGATAACCTTGCTGAACTAATGCATTTCATAGCCCCGGTGGATCGGCCACTGATCTGGTCAACGAGCTGGTTACCCTGCCCCAAGAATCAGCATCAGCCAATCTTCGCAACCATTTCGATCTGATCGGCCTAGACCCGCGGGCTGTTGGCTTGAGTACCCCAACGCGCTGCAACCCTGATCTCTGGAACAAACGCACATCGAAGTTGCCCAAATCTGAATCGGCCTTCAACGAAATGCTGGCACATTACCGGGCCATCGGTCTTGATTGTATGGCGCAGACCGGGCCCAGCTTCAACCACTCCGACACTATAAGTGCTGCTCGAGACATGGAAGCTGCCCGCGTTGCCCTCGGCGAAGGTCCCCTCAACTACATGGGCTTCTCTTATGGAAGCCAACTAGGATCTCAATACGCCGAGCTATTTCCTGGGAATATTCGTGCGATGGTGCTTGATGCCAATACCGATCATTCAGTCAACGAGACTTCATTCTCTATCGACGAGCTCCGAGACTTTGAAACCGTACTTGATCATTTCATTGAGTGGGCGACCACCAACGACACCTCTCCACTCAAGGGCAAAGACGTGGGAGCCATGGTTGATGACCTGTTCACCAAAGCCGACGCAACGCCCGTTCCTGCTCCAGGTTGCAAACAGGACAATTCGACCTCGGCGATCAAGCCGTGCCGCCCAGACGTCACCGGCGAGGAAATGAAGTACACCATCCAGGATCTCATCATCTTTCCATTCAACTATCCCGCTCTCGCCCAAGCTTTCGTCGAAGCATTCAACGGGAACGCCACGATGATGTCGCAACCGTGGTACACCGCTCCCACCCACCAGGACTTCTCTCAGCTCGCGATAGCGTGCCAGGACTGGTACCACTCCAGCACGTGGGCCGAGTGGGTGAACCGAGACAACCTCCTCCGGAGCGCGTCTCCGCGCCTCCAAGGCGTCACCTGGACCGTGTTCATCCAAGCGATGTGCCAGAGTTGGGCCTCGCCTCTCGCGAACCCGCCCAAGCCACTCAACGTCACCCACACCGGGGTGTCGAATCCTATCCTGTTGGTGAACGCCTTCTGGGACCCGCAAACCCCGTACTCGATGGCCGTCAATATGCAGAGGGGGATCCAGGACTCTGTGCTCCTCAGTCGCAAGGGGGATGGACACAGCTCCTACTCAGAGCATGGCGCCACGTCCCGCGCCATGGACGACTACCTGATCAACTTGAAATTGCCCGCGGTGGGAACCGTATACGATACTTAAAACAGGAGAGCGATTCTGGAGTTGGTGCCAGAGAGGGACATGCTCGGTGCCAATGGTTTTGTACCCGTGACATGATACAATGGCACGCCCAACCAAGTACAGTGTGACATAAGTAGTTCTTTCCTGCTTACTCGGATCACGATGCGGGGGCAGCCTTTGCTGTTCCAGCATGGAATACCGATTTGATTGGGCGGATTTCACATCGCTTGTGCGACCTATACGGGGTAGCTGTAGTACCGTCATGGGGTATGATAAGCGCGATTGTGTCAGTCTGGGGCTCGATGACATTTGGTCTTCGTCTAGTCAATAATACATCAATGGGGCCCTAACTTCCATGGCCTTTTCGTTACCTGTTCTCTTCTGATTTCGATCGGCAGGTGTCCCACCCAGCGAAGCTCACCGCATTTGTGAACTCCTGCATGGGGGAATGCCTATTATAAGAAGGTAGATCTCACTCAAGGGGGGGGGGTGGGTTCCTGTTTCCTCGGTCCCATCCCAGCCTTCCCAACAATCTTCGTACCGCAGTTCGCATGGGCTGTTGCATACTGATTACAGAATGGCCACCTATCGCTCGTTGGGGTGCAGCACCTGCAAAAGGCGCAAGATCAAGGTATGTCTAGCCTCTACTTCATCCATCTGCAAAAAGGCTGAGGGAGAACGTCGAGTGCGATGAGCGCAGACCCAGCTGCTACAACTGCGAGAAGTCGAGGCGCGAATGCTCTGGTGTTCCCGGGCAGAATGACGGGCAATCGCAGTCGGACTGCGAAGGCATCATCAGATGGGAGCTGCCGAGAAACCGTCGTGCGCGCGTGCGGAAGCCCTGGATCCAGCAAAACGGTTCCACCGGTGCGATAGAGGAGGGTCAGCAGGAAGAGACATCAGGGAGGTCGTATAGCGAGGTGCCAACCACCACTGGCTTTCACTCTTCAACGCTCTCCATCGCACCAGCCGCAGAAGGGAGCCAAAAGATCTCCATGGAGCTGGTCCACGCGATCGAGACGACAAAAGGCACCGGCTTCACTCTCCAGCTGTGCGGCAAGCATCTCCCCCAATTGCCGGTCCGCATTGGCTACCACAAATCTCTGGACTCGTCGGTCTCTTGTTTCCTGGCAGCCCATCTGGGGATGAGATGCCCGGGCCTGGTCTCGAAAGACCGACAGCATGTTCTGTACCGCCGGGCTCTCCATGACCTGCGGGACGCTCTCAACTCAACGCGAAACCAAGACGTCGAGGCGATTATCGCGGCCACGATTGTGCTAGGAGACTTTGAGGTCAGTACGTCCGCATCACCCCCCTGGCCGGCAGCTAAAAAGTCGTCTCCAAGCTCCTGGATGGCCAGACTGACAACTTATGGACTCATATGATGGGTGGCGAAGCCATTCTAAAGGCCTGGGGAGCGACAAGAATCCGGTCGGGGTGGGCACTGGATCTATTCATCCTCATCGCAATGAACATGGTAGGCGAATCTACGGGCCCATGTCGACGGTCCCTCGAAATACTCACTCACGCCTGCAGGTGTCGAGTTCGTTTTTGGCCGGGCGCGATTGTTTCCTCGACACACCGGAGTGGCAAGCCGTCTTCGAAAGAGCGGCTGCTCAGCCATCCATCGCAGCCACGGAAAGCATCAGCATCAGCTTCTGTCGATCATATGCCCGGTTGCCCTTTATCGTGCGTACATTAAGGTCGCCGAACTCGCAAAGCATAAGGACTGAGATCACGAATACTATCCTGGACTTGTGGTCTCAAAGTTCCGCAGCCAACGACAAGGTCAAGCTCCTCATGGAGGACCCCCAGGTCGTCGCCGCGGCACCTTCTCGCGACATGACCAGCCCATTCGAGACGTACCATCGCTTTCACGACCTTCGAGTGGCCGAAATCTTCTGCCATCACTGGAAACTCTACATCCTCGTTTCCGGATTGGTGCAATCCTACTTCCCGGACCGCGTTTCGTTCGACGATGCGATAGAACGGACCAAGGCCGCCCTCAATATCTGCAAGTGTGTCGAACTCGTTCGTCCCCTCAAGCCGATGGGAACTTACTTTCTGCACCACAATCTGCCTCGGGCGGCCGCTGAACTCCCCAGCCCCTACAGAGACTGGGCAGTGTCGGTGTATATGGAGATTGTTGAGTCGGGGCTTGAAGTTGGGTTCGACCTGGCCGCGCCCACCAAGCACCTACGTCGCTCACTTGATCAATGGCAGGAGCCGTTGTACCAAAAATGGCTGCTAGGACAGGGGATTGAGCACTAAATGGGTGGCTTACAACAACGTCCCCTATATGTGTAGTCGAACGAGAGAAGAGTGCTGATATGTAAGCTAGCGCTGTATCTGGTAGATTAGGGTTACGAGTAGTTTGCCGACATCTTTCATGACTCGCTCCACAGCCGCAGCCGCAGCCGAAGCCGCATCTCCAACATCCACCTGGATATCGACCACCATCTCCCACTCCCACGGCTCAGTCCCAGATTCTCTCCCCCATGCGCCGACCTTCATAGAGCCGCTCTTGAACAGCATGCCCGCACTGGGCGACCGCAGAATCCCATCTGCACCGGCCTTATGTCCCTAAAACCACCCCTCCTCCAACACCAACAACCACCACCACAAGGCGACCAAGACCACGACTTTGAGATTACGATTCGCTTCTCTGCCTCTCTCCCCGACCTCCTCCTCTCGATCCCCGCCTCTCTCAATGCAAACACGGCCACATTGAAACAACTCATTCGCTCGCGTCTCCCAGATGCACACGCCAAACACCGCATTCGGTTGATTCATGCGGGCAAGGCCCTGGTGGACGATGTCCCGCTTACCGTCTCGTTGAAGAGGAACGTCTCCCGGCCACCGAGTCGGATCGGCACGCCCGGCCCTTACGACGACAGACCGAATGGCGCAGCGGCTGGCAGACCTGGTGACGGGAGAGGAGAAAATGGCAAAGGCAAACAACCCATGCGAGATCCGCCGTCGCAGTCCCGAATCTACATCCACTGCTCGATCGGAGATATTGTCCTCTCCACCGCAGAGCTGGCCGCCGAAGCCGCCATTGCCGCCACCGCTCAACCGACAGAGGGCCAAGATGGGGACCAGGCGGGCGATCCAAATCAGCAGCAGGCCGCTCCGACCACCACTACAACCACCCCTGCGCCGCGCGGCTTCGACCGTCTCCTCAACGCCGGCTTCAGCGCCGCGGAGGTGCAGTCGCTCAGGCTCCAGTTCCTCGCGATCCAGGCGCACACGCACACGCCGGACACCATGCCGTCGCCCAACACGCTGAGGAACATGGAGGACCGCTGGCTCGACAACTCCACGGGCGCAGACGGCGACCTGGGCGCGCAGACGGGGTCCACGGGCGCTGCGGGGATCGGCGGCGAGGACGACGCCCAGGCCGGGGCGCTGGACGACATCATCTGGGGCACGGCCATGGGCTTCTTCTGGCCCATCGGGTGCCTGGTGTGGGGGGTGCGCGAGGAAGGGATCTGGAGCCAGCGACGCAAAATGGCCGTGATTGTCGGGTTTCTGCTCAACGTGGGACTGGGGATTATCAGGTATACGGGTTGAGGATGCCGCGGGACCACGAAAAGCTGTGGATGGAACTCGGGCTGGGACGCCAAAGAAAATCTTAACGACGAACACGCCGTGTCTCGACTTGGGAAAAAACCATACATGTGTAGACGTTGTATCACCTAGAGCACACTGTATAATTTCTTGCTTTTATAACTTTGGGAGTGTGCCGACCGGACTGATACCCATAGAGACTTCTGAAGCAAAGGCTTCTATCGAAGGCGGCCATCCAACGCCTTCTGAACGCCTGCGCCATCAATTCATATGTACGACGGTCAAGGATGATGACCGCCAACAGTCAATCAAATCATCCCGGTCGACCCCTTCTCGCGACACTGCTCCTCACTTAAACTTGCTGTATATTACGCCGATGATAAGTAGCACAAGCACAGTAATGATCGCGATCGTAATCACGCGATTCGTCGCCATCCTGTTTCACCAAAATCAAAGCAACCATGTCAGCTTCGCCCAGATCAGCCGTGGGTGTTGAAAAGGAGACCCTTACCTGCGCGCCATTCCCCTCAAGGTCTTCACGCTCCGGTCCACGTAGCCTTCGCTCTGCAGTAGATTGCGGTGTGTGTTCTCAATCACATTCCTCTGCTGGTGTAGATCTGCCAACGTAGACGCCCCAACCTGTTCCGTCTCCAGCGCTATCCGTTGCGACTCTCTTAACCGATCGGAACTCCGGCCCAACCGTTCGGTGCCAGAGAGCAGCTGCTGGCGCTGTTCGAGTTGCGCATCTCTCGGGCCAGCCTCCGGGTCGTCGGTGTACCGGTCGCCGAACAGCTGTTTGCGCTCGGACTCGGCGAGCGATTTCAGTTTCCGCTGCAGCGTGTCGATGTCGGACTGGTGGTTGCGGAAGCGAGAGTTCACTTTGCTCCGTTGCGAGGTCGGGATGTTGGATTTCTCCAGGTTCATCTGGTCGAGCTAATTCCCCCGCAAGGTCAGAGACAGATCCTTCCCTGTATGTCGAGAGATACCTACCAATTCCTTGGCCTCATCGATGGCCCTCTCCGCGCCCCGGATCGCAACCTTCCTCTCCTCCCCCGTGAGTTCGGGAATCTGATCCAGTTTCTGGTTCACGTCTGCCTGGACGAGTCTCAGCTCGGCCTCGTACGTGCTGAAGAGCTCGGAGCCCGCATCGGTGTCGAGTGGGTTTGCCATTGTCGTGAGCCTGTCGAGGAGTTCGAGAGGAGTTCTAGGAACAGCGTGCAATTCAGTGGCGCCTAGTTACAGGACGTCGCTAGAAGAGACAGGTTGGAAGGGAGAGACCGGACAAGGAGACGATTGCCTATGAGGGATCGTTCGGCGTTCGCCGGTGCGACAACAGTAGTGAAGCCTTTAGTGTGCGAGGTCAAAAGGATGGTACAGTTGAGCCCTCGATGTCAGATTGTGAGGTGCAGCTGGAGGACGCAGTGCCATGGGATCTGTTCGCAATTGACGTCGGCAAAGGCGAAACGGTCGCAAGCCGGCCCCGTTTCGGAAATCCCCGACGCCGCTTTTGTCCCTCGTATTCTTGCAATGCAGCTGGTGTCCCCGGCCAGGCTATGATTTGACTTTTACTGGAAGGTTAGGATCCGAATCCTTCTATAAGTGACGAACTTGATCTTGGAGGCCTTGAACTCATGACTTCGTCAATTGCCCGCAAGGTGAGAGTCGATGCCCGAGCACTGGTTGGGAGGCGAGACGGCTAAAACCATTAACTATGCGAAGGAGTCAGGCCACACGCCGACATCTTACACAACGACAGAGAACTAAAACCTCTTGCGTCTTCCAGCCATGAAAAAGCGTGTTGCAATCGTGGGCAGCGGCTGCTCAGGTCTCGGTGCTTTATGGGCACTCAATACCAGCACTAGCCATGAAATTCATCTATTTGAGGCAGCATTGCGACTGGGCGGGCACATGGGGTCCATTGCCTACGAAGGACCCAATGGCCAGAAGGTCGACGTTGATGCCGGTTTGATTGTCGTAAACGCCGCTACCTCCCCTAACTTCATCCGATTTCTCCAACAGTTGGGTATTCCGTTGAGAAGGACCGACCTGACCTTTGGTGTCTCCTGCGATCAAGGGGCGTTCGAGTGGGCCTGGAGATCGTGGTCCTCCGTCTTTGCTCAAAGGAGGAATATCTTCAGCCCTGGCATGTGGAAGTTGATTTTGGAAGTCATCCGATTCAACGAGTTCGCAGTCGACCTTCTCCGAGAAGATGACAGGGGCGTTGATACCACCTCCCAGGAAGTCCGGGAAAAGATCAAACACCGGCCCCAAGAGAGTATCGGCGAATATCTCGACCGCGAAAACTACTCCCAGGCGTTCCGTGATAACTATCTCATTCCGATGACAGCCGCCATCTGGGGGACGAACCCTGGTCAATATTCCCTGGAGCTCCCGGCCACCACCGTGGTTCGATTCATGTACGACCAGCACATGCTGAATATCACTGGTAAATCCTCAGGCTGGTGGACCATTTCTGGCGGAGCAGAGCGATATATCGAATCGGTGGTAAAGGATTTCCCTGCCAACAGAATTCATCTCGAATCCAAAGTCACCTCACTGAGTCCAAGTGACAAAGGCATTGTCTTGCTGACGGCGAATGGAAAGGACCATGAATTCGACCATGTGATAGTGGCGACGCAGGCTGATCAGGCTCTGGATCTTTTGCAACCGCTAACAACCAGAGACGAGTCTGACATCTTGAGTGCTTTCCGAACCAGTAGAATTGTTGCCGTATTACACTCAGATCTCTCCCTGATGCCAAAGAGACGACAGGCATGGTCATCCTTGAACTATATCACCGAGTCCCCGTTCCCACCTACCAGGCGCAGGCACATTTCCAGAGGCTGTCTGACGTATTCGGTGAACGTCCTCCAGGGAATATCAGAGAGCGAGTTTGGGCCCGTTCTGGTCACGCTAAATCCCCTGAACATGCCCGATCCTCGACTGGCTCAGGGTATATGGGAATATTCGCATCCCCTGTACAATGCCGCAGCGATCAAGTCACAGAAACTGTTGCCCAAGGTTCAAAATACCAGGAACATCAGCTACTGCGGGGCATGGACCAGATATGGCTTTCTGGAAGATGGCTTCAACAGTGGGCTGCTGGTCGCTATCAGCCATCTGGGAGCAAAGCTGCCTTTTGAGTTCGTCGATCCGTCACTGTCCAAAGCGAAGAGGCCCTCTCTGACAATGAAGAATTATTTGCTGAGGCTGGTCATTCTCCTCGTGCAGATAGCCCTCTTGCTGATAGAGAGAGCGTGGTTGAGAATGGCGGTGGCATTCGATAGACGGGTTGCCTCACGACGGAAGACCGCCTGAGCCTCAGCCAGCAGAGATGACGAGTCCAGCAGTCTGTCTCATCAACGTCGTACTTCCCTCTTCATCTTCGATTCCCACCTCAATGGTCGTTCGCGGCCGGCTCTTGTTGAGTCCCTCCAGCAGAGAACAGGCTTTGCAAATTTTCTGACTGGATAGATAACCACATCTCTCACATTGGCCCATGATTTGTTTGACCACTTTCCGTCGTCCTCGTCGTTTCTTGTCATGAATGTTTGGTTGCACTTCTGGCCGAGGCAACTGGATCTCTGTTTCGCGTTCAGCAGCAGCTTCGTTGGCGGTCAGGTCCTTCTCCAGTCGGACCATGGAGTCGCTGGTCTGGTTCTGACCGCCACAACCATTTGTCTGCTCATCACCCTCTGCACCACAAGACGCAGAGCCGGCCAATTCAGGAGGCACCAGCATAGCCATGTCCTCTCCACTTCGCACAATGTCCAATATGCTGCTTGGTCGAATCTTTTCTAGATCTTTGATCAACGTTCTAGCGCTCCCTCTGAAGGCCTCTGGCGAGTAAATGCACTCCGTGCTGAAGTAATCCAGTTTCTTGTGGTAAGCATAGAGGACTATTTCCTTCTCGTACGCATACTTCAGCGGCTTACTCCTCTTGATCTCGCTTGCCGAACTGGATGTCATAATAGAGGTCGCCCTTGCAAGCCGGGGCAGATCGCCACGAAGCAGATTCATCATGACGGTTTCGGCAACATCGTCGGCATTGTGACCGGTCACGACGTGTTTGATGCCCAGCTTCGCAGCCCCTCGATCCAGCGCCTGTCTGCGAAAGACACCGCAGTAAGTGCAGTTTCCCTTTTTGCCTACCTGGGCCACGACTTGGTCCATTGTCCACCCGTAAAGCTGATCATATCCCACAATTTCGAGGGGCATTTCATACTGCACCGCATTTCGCTTCACCGTCTCCAGGCTGTCGTCCCGATAGCCTTTGATACCTTCATCGATGGACAAGAGTACGAGATCCAGGCCGTAGTCATGACGTTCATTCAGGATCTTCAACACCGAAGCGAGAACAGTCGAATCCTTGCCGCCAGATGCGCCGATGGCAACACGTTCGCCGCGGTGGAACAGTTTGTTACTCACGATAGTGTCGTGAATCTCGGCCTCGAATATGGACAGAAAACATTGTTTGCAGATCTTCTGAGAGTTCTTTGGCCGGATCACTGCTGCCCGCGAGTCTTTGCAGACCTCGCATATTGTCGGTGCCATTCTTTCACTCTGGAGAACTGAGCGAAGTCTCTTGTATGTCCTTTGAGGGCGAAAAATGAGAATCAAAAAGTCCGGCGGAGCAAACAGGGCACTATCGGGCTATACGGCGGAGCATTATGTTCGTCCGCACCTGTCGCCATAATTTCAATGTTTTCCGCAGTCAACTCTCCCTTGCCTTCGTTGTACGCCCTTCTCGTCACTCGCTCGAATGCATTCTACTCTCCAAGCGGAACTACGGTTCTCGCAGATCATTTGTTCCAGTTGTCGACATTGCGCTCGGCAACAATCGCAGAACGCCCGCCGCTCCTTTTGTACAGCGCCTCGCCTTCGGTCCGCTCAGAAACCGTCGAATAGTATTGGCTCACTCAGTAGCCGCGGGATCAGTGATGATTCCCAGAGCCATGGAGCTGCGCGGGTGGAGATAGCAAGAGATAGTGATCATGGTGGAGAGGAGTCGACACCGGCCCATCAACATCGCCCGGGTCCTCACGAAAGCTCCGCGATTCAGACTGCAGACGATGCTCGAGCGAAAGACTTCTACGGCTCGCCCGCGAAAAGACGGCTGCGGAATCGCATGAACAAGGATGCCGACACCGAATATCAAGCTCCAGAATGGTTCATGGACAGCAATGTGGCCCTTTTCGGGTCGGGCTTCCTTGCTCCTGGTACTCCATCGAGAATTAAAACGGTGGCTGCAGATCTGCTCACCGGCGAGCCTCTCGAACAAAACTCCTCCCCCGACTCTGGCGGTGCTCCTTCGCATGGTTCGGACGGTAAAGGAGACGATCCTAAATCAATCCACGAATCGCTTGGGAAATCAACCTTGACAGAGGACAAATTACAGCAATCAGAAGCATTACCTCCTACGAAATCTTCATCAAGCTCATCGGTTTCCTCGAGATACTATGTGGTGGACGAACAGTACGAAGAGGTCATGCGAACTGCAAGAGGTCTCATGCAGGTATCACACAACCAGAGTTCACAAAATGGTGCCGATTCCTTCAGAGATCATCTTCATCTACAATACGCGGGCAAGGATGGCGACCTCCTCCTTGACCATCTTGTGCAGGATATTGCACGCCAGCTCGGCTGTGATTTGATGGTAGTGGACGCTCAGGATATTGCAGATCTAATCCACCGAAATCATACAAACCAAAGCACGGCCAAGGCCGGGCGTATGCTGAGCTACGACGTGCTGTCGACTGCGTTTCCAGACCTCTCCGAACACAATTCATCACACGAGGCTCAAGATGTGGACGATGACGATGGAGATATCGAGGATATAATGGACGAAATGGATTCCACGCCCGCCTCTCCCCGAATAGGGATGCCCATGTTCATTGGAAGGCCGACAGCGATCTTGAAGACTATAATCGGACAGATCCCGGAACTTGGTGATGGGATGCGATCAGAAATGCCTCGAGGCACGCTGAGAATGTGGCCAGATTTCGGCGATCCTCAAAAGCCACGGGATGAGCAAGGCGCGCTATCAGGGCTCATATACAAATTGTTAAAGAGCTTGTCGGATCGGCGAACCGCTGCGGGGCTGCCAGGGAAAGAGCAGAATAGCGACCTGGAACAGCAACGGGAGACTGCAGCGAAACGGACCGGGGTCCCAAAGGGTGGCGCGATTGTCCATGTTAGAGACTTCAGGGCCATCCAGAGTCTAGACATGGGCCGCTCATTTCTGAACAACCTTCACAGGCAACTGGCTCAACGACGAAACAAGGGTGAATCTGTTCTGCTGATCGGGACCGATTCGGCTCGTGAGGATCAGGAACCCTTTACCCGGGAACGCATTAACGAGTCGCAAAGCGGCGGACAAGACGGGAAGTCACAAAATATTGTCCTGACACCGGTTTTGCCAAACACTACATCAAAGCTTGCGCTTCTTCACGACAGGAAGCAACGCATTGCCACAGTTAATATGAGACACCTCTGGGAGACACTGAGATTTTGGAAACCCTCCGTCTTTGCTCATCTAGAACCGGGCTTCTGGCGTGGTGATTTCTCCGACCGCATCACTCGCAGCGACAGATCATGTTTGGAAGGGCAAGCGTGGAATCACCAATATATACAACGGTTGGCCACCTATATTGCAGGAACTGTTCCGTCAAATCGGGATGGTGAAACTGATACCTCTACCAAAGACCAACCACAGCCCATCATTAGTGCCGCAACCTCCCATCTGAACCACAGTGACAAGACTAAGATCCGGTGGGCGGAGAAGCAATCAAAGGAAGCAAAGAAGGAAGTTCCAGAACGCCACATGAGCAAAGACGACCGCCTAGCCAGAATACGTGCGTCGGCTTCCAAATACGAGAAACGATTGATGGGAGGCATCATTGAGGCGAAGAACATCAATACAACCTTTAACGACGTGCACATGCCGGTCGAGACCATTGATACCCTTCAAACCCTGACCACTCTGTCCCTCATTCGACCTGAAGCTTTCAAATATGGTGTCCTTGCCTCTGACAAGATTCCGGGCCTTTTGCTTTACGGCCCACCAGGCACAGGTAAAACTCTGGCGGCTAAAGCGGTCGCCAAAGAATCTGGTGCGACAATGCTTGAGGTCAGCGCGGCCGACATCAACGATATGTATGTTGGCGAGGGGGAGAAGAATGTAAAGGCATTATTTAGCCTAGCCAGGAAACTATCGCCCTGCGTTGTCTTTCTGGACGAGGCGGACGCTATGTTCAGCGCGAGGAGCAATCAAGGACGGCGGGTCAGTCATCGCGAACTTCTCAACCAGTTTCTGAAGGAGTGGGACGGGATGAGCAACGACTCGGGCAGTGCATTCATTATGGTTGCGACCAATCGACCCATGGATCTCGACGATGCTGTTCTTCGTCGCTTACCACGCCGTTTGCTCGTCGACCTCCCTACGGAGCCTGACAGGTTGGAGATCCTCAAAATACACCTGCGCCACGAGAAACTCGGCGAGGATGTCAACTTGCAAGATCTCGCAAAGAAGACGCCCTTCTATTCCGGGTCCGACCTGAAGAACGTCGCTGTCGCAGCGGCGCTGAATTGTGTCAGGGAGGAGAATGAACTGGCCAAACAGCACAAGGGCGAGGAGCCATATCAACATCCCGAACGACGTACGCTGACGGAGAAACACTTTGACAAGGCCTTGGACGAGATTTCAGCAAGCATCTCGGAGGATATGTCGAGCCTGAGGGACATTAAGAAGTTCGACGAGCAATTCGGAGACAAGCGCGGGAAGAAGAAGAAGGCGCCTAGATTGGGATTTCCAACAGAGAAGGAGAACGAGAAGGCTAGAGATACGGTCAAGGTGCGGGACTGAGACTCTTCTTGACTGGGTTGATGCCGACCGCCATCAATGCGTTCTCGGTCTGTCCTTGGAAAACAAAAACAAGAGGGAGAGAATTCACACTTCCTATTAGACAATAGATCATCTAAGAGGCCGCACTGTGCCGTTACTGCTCGCCTCTATTTATAATGCTAGTACCGACACCAGTGAGGCCCCAGGACTTATCTCAGTCCTATTTCCGCATCCGCTCCAGGATGACTTCTTCGACCCTCTGGACGCCCCAGTCCAGCACCTCGTTCATCTTCCACTGCCCCGCGCCGGGACAGACCCTCACGCCCTCGCTCTCACAGGCGTGCTCGTCGAAAACGTCCCCGTCCACGTTCCCCTCCTTGTACATCCAGCCGTGGTAGCGGATGTAGTTGGGCCAGACCAGGTCCTCGACGTAGCCCGGCGGGTCGACCCAGAAACCCTCCAGGGTGACGTAGCCGGAGCGGGCGGCGCGGCGGGAGAGGGTCTGGGTGCGCGTCGACGGGAGGAACAGCAGCGGATGGAGCAGCGTGTGGGTGAGGTGGTGGAGGTGGGCCAACCCCGCCGCCGAGTGAGGATAGTCGGACGAGAGGGGCAGCGATGAGGTCGAGGTCGAGGACGACGGCGACTGTGGGTAGAGCAGGAACCCTTCGACGATGTAGATGCGGATCTCTTTGCCCGCGCTGGATCCGCCCTCTCCGCCGCCTCGTCGCCTGACCAGCTCGTCGATCCGCGTCCTCACCCGCTCGCGGTGCTCGTCTACCTTGCCGGGGGAGACGCCGCTGTGGCCCACGCTGTTCTGGTCCTCCTTCGACACGCTGTCGGGCGGGAGATCGCCGTGGTCGCGCAGATGTGTGAGCGTGTGTTCGAACAGCGGAAGGTCCAGCGAGTCGATGCAGTCCCAGTCCTGGAGCTCGCGGGTGCCGAATTCCTCGGACGAGACGGTGACCGTCGGAATGCTGGGTGGGGGTTAGCTGCGTCTGCAGGTTTGGATGGGATTGTTCATGAGGAGCCAGAGGAAGAGACGACTCGGGTATATTTGCGCTTGAGCTGATATCAATGCAAGGGCCGTTTGCCGGTGAGACGAGAGGAGCCACCAACAAGACAGCAGGTCCAGCAGGTCCAGAGCAGATGTGAACAAGACATAATAGATGAAGTACATACTCTTGGTCCGTCTTGTAAAAGTCGTCTTGGTGCAGGATGAACAGACTGACTTTCCACCCCTCGGCGTCGAGGTTGAAGATCTCGCGCAACAGCCGCGCCAGCGTCGTCTTCCCGCTCGACGATGGGCCCGACAGGCCTACCAGCACCGTTTCGAGGCGAGTATCTGGCTCGGGATCTTCGGATGCGTGTTCATCCTTTTCCATCTCGACGTATGCTTCCTTCCGGCGCCTGGAGGACTGGGACACCATCGAGACTCTCGTGGACTAGGGCCTATCGTGGTGCTGCTATCGTCGACAAGATCATCTGGCGGCCGAGGCGGGAATGATCCTGTGTGCGAGGACAGGATCGGTTGGGAATAACAGGCAGGAAGGGAGGTCAATGCTGGAGGAGAATTATGTCGTCTGGAGATGCAGGAAGATAGATACCCCGTGGACTGTGACTGGCGATATCAAATCAAGTGGATTTTATTTCTCCAACTCCGTCCACAACGGCTTTAGTCTTGAGGCCACCCCCTGTCCAAAGCTGAACGTCTTTCATCCTGACCTCGTATAGAATTATGAACCATACGATCGAGTACCTATCCCCGTTGCACTGTCTGCTCATCTCGAACGCCCTGTGCCACCCTGCTTGCGCATAAGCCAGCCTCGCCCGTCGCATCTCGGCCAGAAAAGGCTGGCTCTATACAAGGCTGAATTCTCGCCCCCTGGACATTCTACTTAGTCCCGTCACTCGACTCATGATACAAGTAGAAACTTCCCCGTAGAGAGAGACATCTCAGTTCTATTAGCAAGCAGCGGCGATACTTGATTGACATAATCCCCGATCCTCAATATCCAACCCGACGCCCACCCGCTATACCACCCCTTCTTGCTTGTGTCGCACCACCCCCGTCCTGCGCGCCAGTCCCAATGTCCATCCACATGCACCACCTTTTCTCATCCTTGTCGGTCGACTTCGTTCAGGTTCAGCCTGCCGCCGCATGTCTGCATCGCCCTCCTCCTCTTCACGCTCGTATGCCCATGTCGCGTCGGAGCGTCATATATCCAGAATATCCTAGGCCGGCAAGATCCACTAAAGCCTCAAGATTCTTCCCTGTGACAAACATAGAAAGTCGAAATAATGATACAAAATCGCGTCGAAGCTGCCCAACCGCCCATTTTCTCCGTGTGCAAGCCTCTTTGTCGAAAGCTTCCCAAAGAAAAGTCGTCGCGGCCCGGTCTAGACAGCAATATAGTCTGTTCATCGGCACATATCGAGCTCTGTACCGCAACGAGGCCGAGAAATTCTTTCCGTTCCCCGACTCTCAACACCGACACCGAACCCTTTTGGAGACAATCCAAACAAGGGGGTATATGCAATTGAAGAAAACCAAAATGACACCGTCTCCTAGAGAGTATCCGTTCACATAACACGCAGTCAGGGAATTTCGACCGACACAGATATCCAGGCCAGGCAGCTCCTTGGCCCTCCGGTAGGCGATAGAACGGCCTCATTGTTTGCAATGAGATGACCTATTTCAGACCTGGTTCATTCCCAACGAGGGCTGAATGCTCATGCAGATCCCTTCTGCCTCTTGCCGCCGAGCTTTGGACTTGGCTTGACTTTGTTGGCTCCGTTCACCTCTCCTTGTGCGTTTTCTTCCTCTATCTTGACCACACTCGCACGTCGCCTCTTATTGGAGACGTTCGGGCTAGTGTTTGTACTGGGGCCTTGACTCCCGCTGAGATTGGATCCCTGCGCACTCATTTGGTGCATCATGGCTACACCTCCCGCGGTGGGATTCTGGGCCGGACTAGGTGTATGCACTGGGCCTCCCATCATGGGTGACCCTTGAGCTTGAGGAACGTTAAGATGCCCCATGGCAGGCGAGTTCATCATATTTGGCCCGTTCATGCCAGGGTTCATTTGATTGGGGAAGATGACTTGGCCATTGGCGGCCCTTGCCATCTGGTTCAGCCGCGTGTTGTTAGCCTGGGCCATGTTTTGCGCATTCTCTTGCGTGACTCGCAGGAGCGTGTCTTTGGGAGAGATTCCAGGATGTTGTTGGTAGTATTCCATGAGCGGACCCATGGCCGTCATGACTTCAGCAATCTGCAAACATTTTAGTTGTTGTTCGGCCACCCCCAAAAAACTACATACCTCTAAGAATTGGGAAATGTGTTGGGGGACACCCCATTCACTGACACCTGAGGTGGGAATGACTGGCCCTGCTACTGATACATTTGCCTTCCCTTGTGTCCGTTTGAGGTTCTTGTTTGTGATTTTGGGACTCTGCTTCATTTCTGGCGACATGGGTTGTAACAACACATGCCGTGGAATGTACTCTTGCCATCCCGTCGAGCTGATATTCAGGTGCTCAATGGACTGAACATCGTCAAAAAGAACGCGCAGCTGTCCGTTGGTGGTCACTCGAATATCGTTGGCAAAAACATACGTCAAACTCGCACTGCTACTTGTGATATGGACACCGCCGTTGGCTGTCTTGGTCTGGGTATGCTCAAAAGACTGGAGCAGGATTTGCTTGACACCACTCGCAAAATATGAGTGATAGTAGCGGGCGAGGGATGGAAACTGAAGCTGGAAGGATTTGTCGCCGCCGGATTTGTTGTTGAAAAACTGTTGTCTCAATGACCCGATCGGAGAAAAGAATCTGGTAATCAATGCTTCCCAGTAGTCCAGATCATTTGGTCGTTCCGGGTGTGCGAGAAGATCCTGGTACTCGATCAGTTTCAAAATACATTGACCACCAATCATGTCTTGTTTGGGAAGCTCAGGCAGAATCATATTGGCGGCCGCTTCCTGCTGCTGCTTCACGCGAGGCTCCTCTTCCGGTTCCGTAGTCTTCACTGGCTGATTCTGGGGCTGGTTCTGTGGTTGGTTCTGTACCGGCTGTGGCTGTGGTGGTTGGGGTTTGGGCTGCGCTGGCTGTGCTTGGGGTTGTGAAGTCGGGGTAGGTTGCGGAGGAGGTTGTGTTTGGGGAGCGGGCAGGGGTTGTGATTGTGGAGGCTGGGTGGTCTGTTCCTGCGACCGTGACATTTGCATTTGTTGAGCGACCGCCCTTTGGTTCTGAGCAGCGGCCGCCATCTGCGCCACATGTTGTTGCGCCTGAGCTTGGGCCTGTTGAGCTCGGATCAACTGCTGCTGATTGTGTTGATGTTGCAGGCTTTGCATCTGAGGATGGTTGGCGTTCATCTGCATTTGTGGGTGCATGCCCATTCCCATCTTCATTTGCGCCAACTGTGCTTGATTAAAGCCGGGCGCATTCGGCATTCCCACGGGCATGCCCTGTGCCTGAGCCTGGGACATTTGCTGCATCATGCGCTGGCGAGCCATGTACTGCTGTTGGTGCGGTGAGAACATCCCTTGGGCATAATTCATCTGCGGGTTATGCTGTTGAAATATGGCCTGCTGAGGATTCATGTGGGCCATGGCCATACCGTTGTGCATGGGGCCTGGAGCTGGAGTCCCAGCACCGGGCGGCATGCCAGTGACCATGGGTCCTTGAGTGACTTGAGGAGCAGACACGCCTGGATGCATCGCCTGCATCATACCGGGCCCCGGTTGACCTCCCATGTGGGCGGCGCCAGGATGTTGCATCCCCATGGGATGACCTGGAGGGATTCCAGGATGACCCGGAGCGATACCCGCATGGTGCGGGAAGCTTTGGGCCATCATCTTCAAGGGCAATTACCGAGCGATATATCAAATCGCAATATCCGCGCGACGATATAGGAAGTATTTCTGATTACCTCTGTTGGGTTTCTGGTCCTTCTCTTTTTTCCCACCTCCGATCCCTCTGGCCCCACTTTTTTCGCGGAAAGACGCTGTAGTTGTTCGGCACGGAGCGAAGTGTTGTCACATTTGTAGAATCTGGAGGTTTCATGCAATCGGATGGGTATGGTCGATGTGTGTTCTTGTCGGTGATCGACGCGGCGTGGATGGACTGCAGAAATTCCTGGGATGGGCGATGTTTCGCCGGGCCAGGATCGTCTGACGGGGGCTAGATCAGTGTCGCGACAACGACGATAATCGAATCATCGGGCGGTGGCGGCAGTGATGGAAGCGCGCAGAGGCTTCATGACCATTTCATCCTCTTGTGAGTCGCGAAGGAGCAGATAAAGCGAGTAGCCAGTTGAGGCAGATGATCCGGGAGTTGTGAGGGTTGCGGTTGCGATGTTATCGGGCTGGTACACTGCAGTGGTACTCGTGATCTGATGACCCCGGGCAGAAGTGGACGAGAACCGGTCGGAAATTAGGAGGTAGGCTCCCAGAGCAGAGTCGAGGGCGGTGCAGAAGGGAAAAGAGCGACTAGACAGCGAAAGCGCCACTTGAGACTGAGTGGCAGACACTGTTCAAGCCCCAGTGGTGAAGACTTTGAAGATCAGGTTCCAAGTCGCAGGTGCAACTTCAGGATCTGCAGGTGTGCAGGTGCAGGGAGAGACACTTACAGATCACGGAAGATGCTGGGGGGGTGGGAGAGGCGGCCGTCGGGCCCCAAGTTGAAACCCAGCGAACCGACCTGCCAGGCCCGGCCAACATCCCCCAATCAGCCGCCAAGCAATCTTGCGCCCACGCGCTTGACCCGATGCAACACTAGCGCCTCGCCGTTTCAGAAAATAAATTCGGCTGCTCTTTTTCCTGTGCATTCTTCACCTGTGCTCTCTCTCTCTGCTCACACACAACGACTTCCTCTCTATACCTGTCCTGATGAGTGTTGCCCGATGGTAGTTGATCATGGGCAATCAGAAGACATGGTAAGCTCATTCCCCCGATAATCCGCCTTCCTGGTTTGCAGCTTGCAAGATGACAACCCACAACTCTTCTTCTTTCTATCCTGAGTCGCCCTTGAAGAAACATGCGGACTGTCATCGCTGAACAGTCTGTTACTAGCCAGTATTTTATGTCTGACTATTGACTGCCTCCACCACATCTGCCGTCATTTTCTTTGTGCTCTGTTGCTGACTGGTAGCCCAGGAATGGGACGGAGAGGTTGAGTTGAGTCTGTGAGCCGTGTTCCATGGCAAGTTGCTGTCTAAGGTACGTCTTCACGAATATCCCACCTCACCTCACATCGCCGTTTGTCTACGCCCTTTTCCTATGATGAAAACTTTTTCCACATTCGCAGTTTCCACGCTAGCCCTGGCATATGAACCTATTTTAAGTCCAGGTGTCGTTGAGCGGCAAATCTTCCTTGGATGTCTGATTGGAACTTTACCTGAAAAGCCTGTCATTTCCCGTGGACTTGTCGAGTTCATGCGCTGACGATTTCTTGTGCAGGTAGTTCTCCATCTCCCTTCGCTCCGATCATCCCGTCATATATCTCCTCGTAGTTGCAGTGCGTTGATGTGGTGAACTTGTACCCATGGCAGGAGAGCAAAGAGTAGAAGAGCAGGCATTTTATAAGCAATAACAAGCACGCGGGTCCTGTTGGTTTCACACAGACTAGAAGTTGCAAAGGTCAAATTTTAACCGACCGCATCATCCACATGAGAGATGTTCCAATCCAAACAATGCAGAAACTGAGATCGGTCCAAATTCTGGGTGTTTTACATGATTCGCGTGCCCCTTCCATCTCCCAGACCTAAACCCCTCGTCATCTCGTGGGTTCTGGCGTCTTCGCAAAACACCTTCGTAGCTTTCATGGCAGAGAGCGAGGAACTCTGCAACTTCTCTCGCATAGATGCTGTCGCGTTGGGTAGCCCTGAAGTCGCTGCCTTAATCTTTTCAGCTGGACGTTCGACATCATGTCGGGAGCAGCCTCAGCCATGCTGGGGACTGGGCTGCATTTTTGTACCTCTTGCTCTGCATGCCAACGTCCTCACTCTGATCGGTGAGGGGCACGATAAATGACTCTGGTGAAGCGTTTTCTTTCAATGCCCTCAACTGATGAACGAAGTTCCTGCTTGCTCCACGACTTTGGCGCTTCTCCTCGCATCAATGAACAGGTCTTCGCACTCCGCTACATCCTCGACACCAATCTCCGTCCTCCCGTTGGCCTTGGCAAGAATGCTGCTAGGCGTCAATAACTGTAGCGCGTACCGTAGACTGACGTTTGTGCCATGCTGTGCAACCTTCTCCAGCGCGGGTTCAGATATCGAAAGACCCTCGGTCTTTGTGCGTAGACGAATGATGGTTTGTACTTCGGATGCGTTGTATGGATGCGTGGGGATGATGAGCAAGCGTGCAAGGAGGTCGGGAGGGATGCCGTGGGCACCTGTGATGTCCTGCGTGCCTCGAATGAGGGTGTTGCCCCGATTTGAGGCAAGAATGACGATTGGGGAGATGGGGGATTCGAGGGCGCGGTTGAGATAGGTGAAGCATTCAATGTCGAGCATGTGGACCTGGCAAAGACCTGTCAATACCATTTTGCAGCATGCTGAATAGCAATATACTCACCTCGTCGATAAAGAGGACGCCAGGAACCAGTTCCGCCACACCCTGGTCGATGTATCGACTCACCACCTTATTGATCTCTGCTCTCAATTTGTCCGTGATCTCGGTCTTCTTCGGCTTCATTAGTTGGCCCATCATGCTCATAACATCCTGGCCACCTTGAGGTCGCGCGTTGGCGATATCCAAGTCATGCAGTGTCACGTCCTGCACAACCTCCTTCTTTTTGTGGACTTCCCCCTTGGGAACTGGCACGTACTCTTCTGCTTCGAGGTCGAATTCTGTCGCATAGGCGTCTGAGCGGCCCACCCGCTTGCATGCCCCCGTGTTGGCTTCTATGTAGATGACATCGCCGACCGTCACTCGCTCCTTTTGGATGGCTTCATATATGCTGGGGTCAAGGCGGAGCTTTTTCGTGCCTCTGGCAGATTTCAAGGTGATAATCAGGTGGGAGATGGTGCGGCCAAAGCCGCCGAGAGGGTTCTCTGCTTCTTCAGGGAGGAGTTCGGTCACCTCACCCTCGTAAACTTCTTTCGTTTCGCGCACACGGAGGCCTGTTGCGGGTGATGCATGAGCATTTGATTCCGTGCAGCAGTAATTTCAGCTTACCGATTGCTCTTCTGAAATTCTCCATCAAGGCTTCTGTCTTCTTGACCTCCGAAGAATAAACTTCACTGCCGACGATGGGACAAAAAGGCACTTTCGTTCCCAGCTCTTGCGATACTGCCAGTGCTAAAGCTGTTTTGCCGGTGCCAGGTCCTCCCGCTAAAAGTACTGCTCTTCCGGACATCTTTTTGGCTTTGATCAGGTCTACAACGACTCCACAGGCCTGTTCGTCGTCAGATGAATGAATAAATTTGCTTGCACATGGAGAATGTACCTCACGAGCAGCAGCCTGCCCAACGAATCCATTGCCAGAGGGTTCGGCGGTGCCGTCTGATCGCAAGCCCAATCCCTTGATATGGGTATGCGCCGCAGTTCTGTTCTCGCGCGCATTGCCCTTGACTTCGCTGATGTTTACCATCGTCGCTGAGTTGTGAAAAGATATCTAGGAAGAACGGGAGGGTTGTCGCGCGGTGCCGCAGATGGGAAGAAGGAGGTTGCACCGGAGTTTTGGTGGTCAACTGGTGGCTGTCGCGGTACAGAAGTTGGGAAATGCACGCTAAATTCTGTCGAGGTTTATACTTCTCTCAATCGTGCTTTTATTTTCTTACTCCATACACCCAGCAACAGCCACCGCCCAGCGCCCTGCGCGGACAGCCACACGCGGGTGATTTTCCTGCTTTTCCTTCTCAGCCTGAACTCTCACTTTTTCTGATCCTTCTTTCGTCTCGACCCGGAAGTGTCACTTTTCACGATGGCGGCTCCCACGACCATCACGAAGCTGCCCGAGGTGCTCCGCAGTCCTACGTCTCTCCAGTATCTTTCGTACAGACACCCGGTCAAACACTCAAACCCGTACTTCAAGCCCAGATTCACCTTTAAGCTCGAAGACCGGAAACATACTCTGCTGGACATTTACCGTTTGCGGCACACAGACCCCTTGATGCCCCCCTACCCTTACGGCGAGAACAAGCATTTTCCTGAAGCAAATTTCGGCCTCTACGGTGGTGCGTCGGTGCAATCTGGGAGCAAGATCTCTAAGGGCAGAAATAAGGGGAAGTCTTTGCGGCATTGGTTCCCCAATGTTCGAGTTGAGACAGTGAGAAGCGAAGCTTTGGGCAGGGACCTCAAGATACCCATTACCGCCCGAGTTATGAGGACTATCAACAAATGTGGCGGTATTGATCAATATGTCACTGGGATGAAGCCCGCTCGAATAAAGGAGCTGGGTATGTTGGGCTGGAAGCTTCGATGGCTGGTCATGACATCTCCCAAGTATCGGGCAGAGCACGCCAAACAGTTGCAGAAATACAACCTTCCCACACACTACTCCTTATCGGGCTCCTTTGAGGATGCGTGGAACGACGAAAATGTCCGTGCCAAAATGATCGAGCAGCAAGAAGCGGCATGGAGTGATCTACGAGAGGCAGCTGGTCGGTTTGAAAAGCACGTGCAAAGGAATTGGATCGAGAGCGGGGAGAAGGAGACTTACCAGATTCCAAAGCTAGAGACCCTCAACCGCAGCAGTCCGCTCTCGTTGGGGCTGCCAGAACACCTAGAAGAGCCGGATATTGTTGACAAAAAGTACAGACATCTCAGAACTTTCAAGAAGTCCGCCAGAGATGGTGTGCAGGAAATCTCAACGGAAGCTCCGTCTCTTGAGGGCATCGACGGGGTCATCAGGGACGATCCGGAGGTGGCGGCAATTATAACAGCGCAGACCAACTCGGGGGACGTTGAGGGACATATAGAGGGAACCACAGCAAACACGGAATCTCATGACCTCGAAGAAAAAGCACCGGAAGATCATACATCAAGTGGAGCCCATGTTGATGCGACCAAGGAGACGCCAACTTCAGAGCCTCAGTCGAAGACAAGCATATAACGTGAGGGATGACGAGGTTACAATTGGAGTCGCGAAGTGCTGGTCGGAGGAGATGGAGAAGATCAAGGTCATTGTAAAGCGGGCTTTTTGCATACCCAGGGCAGGTTGTCGAAAGACGAAGAAAAGTCAAATGTTGAACAATGCTGTACCATATACCCAGATCACCTCTGGGAGAGAGCGTGCCACGTACTCTAAATCAGAGAAAGAGACATATTCAACTCGTATGAGGAATGTGCCCGTGGATTTTGAGGCTCTGCTCGTTGTTGGTCTGAGACGCGCCATGCGGTTGTGATGCTTCTTTGGCGACAGCAACCCATTGACACTCCAGGATAATGGCGGAAAAAGTTTCTCGGTCACAGACCACTCTTCTCCTCATGATACCTCACAAGCAGCCGTTTCCGGCGGAAGTCTTTGCTCCAGCATCGTTCACAGGGACTTGTCCCTTGGCCTCCAACTCCTTCCACCTCGCGAACAGCTTCTTGAAAGCTAGGGGATCCTGGGCCCCCGATACCTCCCACATATCATTGATCTCGTAGAAGGGCACACCGGAGATGCCCTTCATATGTGCCTCCTCTGCTTCTTTGTCGACCAACTCTCCGTCCTTCCCAGAGGTCAGATACTCGGTGATTTCCTCCTTGGTGCCAAGTCCGGCCTCCAATCCGACATCCACTAGGGTTTCGAGAGTGGTGATGTCAACTTCCTCCTCAAAATAGCGCCTCCAAAGACCGAGCATGACCTTGTTCTGCGAATCCTCACCTCCTTTGTCCTGCGCCCAGTGGACCAGTCTATGTCCGTTCCTCGAGGGTCCTGTCATACCGCCGAATTTGAAGTTGAGCCCCTCCCCACGGGAGGTCTGGCCCATCATAGCCTCAATCTGCTTGGCGCGCTCAGGCCCAAACTTGGCGGCGTACATTTCACGTCTTGGGCGCGATGGGGCTGGGAAAGGTGGTGGTGCCGGACCGCTACCGGCGGTCAACTGTGGCGGTGGGTTGAGATAAAATGGTAAGTATTTCAAGTGAAACTTGTCATCGGGATATGTCTTTTTATGCTCGGCGATCGCGCGAGACAAACGCGTATGACCTATGAAGCACCATGGACATACGATATCGCTCGTGATGGTGATATTGTAGTTCGTCATTTTGAGAAGAAGTTGTCGAGTGGGAGCGAAGAGCATCAAACGATGGCGAGACTGCGGTGTGATATGGAAGAAAGAGTCGTTTATCGATAAGGCTTTTGCTTCACACGTGGAGAACTCTCGAGCTCTCTAGCAATCAGTGTCCGTGAAGAAGATGAGGAGGATCGTGTATAAAAGGCAGATGATGGATTTGTCAGCCACTTGAAGTGACCGGCTGCTCTGTTCCGGTCGCCCTCGGCGAATGATTGGGGAGGGGCTGGCTCTCTATTCCATCTGTTTCATGGACTGATTCTTTGTGACATGCATCCTCCAGACCATCACTCCAATGCAATGGCCCAATCTGAGAACATGAGATTTTCTGTGGAAGTCGAGGGATGAGCCGTCAGAAGCATATCGTGAGCTGTGCTGGGTAGTCAGAAGGGCTGTGACGGCCTTGATTGGGTTCTACTATTCCCTCTGCCTGTCTCTTAGATCGGTGAGGACCCTCGAAGATGCAGCCTTGCCATTGTACTCGACATATGTATCGCAGGCATCAAGTGGGCTGGCCCCTGATTAGGCTGCAGTGCCCTGTTCAGCCTTCCCGGAAATCTTTCCGTCTGACGGCATCTTTAGAGTGCCAGCGGGGCCATTAGTCTGTAAATGTCTGTCAGACAGTGTATCATTTCTCCCCACTCGACCCTTTATTTCCATCCAGACACTCTTCGCCCTTCATCAACTCGTCCGCAAACCCATGTTCCACTATCAATATCATGTCCAATTCATACCTCCCTACACTCGCTGGTAGTGGTGACGATGGTGACGGGGACGATGAAGACCAATTCTTCGATACACATCAGTTCTTCGTTGGCCCCTCAAGCACTGAGAGCTGCTCTTCACATGCAGAATCAAATCTCCTGGTACACTTGCCCAGTCATGCATCCTATTCCATTCAAGATCGAGCTGATGGCATTTAGCACTCCGAAAATGGCATGAGAACGTCCCTGTTGAACTCCCCCGCTGCAGATTCAATTTGCCACAAACCGGGTCGATTTCGCTTCGAGCCAACGCCCTTTATGGACGACTACATCGCGCTTGGATCTATTCGCCTTGTTCGACCTACCGCCAGTGCGCTCGATCGCGGTTGGAGAATGGTTGGATCCACGGGAGAGGCTACGCACCCCCACTCTCTGCTGACCTTGGGCGAGAAACGTCTATGGATCAAAACTTGCTATTCTGAGCATGCCAAACTGCCTGATTGTGCCTCCTTGAGAATCTATACACTACCAGAAGATGTCAATCGAAGCACTCGAGGCTCGATCAAGGATCTTAGAAAGGTTCTGAAATTCCTCACCGAGTTCGTCGACATCTCTCGTGATGCTTGGGATGGCACCTACGATCCAGCCTCGCCTTTGCAAACCTATAAGCAAGCACATGTTTTCCAGGAGGAATCTCTCTTTTACATATTCAATACTCTATCCTCGCCTCAAACTTCCCTCACCGATGGAGGCCCTGGTCTGCACAACCGGCACTCAATGCATGACATCTTTGGGAACAAGATCGACGGCCTCCAGACTTCGTTGTACCCCTATCAAATGCGGTCGGTAGCCGCGATGTTGCAAAGGGAAGTAAATCCATTCATGTTCTTAGATCCTAGAAAGCAATGCTTTCGAGACCTCAGTGGCACAAAGTTCTATCTCGACGTCTACGAAGGCTCCCTGCTTCGTCACCCTCACCTCTACAGTCAATGTCGTGGTGGTATCCTCGCAGAAACCATGGGCTACGGCAAGACACTGATATGCATTGCTCTGATTCTAGCAACCAGAGGACATTATCCTACCATCCCCGAGGGTAGAGTAAACGCCATTACTGGGAAGGTTAACGAACGCACACCAAGCCTGCTTGACCTAGCTGCAAAAACGATCAAGCAAACTTCTGTGCCGTGGAAAGCCCATTTTGCAAATCTCAAGAAGGAGGGCTATCACTTTGACAGCTGTACAGAAGCTCTGGCCAGGTACAATGGCGAGTATGCTGAGCCAATCTTCCATCCAACAACTCCGGATCGACGAGGCAAGAAAAGAGAAGATTTCCGAGTGCTGCGCCTTGCATGTACAACGTTGCTGATCGTTCCGCCCAATCTTCTCGTCCAATGGCAACATGAGATAGAAAAGCATACGGAAGCGGGTGCGCTTGATGTATTGGTCCTCGACTCGACCACGAAAGATATACCTCATTGGAGGGAATTGATCAAACACGACATTGTTCTCATCACCAAAGCACGCTTTGAGCAAGAATACAGGGATGACGATCTCAACCAGGGTAGACGGTTCAAAGGACAGGAGAAGTTTCGATCTCAGCTAACTGAAGTTCGATGGCTGCGCGTCATTTGCGACGAGGGACATGGCTTTGCAGGCTCCAGCTATCGAACACATGCAATGACGATGTTGGACAAGATGTCCGTTGAACGCCGTTGGGTTGTCTCTGGCACACCATCCTACTCACTTCACGGTGTTGAGGTTAACCTCGCGCTCGACGAGACCAACAACCACACGAAGAGTTTGCGGAGACACTCCATCGAGACCGCTTTGGAAAGAAGAAAAGCCAAGGATTCTGCATCTGAAGAGCTCAAAGATATGGACCGCTTACGCGCCATCGTTGTCAGATTTCTCAAGGTGCAACCCTGGGCAAACCAGAAAGGCGCCGACCATGCCGATTGGAAAAGATATCTCTCGCCTTTCGACGCCTCTGGCAAGCGTCGTTTCGCACCCGCGCTGCGAGTGATACTGCAGTCTCTCATCATCCGCCATCGAATTGAGGACATCGATGTCGATCTCTGCCTTCCTCCTCTGCACAACAGGACAATCTACCTGGAGCCAAGCTATTACGACAAGCTTAGCATGAACCTCTTCAGGCTGGTTCTTACCTCCAATGCCATCACTTCCGAAAGAGTGGACGAGGATTACATGTTTCATCCTAAAAATCGCAAATCCCTCGATGAATTGATTACCAATCTCCGCCGATCCAGCTTCCACTGGGTCGGATTTACTGAGCACGAGGTGACTGAAACCTTGAGAGTCAGTAACAAATATCTAGAAGAACACCTTGACCTGATCTCCGACGAAGACGGTGCGCTTTTGAGTGAGGCAATCCAGAATGGTGAACGAGCCCTGAGTGACTCCGGTTGGCATGCTTTCTCGTTCTACCACGAAATCGGCGTGTATGTCGAAGACTTCCCCAGCGATGCTGCGGCGGCCTGGGCGTTAAATGGCGAACATTCGAACCCCCTCCTTCTCGGAACCGTTCAAGCTCGAGAGGCGCAGCAGTATGTGCTGAAACACCTGGAGCTCGACGGACCCTGGATTCAACTTGCTGGGGCGGGACTCCGAGCCATGCACGCAGCTCGTGAACGAGCCATAGAAGAGCAACAAGCCAGAGATAAAGTCCAATCAAGCTCCAGCGGAAAGAAGCCTCCCACAGCGGGAGCAACAGAGGAACCCAAGCTCAAGAATCAATCAGGCTCCCCGTCTCCTGTGCGCTCTTCGACACGAGATGTGGCTCCCGAGCTTTTCCGCTCACCAAGAAAGCGACTTTTCTCGACGAACAATCCCATCGTCCCAGCACCCTTGGCCAAGTCACGCATCGTTGGATTTACATCCGCGAAGCTCAATTACCTCTGCTCACGTATCTTGATGCTACAGGCCACAGAGAAGATTATTATCTTCTACGACTCGAACAACATCGCCTTCTGGATCGCCGAAGCTCTTGAGTTGTTATCCGTCAAATTCCTCATCTACGCAAACACACTCTCGGTGACCCGCCGCGCCGCTTACCTTGCCACTTTCAATCAGTCGGAGGTGTTTCGCGTTCTCCTCATGGATCTCAAACAAGCTTCTCATGGCCTCCACGTGGCTGCCGCAAGCCGCATCTTTATTGTATCCCCGATCTGGCAGCCCGATGTCGAATCACAAGCCATCAAACGCGCACATCGAATTGGCCAGACGCGTCCTGTCTACGTCGAGACGCTCGTCCTGAAAGGCACTTTGGAGGAGAAGATCCTCAAGCGACGCCGGCAGATGAGCAATGCAGAGCTGGTCAAGGCAGAGAAAAGCCTGTTGGACGATGGCATGATGAACGGGATCATTCGAGGGGAAGGCTTCTTGAAGATCGCACAGGATGAGAAAGAGCAGTTGAGAGGAGGGAGGCTAGACGAGCCGGTCCCCCTGTTTGTGAGACGCGATGGCCCTGTCGGCGCGGACGACGGAGAGGATGGTGACCTGATCCTGGGCTTGGAGGACGAGCGTTCCTCGAAGAAGAAGAAGGTTGAAAATAAAGGGAAGACGAAAGGGAACGGCAGGACAGTGGCATTTGGACCGGACAAGGTATTTCCTCTGTCTTCGGGAGCTGCACTTAATACATCGCCGCCGGCGTTAGAGACCCACACCTCGATATTCGGTGCTGGGCTGCAGCCGAGCAACGAGAAGCCATAGAAAAGCGTCCGCATCGTGTTCGATATCACGCCAGCATCTGCTTCCGGTGTCGGTGGCTCTGGAGCTTGATTCTTCGGACGCCGCCTGCTGGAACAACATCTCACATGACACGGCGCCAGAATTTTAGCAGACGCAGGGTTGGGAATGGGGTCTTGTTTGCTGATAGAAAGTGCTGCGACTGCGTCGGCTTGTATGACTCTACGGAAGGGAGATTTCTGCACGATTTCAAGGCTTAAATGGTAGATACAGGCTCGACGGAAGTGCACATATGATGGCTCAGGCATATTTATCCCAAAGATAAATGAATGAGGGAGAGCTACTTAGCATATATTCTGACACAACGGAACCAGTTGCAATCTGCTAGTCTTGTAGCTCTGACATAGACGCAGACTTCTGCCAACCCTGTTCAGGGAATGGACAAAATCCCCTTTTCCAGCCCGAACTCTATTATCACAGATCCTTGACACCTCATCCTCGTTGGTTCTCATCAAATCCTGTAATCGTGCGCAAGCAAACCCAGGTCGGTCTCCTCAAATCGAGACGAAGAAGCTCTTCTCGCCCTCTCTTGGCTCAACCAGGCACCTCTTCAGGATCGGATCTGCGCAAGATATCCGAATCCTCTCGGGCGTCGCAGGGCTCCTAAGGCTCAGCACATCTTCCTCGCCATACTGTTTCCTGGCGGCCTTGAGGGCATCTCTTATTGCGAAGAAGACTGCACTCCCCATAAAGAGAGGCGGCTCCCCTACGCCCCGCGAGCGCTGGATCGTGCGGAGGTTCTTCCATTCCACGTCTTTCAGCAGCGAGATGTTCATGATCTGAGGAATATCTCTGAATCCAGGGATTTTGTACGCGCCGGGGCCGCGGGTGAAGATCTGGCCGCTGGCTCTGTGCCAAAGAGACTCCTCGGTCGTGAATAGGCCTTGGCCTTGGACATAAGCGCCTTCGATTTGCCCGTAGTCGATTGCCGGGTTGATACTTCGCCCAACGTCCATCTTGATGTCTGACCGCAGGCAAGTCCAGTCTCCAGTCAAGGTATCGAGGAGCACCTCACTGGCGGTCACACCCTGCGTGAAGTAAAAGAACATCTTGCCCGTGTTTTCCTTGCTTGGGTCTGAAGGATTCGGTCCCCAGATATATCCAATGTCGGGGGTCTTATAGAAGCCTTGCGCGGAGAGGTTGACACGGTCAAAGTACGCGGCGTGAGCCAGCTCTTTCATCGTGGCATTGGGGCCAAACTTTTCGCGATACGGAGCGAGACGCTCGTTGAGTTGCATGCATGCGTTGTACGCTGCGTAGCCATTCAGGTCCGATGACGCCGATGCGGCTGTGCTCGAAGAGTTGGCGACAGTGTTGGTTGCCGTCTCTGAGATGTGGACGTCTGTGAGAGGTATCTGGAGTGCTTCAGCCACGATCATGCAGATCTTGGTGTGCAACCCCTGGCCCATCTCCGTACCTCCGTGGGCTACGAGGACAGAACCGTCATGGTAGATGTGAACGAGTGCCCCCGCTTGGTTGAGGAAGAGGGCAGTGAACGAAATGCCGAATTTGGTCGGGATGATCGCCAGTCCCTTCTTTTGCCATTTGTGCGTGGCGTTGAATTCATCCACCGCTTTCCGGCGGGCGTCGTAGTCAGCGGACTCTTTAATCTGCTTGTACATCAAGGGCACGTGCCAATCCTCGAGCGCCTGGTTGAAGTGTGTCTCTTCACCATCCTTGTAGAAATTGATTTCTCGGAACGTTTCGACGGGGATCTTCAGATGGTCTGCGATTTCCTCCATGTATGACTCGGCAATAAACATGCCTTGGGGGCCTCCAAAGCCACGGAACGCACTGTTGGAGACAGTGTTGGTCCTGCAGAGACGTCCATCCACATCTATGTGGGGAATGTTGTAGCAGCCGTCAATATGCGATAGTGCACGATCAACAACGGCAGCGGACAGATCTTGGGACCAACCGGCGTTGTTGAAGATGTTGGCTTTGAGAGCCTGGATCTTACCATCCTTGTTGACCCCGACCTTCCAAATACCCAGGAAAGGATGCCTCTGTCCAGAGGTCATAATATCCTCGTCCCTGTTGAGCATGCATCTTACCGGTCGCTTGACCTTGTTTGCTGCTACTGCACAAATGGTGGAGAGTTGAACGGATCGAGTCTCCTTGCCGCCGAATCCGCCACCAAGACGCTTCACCTTGGAGACAATTTTATTTGATTGAACACATAGGGCTTTCGCGATGTACGCTTGTGTTTCGGCTGGGTTCTGGGTACTGCTCCAAATTTCCATTTCGCCGTCTTCCGGCTTGGGAATCGCCAGAGCAGCCTGGGTCTCCAGGTAGAAATGCTCCTGGCCGCCCATTCTGGACGTACCTTCGAAGACGTAGTCGCATTCTTTGAACGCTTTCTCCACGTCACCTCTTCGGATATATCTGTAGTGCTCGTAGAAGCTTTGCTTCTCTATTGCTTCTTCGATGGTATAGATGGCCGGTAGCTCCTCATATTGGACCAAAACAGCACGTGCACCGGCGGCAGCTTGCTGAGAAGTGTTCGCCAGGATCATACCGATGGGTTGGCCGGCCGTAAAGACTTCATCTTCGGCAAAGAAAACTTCGTCGCAGACAGGAGCCCCCCACCAGTTCGCTTTTGGATCGACAAAGTCATACCTATCAACCCAGGCGATGACACCTGGGAGCTGAAGTGCCGGGCTGGGGTCAACGCTGATCAACTTGGCATGCGCTTTGGTTGACAAGACGAGGCAGCCGATAAGTTCGTTCATTTGTACCGGAATATCGTCGGTATACTGGGCTTCGCCAGTGCATTGCTTCAATGCGGCCATGTGAGGGTGTTCTTTCCCGAGGATTTTCTGTGAGTAAGCAACTGAAGCATCATGATCCTTTTCGCCGCGAGAAATTTCTCTTTCAATCTCTTCGATTGCTTCTTTGTCCACCTCTTTGCTGGCTTCCTCAATGTTGAGAAGGACATCCTGGTAGAAACGATAAAAGAAGCCCAGAGCCAAAGATTTCCGGTACCAGGCCATGCCTCCTGGCACACCAAACGGTAGGTTGAAGTCGTGCTCCAGAGCATTCATTACCCCTTCCAGCGTTTGGGGGTCTGTAAATGTCTTGCCCACAATGTACCCGGATGCCTGCTTGGCCTCGATCGTGATGGGAGCCATGCCTCCGTACACTAAGTTCGCATTCTTTACCTTGTAGTCGTCGTCGAGGGCGACTCGCAGACAAGCATTGACGATGGCGATGTCATCATCTTTTCTCTTCGACTGCTTATAGGACCTGACATACTCTCCTTTCTCCGCGGCGAGAGGGATTCTCATTGCCGCAATGACAGCGTCTCCCGGCAACGCAGTCACCCTATAGCTCTTGAAGAAGCTCGCCATAGGAATCTCGGTAGTCTTGGTGAGAGACTTGGCAACCAGTGTCGAGTTTGTAGCAACAAAGACGGGATTGAGATCAGAGATGGGCGATGCGGTCGCCAGGTTCCCTGCGGGAGTCCCAACATTCCGGATTTGACGGCCCGCAAAGTACCTGATCGCTTTCTTGATGGCTTTGAATGGTTGGGCCTTGGTAGGTCCATAGTGTTTGACAGCTTCATCACAGATATTCTCTAGATCCGTCAGGGCAACATTGCCGCCAATTTCGAGATAATCATCATAGAAAGAGTACTGTCGAAGCTCCGCAATATCCCCCACATACACTGACGCTGAATACTGCGCGGCTTTGAATTTGATCTCAATCTGGGTTTCTGTGCTGCCACCAATCAACTTGGCGCCCGGATGAGCATTCTTGATTTCGAGAAGCTGTTGCAGAGTCACGGGTCTATACCATTTCTTTCGCTTATTGCCAAAAGCCAGCGGTTTGAAGTCGTGCTTTTTCAGTGCTGGAGGGTATATTAACTCCGTGGACTTGTCGTAATGGATAAAAGATGGAGGCGTGAATTTCTTCTCGGCTGCTGCATCCGCTCCGTTCGTCTCACCATTCGTGGCGCCATTGCATGAGCCGCCGTTCTCCATGCAACAGCCTGAACCGCCATTTGCAATCGACTTGCCACACGCCTTGTTGAAGCTCTGAGCAGCGTCTAGGATGGGCCTGTAACCCGTGCATCGACAAAGGTTGCCGTCAAAATTCTCCTCAATTTCCAGTTCGGATGGCTCAGGGCCGTAATTTCTGAGCAACGAATACAAGCTCATGACAATTCCAGGGGTGCAGAAACCGCATTGGCTTCCACTCGCCATGGCAATCCGTTGCTGTGCAGGATGTGGGTTTTTCGAGCTGCCAATTCCCTCGATTGTGATGACATGCTTGCCGTCCACGCTGGCCAGAGGAGCGAGACATGCATTGACCGAAGCATGATATATCTTATTTGTGGTGGGATTCAACTGCGATATGACGACGGTGCAGGCACCGCAACCACCTTCTGCGCAGCCCAGTTTTGTTCCTGTCAAGCCAACTCCTCTCAAATATTCGAGCAGTGTAATTTCCGGATCTACTGAGTCCAACTCGACCTTTGTGCCATTGAGGTAGAAGCGGAGTGTGTCATCGTAGCTCTCGGTGAGGGAAGCGAGCGAAACCACCTTTTCAGCAGTCGCTGCTGGCTCGAGGACGCTAGGCGCCATCTCGAATGCGGGGGGACTGGCGGAATAGCGTGAGAACAGTAAAGGAAAAAAGAGGTGGGAGTCCTGTCAGGTTAGCATTCCCAGGCAGGCCTTTTCTATAACCTGCAGGTAAACGAAGACACACAAAGAACACGAGGTAGGATCAAGGTCGTACGGAGTCAGCCTGACGAAGAAAAACAAGGACGGACTCGTTCGAGACTACCAGATCCTTATCGGAGACTGCCTGAAGCTTTTTGATCAGAGCAGAAGCAATTCGATCCATGGTATTGATAGGGAAATGGGACGCGATGGCGAGAGTGCGCGAATCAGATGAGCGACAATTACAACCAGACAAGATCTCACCAATCTCGTAAAGCCAGCTGACGTTAATCGACACTGTGAGATGTGAACTTTGTGGTTGTGGGCGAATGAAGCGCTGCGGAAGTGGTCGACATGGGTCGCTCACCCCTCCTTTTTCTCCATTCGATGTGCGAGCGGCGACCTCCGATATCAACGCCACGGCACTTGTTTGGCTTCTCCCGGAAACTGGTCGCAGTCGAGATGACCGGAGAACTGCTTACTATGACCCCAGAATACCCGCCGAAGTCTATGCCTTGAGCTGACCGATCGAAGGAAGAGAGTCCGCACTACACAACGTCAAGGCCAGTCTGGAGAAAGACTGGCGCAAGAGATGGCGCCCTGGATACTGATGGCGAGTGGCATAGTGGCTCGGAGGGAGGCGACGGGAATCAACAGACTCGTACAATGGTGGACTTGACGGCGATCTATCTTGTTCTTCATTTTCTATCCCAACGCCTCTCAAGGCTGGGTATCTCGCTGGTCCTACTTCTGGCTCTCTGGCCCCTTTCCAATCCAGCTCAAGATTCTATCGTACAACTCAGGAAACCCTCTTCCTCATCCTGCCGTCGGCGCTCACGCCGTGAGCACCACGTGGTGCAGTTGCCACACTGCGTTCACCTCGTTCACATTGTAAAAGGGCTCTGGCACCTTGAAATTGCCCCATTCACCTGTCAGTTGCATGCACAGGTAGGTCAATACCTCCTCCGTCCAGCTCCCTGACATGACTAGCGCCGAGCGAATCATCTCCATCGCCCTCATACAGCTGTCCTCAGCCAATGGCTTGCCCAGCGACAAGATGCGATCAATGTGGTAATTGAAAACCAGTCTGTCGGACTGCGGCGTCATGTCGTTCGGGAAGACGATTTGCAATACTGTCTGGCCAGTTCCGCGCACCGAATTCCATTGCTCTTGTGTCGGATGCACGATGCTTCCATCAAGCATCTCGACGTCGTTGAAGATGAAATAGTCAGAGTCTTCCATGGCACGGTACACTGCCTGTCTGTGACGCTCGACAATGTCATGGTATCGGCCAAAGATGTAGGGTCGCTTGGGGAGTTGCCTAGGGCGAATGGTATCTCTATCTATTGGTCCGTTGATCTTGTTCCTGCCACATTCCATAGCCCAGTGGCGTTGAATGTCGTCGTACAAGTGCTGCTTTCTGCAGTAGCGGCTGAAGCTGTCAGTCCCACAGGCGGGGCAGATAACCACGGCGCAATCTAACAGGATCATCAACGTTAGCAGGCTTTTCGCTGTTGGAGATTCACTGGCGCCATATTGCATCGAGGACTTACCCCAGCAACTGGTCATGTTACGGCAGTCGGGTTTCAAACACCTCAAACGCGGATCAAAGCTGTCGAATTTGAATCCAGCAGAAGGGGGTTGGGGCTCTTGATCACCAGATTGGGGACGCTGCAGAACGTTGGTAAGCGACCAGCCAAAACGACAGACAGGACAGAAAGCATACCTCGCAACGTTCCAAACCCTCGTTGGTCGAAGTGGTTGTCTGATTCTCTGAAGTAGTCTTGCAGTTTTCATGTTCCTTCTTCTGTGTATGTTCTTCGGTCTTCCCAACCACAACTGCACCGCCTCCTTCTCCTTGTTCGTTGTCTTGTTGACTTTTGTCAGAAGAGCTGATGGCAACATCTTTATTCGAGAAATCTGCTTGAGTTACCGTCCGGTCAGAATCACTCGAATGTCGAGAAGCAGTGCCATCAGAATCTTGGTCCAGCTCCACGGCTGTACGAGTCTTACTGGATTTCCCGCGCTTGCCCTTCTGCTTCCGCTTCGTCGACGGTGCTGCGCTCAAAGTATTCGCGGGATTGTCTCCACCAGGGTTAACAGCGGGCAAGGGCAGGGCAGGGGCTGATGATGGATTTGTGGGCGGTCCGGAGAGTGTAACATCAGCCATGTTGTCCACAATGCTAGAGAAGCTGTTGTCCCCTGAAGGTTGGGCTGCCTCATTCGATGATGTCTTGTCCTGTGCAACCGTTTTTTTGTGCGGTTTCTTTTTGGTCGGTCTCTTCTTCTTGCCCTTCTTTGTGGAAGTTGCCTGCACATTCGCCGCGGGCTCTGGTATCGACGGTTTGGTCATTGTGCTTGCAGAAGGAGAGCTTGAAGGTGATGAAGAAGACGAAGAGGGGGATGGCCGTGAATGAGGGTTATCTAGGTGTGAACGAGACCCTGGACCGGCAGAAATATTATGTTCACTGCCATCTTCCGCCGAGACGTCGCGATCACTAGGGGCGAGCGTTTCCGGGGCTGCGGCAGTTCCTTCATCGACAACGTTCGAATTCGTGTAAAATTGGCCTCGCCTGATGGTTTCCACAAGAACGACTGCCTCTGTTCGCCTGCCAGGTTCATTGATGAAGCGGCGAGCTTCCGAGAAGATTCGCATCGCCGTCATGACAGCTACAGCCATATCGTGCTGTATGAAGTCAGCCCAAAATATTCGATTGTCCAAAGGACTTTGGAGACTCACAACTGGAGCAACACTTGATCGAAACCACGAGCGCACGAAATCTCGGTGGTTGATTTTGACAAACACCTGCCACGAACATTTGGCTCGGCCCAGGCCTATGTCAAAGGTATGATGGCGGTATTTGACGAGACCTGCTGAAAGCAACGTCTTGTCGATTATGATAAGTGTCTCCTCTTGCGGCCCTGCGAAGAGGATCTCGTTTCCACTTGCATCCCTGGTGGAGAAGGGTGTCACACGTTCGGTGTTTTCAACGACCCTTTTTTGGTATTCTTGTCGAAGAGAGGCCAGCTCTTCATTTTGAACGGTCCAATTCAGTTCTTGGACTCCTTGGATGCCCAAGGGCATCGTTTCTCGGGCAAATGATCCTTTGTCGTTGGTACTTTTGAACAGCTGTTCTGCAATGACACTCGCGATACCCAAGGCTTTGGTGTCTGTCTGGTATAAAAGGAATATCTTCTGGCAAAAGCCAGCAAGGACTTCTTCAGCGTTTCTACCTCCAAAAGCAGCACCCAGAGAGCGAGTTACTGCTACCAATTCCTCATTCTGCAGGTCGATCGAGTGGACGCGAGACCCTTCGGAGGGCCACAAGACCTTTGAATCTTTCAAGGACGAAGAATTGTGTGACACATACGCGTGGGACTGATTCAGAGTTTGACGCTGGCTCTCGGGCTGTCCCACGGACTTGTTGTCTGACCTGTGGTGAGAAGGGGCGCATCAGCAAGCAGCTCGTGACGGCTCGTGACGACTCGAAGGGCTTCCCTTACGCGCTTGACATTGCTTCAGACCAAGAGCCGACGTTGAGTTCTTTCCAAAGAGCCTCTGTCTGCAGCTGTTCCAATAAGTGGTGGTTTAAGAGCTCTGGTGGTCCAGGAAGTCGCAGGGTCAATTTGTGAAGAAGATTCATCACGTTCGGATACATGGGCAATTCTAGTGCATCCATGAAAGAGTACCGGCACAAAATGGCCACGTGCGCCAGACGTCTCTTTCACCGAGTACTTCACCATAGCGACAACAATGTCCTAGGTTATCAACGGCCTGTCTATTTGGCTAACCATTTATTGAGGCAGTGGGGATCAGGCAGGTGAGATTCCATCTGATGTAGGTATGGTTGAATCATTTCGGCCCAGTGTCCTGTCCTTTATCAAATTCAGGCGCTTTCATCCTACATCGGAGCAGGATTTCTCTTTGTTTCTCGCAAGAGCGCTGGGACGATGTTGGATCGACCGAGCACAAGGCCACTGCTGGAGACACTGAGGAGAACATATTGCACGAGAGCGTTCCAATTGTGTGAAATCACTTTGTATGAGAGATGCCATGCTAGTTACCAGTTACCAAACTATGGTTGACTGCTTGATCTTGGAAGAATGATGTTGGAAAAGGGGTGCTCGCCTGCTCTACTAGACTGGAGCATGTCCGCTTAATCCATTTACGGTTAGTTCAATCATGTGATCCGAGACCAACCCGATGCCCCCACCTGCGCCATCAACGCCTAGGTTTTCCTGAGCACCATCACCCACCTTATTGACTCCGACTACCCTTTCGTATTCGACTACGTGCTCTTCTTTTACCGTCGTCTCTGTTTGCTGCAACCTGCCCGTTATTGCGCTTTCATAGTAGATGGCAGACCTTAGCAACATCCTCGCCGCGTTGGCGGCACAAAGACAAGGGAGCACTCCGCAAGCCGCTCCCCCTCCACCGGTTCCTGGTGCTCCCTACCCTCCGCCTCAGTACGCCACTCCTCCAGGCAGTGCACCACCCTACGGTCTACCTCAGCCCATACACTCTGGGAGTGTTGATCTGACCAACATAAAACCAGTCAGCTCGGGCTCTGTCAGCATTGCCGATGCCGTTGCCAAAGCTCGGGGCATAGCTGCCGAAAAGGGCTTGTCTTATGACCCAAGTAGACGTACGCGAGACCCGTTTGGACTTTCGAGACGCTCATTGACTGTTGCTGTATAGCACCCATTAACCCTTCCGATCTTCGCACTGGAAGCAGAGCATACCGACGCTCAAGGTCACCCTCTCGGTCCCCTCCGCACCGCGAGGGCTATCGCGACGTCTACAATGCCTACAGAGATGAACGACGCGGGAATGACCGCGGATACAACAGAGAGCGCTCGTTGTCTCCAAGAGGTGGGCGTTATTCTCCTGGACGATATCGCGACGATCGGTCACCAGGTCTCGACCGAGGAGGGGAAGGTGATTCGGAAATTCTACCGCTTGACAAAGGCGTAGTTGGCCTTATCATCGGGCGCTCCGGAGAAAACCTGCGCAGGGTTGAAAACACCACGGGCGCCCGCGTCCAATTTATGGATGGACCCGAAGTTCCAGGCCCTCAACGACACTGTAGAATATCTGGCAGTCGAGCCGCACGGGCAGCTGCCAAAGCCGAGATTTTCAGGATCATTGACGACAACGAGGTTGTAAAGAGGGGGCAGGACAAGTCGCGCACCAACCAAACCAAGGTCACGACTACCAAAGAGGGTGACAGCCTTCAAATGATGGTCCCTGACCGAACAGTGGGCTTGATTATTGGCCGAGGCGGAGAAACCATTCGAGATTTGCAAGATCGAAGCGGGTGCCATGTCAACATCGTCGGAGAAAACAAGAGTGTAAATGGCATGCGACCTGTCAACCTTATCGGCAGCGCGTCGGCTCAGCAGTACGCAAGAGATTTGATACTGGAAATTGTGGAGAGTGATCAAAAAGGCATCAGCATCAAAGACCTCCACCGTGAGCGCGAGGACTCGCACAGCAAGATCAATGACAGTATCGTCGTACCCGGCGAGGCAGTGGGTATGATCATCGGCAAAGGTATGTTTCAAGTCATTTATGCGACGTGATACCCAACTAATCTCCTTGCAGGGGGTGAGTCTATTCGTGATATGCAGAATCAAACAGGGTGCAAAATCAATGTCTCGCCTGCTGCTGGACGAGATATTGAACGCGAAATTGGTCTCATTGGCAGCCGGCACGCCATCGATGCGGCCAAACGTGCCATCATGGAGAAAGTTGACGTTGTAGTAAGTGGTCGCCGTGGCGTGGCCCTTGGTGATGCAATTTCGCTAACTTGTTCCAGCGTGCTCGAACACAAGCTCGTGAACGTGAAGGTCGCGACGACTATGCGGACAGGTACCCAGGACAACAGCCCACATATCCTCCTGCTGCGGTCGGCGTGGCCCAGGGCGTTGCGCCGCCCCCAGCTGCTGGGGCGGCAGACCCATATGCCGCGTATGGGGGCTACCAGAACTACCTTCAGATGTGGTATGCAGCCATGGCGGCTCAACAACAAGGTGGCCAAGGTCAAGGTGAGCAACGATAAGGCGCGTTGAGTGGACCAACCGTGACCTGGCTCGTGACTGTGGAATTTCGACGTCGTTGCTGGATGATCTCTAAACCCCTTGACGACCATGCTCTCGCCTCCTCGACGTCCGGATGAGTGCTCGCCATGCTGACTTGGCCAATCTTCGCACATGCTGTGACCCACCTCCTTCGAAACCACCGTCGACCTTGCAAGTTCTGGCTTCGCATGATATCGCTGTACACTCACACACGTCTCTGTTGGTGTGACACGCCTCCTTCTCGTTCCTGACCGTTGTTCGCACTTGCGACTCGACCAAGCTCCACGTGCCGCCATCTTCGGGCCTTTGTGCCAGCTACAGGTGACGAGCAAGACGAGATGATGAACGACCACCCATATACCGGGGAACGGCATGGGAGTGCTAGTTGACATTCGCCACCTTGCATTGTGTTGATCAACATAGCTTCAAGTACCATATTGGGGTTTGCATCCCTCGGCGCACGACATTCGACTTCTACCATGTGAATACCGTAGGTACAAGTATTAACATGCAACTCCGCTCGGCTGTACTTGTATGTGTTGGCAGCCTCGTCACGTGGCAGATGATGGGAGGGCTGAGCAGTGATGCAAGGGGCAGTAGGCCGCAAGTAGTAAAGCTCGTTGAGGCTTGAATCATGGAATGACATCATCGCCGTTGCTGCCCCACCTTCCAGACGCCACAGGAAAAACAAGCCGCCGATCCCGTGGCTGATTTCCCCCGAATCTTGGTCGATCCTTTAAAAACCCTGCTTCGTGCCTCACCTCGTCGTCGCCTGTTTTCCTCCTGGTAGGCACCATTTGGGAATATCGGATTGCTTCGTTGGTGTCTCCCTTCCCAGCCTCGCACCACCACCTCCTCCTCCTATGCTGCGTCCGTCCGTCGGTCTACAACTGATTCACGTCCTCGGCGGCAATTAGTGTTCCTGAGCTACGTCACGACTGCGACGGGTCGCTGCGGTGTTGGAACGGGGTTTTGGTGGCAGCTGGGGAGATGGCGAGGCAATCTGAAGAAGAATCCACTGTGCCATCTCACTTCCCGTGCGATCTGGTTTCATCTTCGACTCTCACGTGCGAGCGCGTGTCGGACGTGGGAGCAGCATGGATGAGATGGTTGGTGGGCGCTTCTTCAGCCTGGCGGCGCTATTTCTAGACTGCGCGCCAACTTTTGGTCTGGAAACATCACCACCAGCCGATATTCCTGCACCACCGCATGTGGCAACTCTTTTGAAACGACCTCAATCTATCTCGCAATATTCAGAAGAGCCTCTTGTCGCGTGTTGGTGGTGCGCCTGCAACATGGGGTCGAGGTCGATGGGGAAAGCGGTACGTACTGGCAGAATCCTGCTCGCATCTCATTGAGCCTTATTGTTCTTATTATCCCCCCCGTTCTTTGTTTGTTCTTTGTCTATAGTCCTCCATTCACTTCCCTCGCCATTGTTGGCTGCCTCTACTCTCTTGCATGTCACGAGTCTCCTTTGTTTGTGTCATAAATAGCATTCTCGCTGCCCGAGTCTTGATGACTGCCTTTGTCGATTAATCTGCCTTGTCACTTGTATCACCACCCTCTTGGCCGAGTCGGTTTCTTTCTCTGATCTTGCAATATCATCTACTTGTACACGTCGACACGACTTTCAAAGCAATCAAGATACTTACTTGAACTCGAACACTAGATAATTTCCCGTCGATTTCTGCAACATGTCTGCCCCGTCGGCCCTTGCGGCTGGCGCTCCTCCATCCATGCCTGCCGGCAGCCATGAGATACGAGACTACTACTCCGACCAAGGCCCACCTCGGTCGCTACCACACACTGCACCATCCATCACACCCTACCTTGGCCTCCGGGCTCGATTATCACAGATATGGCTCAATCGATGGACCATTCTCCTCCTACTTGTCCTGGCTCGCACCCTTATCGCAATCTCTGGAATCGACAACAATTTGGGCTCTGCGCGACGCGAAGCGCTGTCTGCCTGTTCCGACGTCGAATCGATGGGCTCCGCCATGGCTTCTATGCCTCACTACATGTCTCAGGGCGTGAACGAGGTTGCGGCGACCGGCATCGAGAAGTCGGTCAACGGTCTGATTCAGATGACCACGATGAGTGTCACGGCAGTGGAAGAGATTGTGGTCTTCGTGATCGGCATGATGACCAACACCTACCTCTGCCTGATCACTTTTGCTGTCAGCGGCAGTTTGCATTCCGTCATCGGAGCCCTCGACTCTGCACAAGATGGTCTCAACAAACTTACACAAAATCTCGGAACCGACTTGTCGGGCGCTGTCAAAACATTCGAGGATGCCTACAACAGTTTCATCGGTAAACTCGAGAGCTTCATTGCCTTCGGCCAAACTGTTGACCAACCGGCTCCTCTCAATCTCACTTCCGAAATGAATTCATTGAAGAATCTCAAACTCCCAGCCAACCTTGATGCCGACCTGCAGAAACTCAACAACTCAATCCCCACTTTCGCCCAGGTCAAGAATTTCACCGAAAGCATCATCCGCCTTCCCTTCGAAGAAGTCAAGCAGCTCATGAACGAATATGTGGGCAACTATACCTTCAACCGATCCGTGTTCCCGGTCCCAGAGAAAGAGCAACTCACTTTCTGCAGTGACAACGACGGGATCAACGACTTCTTCGACGGGTTGGTCGACGTGGCTGCTCTCGCACGTAGAATCTTCATCGGCGTGCTGCTTACCCTGGCAATCCTCGCCATGATCCCAATGGCGTGGCGCGAAATGAAGCGATGGCAGAAAATGCAACAACGTAGTCAATTGGTCAGTTCCGACGCTCGTGACCCTTTGGACGTTGTCTACCTGGTCAGCCGCCCCTACACATCGGCAGCTGGAATCAAGTTATCCAACACATTCCAGTCCCAACGCAAAAAGGACCTCGTTCGTTGGGTTGTTGCGTACGCTACCTCTGACGCCGCATTGTTTGTGCTCGCGCTCGCCATAGCAGGCCTGTTCTCCTGCGCCTGTCAAGCGATCCTGCTCCGTGCCCTGGAAAAGGAAGTGCCGGACCTCACCAATCAAGTCGGTGCCTTTTCCGACAAGGTGGTTGCGCAACTCAACAATGCCTCTGAACAGTGGGCCATTGGTACCAACGCAGCCATTGCCGCCACGAGCAAGGATATCAATCAAAACATGCTGGGTTGGGTGAACACGTCCACGACCGCGATCAACGACACACTTAACGCATTTGTGGACGAAACGACACAGGTCCTCAACACCACATTCGGCGGGACAATATTGTACGACCCAATCATGGAGGTTCTTAACTGCCTTGTCTTGCTCAAGATCCAGGGCATCGAGAAGGGTCTCACCTGGGTTCATGATAACGCGCACATCGACTTTCCACTGCTTCCGAATGATACCTTCAGTCTAGGCGCCGTAGCCAGCCTGGCGGACTCCAGCAATCCCTCCGACTCATTTCTCGCGAGTCCGGGGGACACCACAAGCGACAAGATTTCGGAGGCTGTCGCAAGATTCATCGACGAACTGGAGGATACTATTCGGACGGAAGCGATCATCTCAGCCGTCATCCTGCTTGTCTGGGTCTCAGTCGTGCTCATGGGCATTGTCCGAGCATTGATGCTCTGGGGCAGGCGAGACAAAGTCCGCGGCGAAGGTGGTGCGCCAGCATTCTCTTCGAGCCGCGCAACGAGCAGTGACTTTCGCTCCGATAGTCAAGGGCGGTATGCTGAATTTGCGGATATCCCATTGGCCAATGTCAATAGTTCCCGGCCATTGTCACCCGCACCAAAGTATACGCCGCCCGAAAAGTCCGTGGCGCTTGAAGAGGACTATCAAGATTCAAAGCTAGGGTTCGCTGGACGCCGAGTATACCAAGAGTCGCAGCAGCCGCAGCTCGACAGCAAACGCCGGAGTATCTGGAATGGGAACTGAGATGGAGACATTGAATTGAGTTTTTGCATTGTCGGGACTACAGCCGCCCAAACATAACGAGATATGTACGACAAGATTTTGAGCATGTCAAAACTTCGTGCCAGATTTTAACTGGACAAGCCTCTCTAGAGTTGCCATACAGCGGAGAGCAAAAGAACATTTGTGGAGAAATAATGGAATTCCGATTGAGGACATCAGTGAGAAAACGAGAACAAACGGGTGGCATTGGTAATGCGTGTGTGGTGTTGAATGATGACATGCTTTGTGGAGGACATCTTCTTTGTTACGGCTTAACAACCGCCCGGGCGCCTTGTCGAAACGAAAGGAAACAACAGGAAGATGCCCGGGCTTTTACTTTCAGGCCACAGCGAAGATGATTTCCTCAAGGTCAGCACCGAGGGACTCGAGTTCCTTCCCTGCCCCTTCTCCGGTGGCGCAGCGTGGTTCTCTCTTCCTCTGGTTGAGAGACACCCTGCTCTCTTCTCCGCCGACCTTCCGATAGCCCTACAACCCTACAGTGGCTGTCGCGCCTTGTTACTCTGTGACACGGTGTCAAGCAAGGCTTTTGGTGTTGCGATGAGACACTGTGCCGTTTTATCGCAGCCGGAGTCGCGTGATGGAGTGGAATTATAAGTCCTTTCGATCTATATACCCTCTATTCCTCTCATTCGAGAGCGAGTCACGAGTGGTATCTCGAGGACGAAGCAGGTCTTGCACAGGACGTTCGGACACACGTTGGGTTAGAGCCCCCTTCATCCTTTTGGATGATGTTGTGTAGGCTCTTCCAACCCGGACTCCTTTTTGTTGTCGAGCTATGGTCTCGAGGGATATCTCATGGATTGTCGTTGATGTGTGCTTGGATGTTGAGGCCCTCATTTGCCGTTGCCGTCTAGCCTTTTTTTATTGTCATCTCGGAGACTTCGCGTTTCAACCGCAGCCATTGTCTCTTCACTGATCGTCGGAGAAAGTCGAAAGCTGAGGCTTCGGTGAGATGGCAGGATGAGATGGTCTGGCTCCAACACGAATGAGTTCGCCTTCGAAACGAGATTTGGCATGCTGCTTCCAGTGTGCTCGACTGTGTCCATCAATTCCTGATTGGTCTCTCAATGCATGTATCCCACGAGCCAATCATGCAGTCGGGACTTGTTGGAAGTCAGCCAGCTGTGGTATCGCTTCGAAGAAGGCGCCCTCCTCCATAAGCTTCTGGTGGATCGGATTCCAGCATGCAGCATCCGATTTCTCCGGTATGCAGAGGCCTATGGCGGAGGGTGCGGGCTCGCGAGCCTTGCTCCGAGAACCCCTTCCCTCAACCCCAACCGAAAAAAGAAAAAAAGGAAAAAAAGAAAAGCCGTGGGCTGGGTCCAGAATTGTCTGGGTTGTTGTCAATCTGCGTGCCTCTGTCCTGCTAGAGCGCTACAAAGAGGCGGGATGACAAGTTTGGTCACGTAGGAAGATAGCAGTCTTGGATAGATACCGAAATATCAGGATTCAGCCCGACAAACCTTTGGATTCTCCCTGTGTAATTGTTCGTTCTTTTCCAAGCGGCGACGACGACGAAGACAGTGAATGGCACATGTCTTTGATGGCCTCCCTCCAATTCAGCCTCGTTCCTCCCCCGAACTAGGCATGTGGCGCAGGCAATCCACGAGGCTGTGCCTTGATTGACGTGGCAGCCTTCGATTCGATCTCAGCCACATTTCCACCACTTCATCTCTTCCCCCATCTCTGCCATCATTGACAATTCTCTCTCTTGACATGCCCTTTCAATCCTCGTATCAGCCATCAACTGGCCCCCGACTGCTCGAGTCAATGATATTCCGGGCTGCAATTGCCGAAACAATTTCCTCCACTTTCCCGAGTAAGGCTGAGTGTCGATAGGCAGCAAGCTACTCTCCTCCTCCCACCAGAAAGCTCCAGCCCTAAAATATGGAAGCATTGGCCGCCTTCGGGCTGGCATGTAACGTCATCCAGGTTGTTGATGCTTCCTGGAAAGCCTACGAGATCTACACCCAATTTCGCGAACGTGGCACGACAGCCAGAGCAGACGAGCTGCGACACAGCGCCCAGCACCTGGTGAAATGCAACAAGTCCCTTCAGGATTCGTTGTCAAATGCTCCAAAGTTCCCGCTCCTACAAAGTGGGGTGGATCTTAGCGAGTTGAGCAGAAATTGCATCCAGTCTGCAGAAGAGCTCGAGAAAGAGCTCGAAAAGATCAAGGTTGGACCGGGATCAAGTCGACTTTCCACCTGGGGCAAAACTATCAAAGCCAAATGGAAATCAGAGCGCATCGAAGCGTTGAAACGCAAAGTCGACGAGTACGCCGGTGTGTTGGACTCCACGATTCTAGTCCACCTGAGGTATGTCTCCTACAAGCGGTTGAGCGCACATCATCATTAGAACGCCACCATTCATCAAACTATTCATATTTGGCCAGGAATTATGACGGCCGCGCGTTTATGTCTACTGACGGACTCTTCTAGTCAAAATCTGGGCACTCTGGCAGCGCGACAGACAGACATCCTGACTCAGCTAGACGACTGGCAGCGGAAAATCTTTGCAGAGATCAACGCCGGTAACACTGTGGTTACAAATCTCATTAACACAAGTGCCGAAGACGTGAAAGCTCACACGACGCTAGAGCATAACCTCACCAGGCTTCACATCGAAACAAAACTTGACGATTTCTCAGACACTCAGAAATTACGGGCCAAATATGACAGTTTCATGGAAAGCTTGTATTTCCCAGCGATTAACCAGCGACAGGATAACATTGAAGACGCACATGTGAAGACCTTTGAATGGATCTTCGACGAAACTGCACAGAGGGAAAGACCATGGGACAGTTTCCTCGCGTGGACTCAAGATGATAATCCGATATATTGGGTCCTTGGTAAGGCGGGTAGCGGCAAGAGTACTCTGATGAACTTTCTGGTCCAGGATGCCCGAACTCGAGCAGCATTCGAACGTAAATTCGCCGATGTACATCCACTCATCATCGCTTTCTTTTTCTGGGAAGCAGGGGTCGATCTACAGAAGAATCAATTGGGCCTTCTGCGTTCTTTAATCTGGAAAACCCTGGACTCGATGGATGCTACTGTCGCAATTCACATCTGGTCGAATATCCTCCAGAAGGTCTCGCCACCAATGCCTACTGTTTGGACTCAAAAGCAATTACTACGTCTTCTTCAGTCGCTGGTCCAAGCTGTACAGAATCCTATTTGTCTCTTTCTTGACGGCCTAGACGAATTTCAAGGGTTAGAGGACCAGTTTGGTGCCTTACGAGATATCATTGGAGTTTTCCGAGTCCGTCAACAGACAAAGATATGTATGTCAAGTCGGCCATCCACCAGTCTGGAATCGCTATATACGCCCTGCCCAAAACTCAAGCTTCAAGATCTTACTGAGCCCGATATAACGCTGTATGTCGAAGACAAACTTGTGAAAAGTGTGTCGGCCGAGAATGCTCCCCGGCTTCCTACTCTGGCATCACAGGGGATGTCCAGTCTAATTGACAAGGTTGTGTACGAGGCGGAAGGTGTTTTCTTATGGGTTCGCTTGACGGTCGAATCTCTCATTCGAGGCATCAGGAAAGATGACGACTGGCAGACGTTAATGAGGCGGCTGGAGCAAATGCCGCAAGGGATTTTCAATCTCTACGAACACATGTGGAAGCGTTCGGCACTTGATCACCCTCTCTACGCTAGAGAAGCTGCAGCGTATCTACAATTCGTCCGAAAATTTCCTGGTCATTCGTTGATCGAAGTGACGATTGCCTGCGACGAAAGGATCCAAGAAATATATCTGGACACACCGGCAAGATGGGACTTGGGAAGCTTTGGAGAAGGATTAGATCGTGAAAGATTGACAAGAAGAATCCTCACACGCTGCGCAGGATTTCTCGAAATACATCACCGGGGTCTTGAGGAAATCGATGAGGGCAGTGATGAGGAAAGGGAACAGAGAGTGAATGAGGATCAACTTTGGCGGCGTGAACTGGAGAAGACGGACCTCGGGCGACACCCAGGCACCATCAACAGACTCTTTGAGATTCAGACAAGTCACCGGAAGTGGTATGTGTCGTTTCTGCACCGGTCTGCCCTGGAATATCTTCAGACCGAGTCAGGCAAGCAATTGCTCCAAGCCCAACCACTGTCGAAACACGAACTCTTCATAAGGCAGTCTAAATCCACTCTTGTTCTGATCCTACTGGGCGCAATAGACCTAGGGCCAAACCTGGAAGAAGGGATGGAATATATTCCAGACCATTCTCTATTTCGAGCTTATCTGGATACCGATACCGGAGTCGCCTGTGCAATGTTTGTGCAGCTGGAGGAAATACTCACGAAACTCAAATTCCTGGGGATTTGGAAGGAAAGGCAATCAACGAGAAGCGAAGATCCTTTCCAGGCCGACTCGGAAGAACTGGATTTTACTAAAGCTTTTCTTCAATTCGGTCATCCAGCCTACACCAAGCACAAGCTGGAGACTTCGGGCTTGATTCATGACAGAAATTACTTGACTGGCCTCCTTCGCGCCTGCATTGGCAACCTGAGGATAGAATGCCCTAGGCCCGCCTATTCAAACGCAATTCTATTGCTGGAACTGGGGGCTGATCCGAATTCAACGTTATTTCCAATCTCCTATAAGCGTGATTCAATGCGCCTCTGGACGATCTGGACAGTCACTCTCATAATTATGTGGGTGACCAGAAGCTACGATCTCCATGCTTCACAGCAACTTCTGTCTGCTTTCCTCAAGGCTGGGGCTGACCCGAAACCATGGCTTCAATGTTTGTTTATCAGAAACTCTGGTTCCTTCGGGCATGAAAATACCCTCGAGACCTCGAAAAGGCCATTCGCGCTGTTGCGGGCCAAGGCATGTGATCTTATCCCGCTCGGTCCAGAAACCTCGATGGCAGATCTACTGCGCCAAGAAGGCGCGATCAGCGAGAAACGAACCTTGGTCGCATTTGCACCGCCAAACACATGGTGCACATTGGCATCAGAGAACCTTGAAGTGGATAATCAGTTTCTACCAGGGACACCGTCCTTTTTCAAGTTCTTCCAGAGCCTTCGACTTTACTACCGGGGATCTACGTATGTCGCGCATGATCGCGACAATCCGAGATTTTTTGACAATGGAATCGACGCTCTACGCGCAGCGGGCTTTTCTGACGAAGAAATCCGAGAGCTTCCAATCCCGCAGACGATATGGGAGGGCCATGAGAAAGCAAGAGGCGAAATCCACGAGATGAACGCTGAGAGATTTAATGACTTGCTACGACAATGGGACTTTGGAAATGAGTCGGACTCTGATAGTGCAGAAGAATGGCACGAGGAGGATCAGTCATAGTAATAGAAAACCGGAAAGTTGAGGAAATGTGAGTATGAATCCGTGAAAATGTTGTTGAAGCTATGTGAAGCGGGCCGCTTGTTTCAACAGTTTTGGTCAGACAGCATGCAATATGAGCGTCTTTGCTTAATCTCAGTCTTCACAAGTCTTTATCATTGGTTCACTCAAGGTTGCTGATCTGCAATAGCTACACCCAGTTCACTGTCTCCCTGTCCTGCGATAGTGGTCAGCCAGACATTGTCTTATGCTTGCCTCCTTGCGAAGGAACAACCCCCGACTTACCAAAGTACAGGAACCACTTGCCCTTGAACTGCACCAGACCCTCCGCAAACACCACCTGGTCCACCTGGCCCTTCTGCTCATTGTCCGCCTCGGGCACCAATATTGGTCTCTCCAGCCTCGCGACCGGCCCATCTGTCAATGCGGGCTGGTAGACTCCGTCGCTCACGTTCAAGGTCGGACGAAACGAGCCAGAGGGGTCGAGGAGCATCTGGCCCACCGAGTACTGGTTCTGCGGATACCCCACGCGGCCCGTGGTCATGCCGTTGTAGATGAGCAGCCACTTGCCGTCGCGCGTCTTGACGGGCGGCGGGCCCGGCTCGATCAGCCGGTTCTCCCACGGGTTGACGGGGCTGGCGAAGTACTGGTCCGAGGGCAGGGCGGTCCAGTTCAGGAGGTCGCGCGACGTGGCGTGGTAGAAGAAGCTGTCGCCGAAGTACATGTGGTACAACCCGTCCGCGGTCGGCTCGCGGACGATGGCGCCGGACTTGGAGTAGTCGGTGCGCGGCGAGGGCGCGTCGACGTCCGAGTACGCCACGTCCCGGTACCCAGGGAACAGCGGCGGGTACTTGGTCCAGTGCAGCAGGTCGGTCGACGTGGCGAGGCAGAGCCGCGGCGTCACGCCGTCGTACGCCGTGTACGTCAGGTAGAACGTGCCGTTGACCCGGACCACGCGGGGGTCCTCGGTCCCGCCGCGGTGTTCCCAGGGCTCGGTCGCGGACACGACGGGGCGGTCGAGGCGGGTGAAGGTGACGCCGTCGGCCGACCACGCCAGCCCGATGGACGACGTCTTGGACGCGTTCTGCGCCCGGTACAGCAGGAAGACGGTCTCGTTGAGCACGATCGCCGTCGGGTTGTACAGGTACGCCGACTCCCAGTTCGCGGCCGGGTTGGGCCGCAGGATCGGGTTGTGCGCGTACTTGTTGAACGGCGCGATCGGGAAGACGGGCGGCGTGTAGTTCGCCGTGTTCTCGGGCGTCGCGGGCGTGATGTCGAACGGCAGGCTAGTTGCTGTGTGTGGAGGTGGTTGGGATTGCGACGTCGGCAGGATGGAGAGGAGGCCGGCGTTGAGGACGTGTTGGAACTTCATCTTGGACTCTATCCCCCAGTTAATCGGATAGTTGCTTACCCAACAAACTATATGGCGTATCTGACGGCCTGTTCAACGTATACCGAATACTCGATATATATTGGTGAAGTACTTTGAGTTTGACGAAGTAGCTTTGCACCGTCGGTCGATCCGCATCATGAGGGTACAGCCCTGCGCGAGGATCTCCCAGCCACCAGACGTGCTAGCGGGCAATCTTGTCCCCATGGGGGCGCTTTTCTCTGGGCAGGGTCATGCCACCTGTGAATCTGCGGGGTAGAGAAAGATCTTTGCACTAGGTGCACATGGTTCTTTCGAATGCTCATTTGTACGATTAATCTTTCCGTCCGGCTGGAAAAACATACTCTGACATGTCGGATAGACGTTCCAGTTACGTATCGACGTTTATACGCGGAAGACGGAGTATATATTATCCGTGCTCCGCACTTATACCTCCCCACACGACCTTTTGGATGCACCAGTGGGCGACCACCAGGCCACAGGCCTTGAACCTTACTATATCGGTCTTGATATTGACTCCTGGATTTTTATACTAGGAGCCCTTGAACATGAGATCTCCGGTCATTTTACACGCATCGAAGACCCCTTCGAAAAAAAAAAAACAAAAACAATCAACAGTCAGGATTCCCACCTGGTCACCCACGGTAGTACTAACTGACCGGCATGTGGCTTAAGTACGGCTGAGCGAACGGGAAGCCCTGTTTTCCACATCCTATGGTCGATTGCGGGAGACATTGTGTTGACAAATATTATAAGCTCACAATCACTCTCATGAGGATTGATATTGACCCATTCTAACTCGACGTCTCTGGTCAACTAGTTGAATTGTTCAGACTCAGGCCAACTTCTACAAAGATTCAACAATGCCTTCCCACAGAGCCTACCATGGGAAGCACTCCTTCATATACATTAGAACCCAAAGACTCAACCTAGATGGACGTGCCGTTCACCCTTTAATATTTGAAGTCAGCAGACAGGGTGGAAAGTAGCGTCCGCCTCTCTCTCTATTGCACCCAACACACGTTCTCATTCGAATTCATCATCGCTGTGGAAACCCTTCGCCACTAGAATAGCTCTCAAGCCGCCCCGGTTGAGCCGATCTCTTGCTGGACTTTTGACTGCTTTTTCCTGATTTTCCTCTGAACGAGAATGAATTACTTGGACCTCTGCAGATTTCTCGTTTATTCCCAACTAAGCCCAATTTTCCTTGTTGACGCCTCCCACAGCCGTTCCGCATACTCAATTGCCCAACTTCCCATGATACCAAGCCGTACAAAGCGGTGCCCGAGGAGGTTCAACGTGCCATCGCCATCACACCGCGATAATATTCCACACCTAAAGTGCGGGAATGGATGAGCCTTGCGTCCGCGTTGAGGGGGAGGTTGAGGATCTGTCTCTGCTCACACAAGCTGTCAGTGGCCATTCAAAGTGTCAGGCTCAGAAAGGAAAACAAGCCCGTCAACATACCTTTTCACCGATATCGTCTTCTGTCTCCAACTCCAAAACTCTTGCAACCATTTTCCCCATCTCGCACAGCGCAACTCTCTCCTCAAGCTTCTCGCGATCCTTGTTCAGTTCCGAGGAGCCCGCCGATGACGTGTTTTGGGGCTGTGCATTCAAGTCCGTCAGCGAACCTTGGAGTCGCGTAAGCAGTGTTGTCTTCGCTCTGCCGTCAGCGGAATCGCGCCGTGGAGACATGGGGTTATCCATCAACGACATTAACTCCACGAAATCCGAATAAACTTGTCCGCCCTTCTTCCACTCGGTTCCTGACCCTTCGGCGTCGTTCGTCGCCACCGCGGCGTCAACTTTCTGCTCCGCCTCGTGCCCCAACCATCCCAACACCTGTCGCAGGGTTTCCCAGTCTTCGTCGATCACCAATCGTGGGGCGACGCGACGTAGGAAGCAGTCATGAGCACTGCAAAAGTCTCCCGCGGCGAGGAGATAATTCAATTCTGCGAGGGGATTGTTACATGAGCGTGCGTGAAGGGCTTTCGATTGGTGAATCCACGGCGCAGGGACCTTGAGAGACACAGTGAAAGCGGTCCACAAGGGAGAGTCTTGGCCGGCTGGGGCGCCAGGACGTGGCGCACGCGGTAGTGTTGCGGCATGGCGGTTGAAGAGATCTCGGATCTGAGCTGCTCGCTGTGCCGGATCGGAAAGGTGCAGGAGTGCATAAACTGCGCCCAATGTGTTTCGGCGAGCCGAGTGCTCGAAAGCGAGTGATGCAGCCAGGTCGTCCGATCTGTCCTGGTCGGTCGACACTCCTGGGATTGTAGCGGCGATGGCGTGGTAAAGGCGAAACGTCCCCGAGGAATCCCAATGTTGTGACAGCGCCGAAAGAGCTTGAGGGAGCACAGGTTTCTCGACCTGGTTAGTGACAGAAGCTGTCGCCTTGCTGCCAGACCTTCCCTTGCTGGTCTCAGCGTTGCTCGCGAAGATCTTCAACACCACCCACAGGGGATCCTCATCATTCCCACGCACAGGAGCGGCCGATTCAAGCCTTGAATTCACTTTCTCTTGGAAATCCGCTACAACTTCGTAAATCTCGCCATTTTTGTGCTTTCCATACCAAAAGCACAGCGCAAAAGCCTGGATCCAGTCCAAGTCGAATTTTTCCGAGATCGCGAATGTCGACGCACGATCTTCAACAGGCACATTCTGCTTTCCCTGTACGATGCTGGTGTTTCCTGAGAGTATCTCGTACAGTGCGCGAATCTCCTCGCTCATTTCGGAAATGACCCCTTGACCACGCCATGCAGAGATTTGATCGGCCATATCTTCCTGGAAGGCTGAATCAGCCTGCCCAATTTGGGCGACCAACAATGCAAGGTGAAAGTCCTTCTCTTGGGTGAGTGCATCACATGCTGCGTGAATGCTGTTCGCCGTAAGCTGCATGACGGCTGCGGTTGCGCCGTTAAGTTTCGAGGCCTCTTTGATGCGGTCGCCGTGGCGGCGCCATATGAGCTCCGAGAGATACTTGGAAAGGCGATCTCTGCGGATACGGAACTGAAATTCATGTTGCTGCTGGCGGTTTAGACCTTGAGTGAACTCGTCCTCGTAGTCATCGAAAAGAACATGAAGCAATTCGTAGATGTCGAGTTCTTCGGTAGTGCAGCGTTCCTGTAGGAGAAGGTCTTTGGCTCTAGAAAAGGCGACAGCGTCGTGTTCAATCGAGGGGACATTGTTGGTAAGGACCACTTGAGCGTCTGTCAAGATTGCCTTGACGTACATAGCAATCTGAGGAACATTATCAGCAATTCTCACAAACACAACAATGCCGTGGATTCTCGTACATTGTCAATGTTGACCGGTTGGAGCGAAGTCATAACGACATCTCTACCCGTAGCCTCGCTATGTGCCAATACCTCTGTGACCCAACCACCTTCGCCGGGTGCATCACTTGACTTGTAGACAAGCTGATTGATGGGTGTAAAATGAGGCTTGAAACTTGCGTGCCAGAGCTTATCGTCATCGCCTAGCTCAGCGGAATCGTCTCGCACTTGGTCTTCAAAGGTCTTTGCGCGCTTTGCATAGGGGAACTAGAACAAGAAAGGTTTCAGCAAATGTGTTTCTCATTAAACTACCTACATATATATGTGCTATTGGTGACCGTAAACCTGTGCCCCCAAATCCACATTGCGCGATGATGCGAACATCAAGTCCTCACTTTCACGTCATCAAAGAACGACTGATCACGGCCGCAGGACTCAGAGGCACAGCGGGTCAAAATGAATGGGGGGGAATAGGGGTAGGGAATTCAAACCTCAAAATCCGGGCCAGTCCGCGGCTTTCCCTTGTTTCCTTTCAATTCGGCCATTCTTTCCTCGTGTCGGCTGAAAAGCGAATTCATAATGTCGATGCTCGTTCGAAATTCACTCTTGTTGACGTTCTTGCCCAAGTCCAGAATCGGTTTAATTGGTTCATGCGTGCGATCCAGAAGAACTTTGCTTTGTACTTGTCGAAGAGCATCGCGATTCTGTTTGCGTGGGCTAATAGTGCGCTGAAGTTGTTCTGCCCAGTCGCCGTCAATGTTAATGAGGGCCTTTCCGGGCGTGCCGGCAGTGCTGGGCTTGAGGATCGGTCTGCTAGGGCTAGCAGCAGGTGGAGGATATGAGCCTGCCATGCTCACTTCATTGTCATCGTCATCGTCGGAATAGTCTTCTTCCATTTCGGAACCCTCTTCACCTTCAACAGTCTGAGCTGTAGCGACATCATCACCATAGTCGAAGACAGACTGCCGGCCATAGCCACCGGGCAGGGTCTTTTGTTTGAAGGCAAATGTATCATCGTTACCATCGGCCTCGTAGTCATCATGTGCTTCACTGTCAACCTCCATCCCTGAGTTCTCGGCAGAGCGAGAGCTGTCCAGTGAGTCAGGCGGACCAGAGAGCATACTCTGGCCCATTTCGTCATCTTCATCGTAGTCCAAGCCATAGCGGGTGTAGTGGGGTACTCGGAACGTCCATACACCCGTGGTCACTTCGTAATTCACAAATTCAGTACCGTGCATCTTCTTGAGGCGGTTGACATGCTTCTCAAAGATGGGTCCACTGGTGGCGGAGGAAGGCTGGCCACGGGATCGCGGCCAGGAGTTCTCAATAGAAATTGTCGACGGTACGTTCAAACCCTTGCCAACTGGGGGTTTTGAGCTTGCGTCAGGATAGACGGTGACTGACCGCAGACGGATTTCCACAATCTTTTCATAGAGATCGTCCAAGGGAAGACTGGTGAGATCCACCGGACCGTTGAACACCACCTTGCCACACCCTTTTCGACCAACTTCGAATCCAACAAATCGGGACAGTTTCTCACGAGGCATCTTGCTCAGCTCAGCACGTGTCGGTTTCATCCAATAGTCTCCAGGCTGAGGATCTGGCTTGGCTTGGACGGTTGTCTTCCGAGAGATCACATCGTCTGACTCGCGATCTTCTGGGACAACAGCGAGTTCGTTACCGCGGACTGGCTCGGTCTCGGGCGTAGATGTGCCATTCACAGTTCTGGGAATAGCGGTGCCATTAGCCTCATCTTGGTCGCTTTCGGTTCTTACCAAAGCTCCTGATTCGCCATTTAAGACTCCATTAGAACCACCGGCAGTATCTTTGTCAAAGCTCACGCGCTTCTTCAACTTATTCGGTGGTTCACTGGTTGAGGATGGCTCGCCATTTGTGACGGCGGAAATTTCGATGTTCCCATTGACTGACTGACTGAGAGCATTTGTCGGAAAAGCGGGAAGGGAAGGCCGGCTGAAAAGATCGTTTCTGATGCTTCGATCAATGGTCAACCGGCGCATATTGCCACTTGACCATCGGGTATTAGTGGAAGCGAATGCATTGGGACTGAGCACGCCTTCGCTATCCCCTGCAAATTGAGATCTCAAGTTGCTAGCTGATGCACTCTTGCCAAATGAGCGACCAAAGCTGCCGCCATTGAAACTGCGACTACCGTACATGCTGCTGCTCAGGCCACTTCCGCCAGGTGTACTGGCTGCACTGTTTGGTGTGCCATAAGTTGAATAAGAAAACCCAAAGCCAGACCGTCGGGGTGGCGTCATGTAACGAGACTGGTTGAGTCTGAGACTTGGCGGTGGTTTTGACTGGCTCTCCTTTAGCTTCTGAGTGGCAGACAACGGAGTGAAAAGTGGCTTTGAATTATCTGGTGTTGGCACGGGCAGTCCAGTCCAGATAGAGGTCTGACCGTACGGATTGGGGTCGTTCAGGGACGAGACCTTAAAATCAGGCTGCTGCTGACTCTGTTGGTTCTGCGAATTGCCGAATAGTCCCCCAAAGCCACCGGTTGAGCCACCGAAGCCGCCTTGCTGAGTGTTGGTGGGGTTGAAGAGAGAACCGGTTGCAGGTTTGTTGGCAGTATTTCCGAATGAAAACCCAGAGCCTGTGTTCGTATTTGTGTTTCCGAACAAGCCCCCTGTCTGCTGTTGATTGTTGGTATTCCCAAAAAGGCCTCCACCGGTGTTGGTGCCAGTGTTTCCAAATGTGCTCCCGCCAAAAATACCACCAGGTTTTTGCTGATTGTTGGCATTGTTTCCGAACAGAGGATTTCCCGACGTGGTGTTACTGGTACCGAACAAACCACCGCCGGTACCAGTATTGGCATTGGCATTGTTGCCGAACAGGCCACCACCGGTGGATGTGTTGGCGTTACCACCGAACAAGCCACTTGATTGTTGGTTCTGATTTGTCGATGTTCCAAATCCTGTATTGCCAAAAAGAGAAGGCTTTTGCTGCTGGTTGGCGGTATTCCCAAACAATCCTCCAGACTGTTGTTGATTCCCACCGAATGCACCGGCGTTCGAGGTATTGGCGTTGTTGCCGAACAACCCACCTCCTGTGTTAGTATTGGTAGTGTTGGTGTTGCCGAATGAGAACGACGAGGGAGTGCTGGAAGTGTTGCCGAACAAACTTGGCTTGTTCTGGGTTTGGTTCTGGCCGAACAAACCGCCTCCCGACCCGAATCCCGTATTTCCACCGCCGAACGCATTCGTCGACGTGTTGGAGGTTCCAAAGAGACCACTAGAAGGAGCGGCAGAGGACTGCTGGCCAAATAAACTTCCACCAGCAGGCTTGTTTCCAAACAGACCGCCGCCACCGAAACCGGTTGTGGCGGTATTGGAGCCGAAGCCTGATGCTGACGTCGTGGCCGTAGTTCCGAAGGGGTTGGCGGTGGCGTTGGCGTTCGCGCCAAATCCAGTGTTGCTTGGCCCAAAGCCTCCAAAAGTATTCTGGCCAAACCCACCAGCTTGTCCAGTGGAGTTGCCATATTTTCTTCCGGCATTGTAATCTGCTAGTCGCAGTTCCTCAAATGAATATTTTTGGTACGGTGGCATAAAGTTGATGCTCTGGTAGTTGCTCGATAGGCCCGCAGCTTCCTTCTCAAGTGTAGGCGCATATGGCGTGGAAGCGGTGCCTTCTGAAGGGGGAACGGGCTGATTGCTTAGAGCCGTTCCGCTGCCAGCAGCACCGAATGGACTTGAAGTTGATCCGAACCCGCTGGTTGTCCCTGCACCGCCCTGGCCAAACAACGGAGTTGAGTTGGTACTGGAACCGAATGCAGGTTTCGACGCGCTTCCGAAGCTGAACCCCGAGCCGCCGGTATTACTGCCAAAAGCATTGTTGGTACTTCCAAAACCACCTCCTGAACCGAACCCAGTGTTGGTGTTTGAGCTGCCAAATAGACCACCTCCTCCTGTGTTTGTGGTTGTGGAGCCGAAGGGATTCGAGGCAGGCTTGTTGCCGAAGAGAGAGCCGGAAGTGTTGGTGTTGCCACCAAAACCTGAAGAACTCGTTGTTAGTTTGTGTGTCTTGATAGTAGATGAAGAAGCCATATCATCAACACGAATTAAGTGGACGGGAGATTGTTGCGGCTTGGTCGATTGTCGCGCTGAGTGGGACATATTTGATGTGACATTGGAGGAACTTTGTGGCAGACAGACAAAAAGGTTCTGTAGATAAATGGCAGCGGCAAGTTGCGGGTGAGGCAGTGCAAAAGGTCACGTCTCGCTGCCTGTGAAAGAATGATTCACACACCTCCAGTATTAGATCCGAATGTGCTGCCTCCGAATGGATTCGCAGTCGCAGTGCTGGAACCAAAGCCAGTCGAGCTCGTGTTTGTACCGAACCCTGAACCACAAAGCAAAATATTAGAGCCACTCCTTGTTTGACTTGACACCACGTCTTACTTACCTGTACTTGTATTGGTATTGCTGCCGAAACCTCCGAACCCCGTGTTTTGAGTATTGTTGCTCGAGCCGAACGAGAAACCACCGCCACCGCCAAAAGACATGTTGGCGGGTATCGAGGCGCGTCTTTGCGCAATGTTTGGAACGAAGGAGAGGATTAACGGGGCAAGAAAGAGCGGAGGAAATCAAATTGTGAATATAAAAGTGGTCTAGGAAATTCGTGACGCGCCCAAAAAGCTGAGGAGTTCGAGTCGGCCCTGAGTGATCTTAGGCAGAAGAGCTCTCTGGACGGAATTGATTGATTCAACCCTCGACGGCTCGGCGCCTGAATACAGTCGAGGTACCTTGCGACCAAATAGAAGAATAAGAAGAGGTTGAACGCGCCCCAAAGGAGGTGGATGGAGATGATTTGGCCTCCGCAATGGGCGGCGGATCTCTGCATTTAGGCTGCCAAGTCACAATCACATGACCGACTCCAAGAGCTTGCTGCCTCGCCGCTCGAGTTCGGCGACCAATCACGCGGTACGTCATTCGGGTTCTGGTCTAAAAAAGTGTACCGAGTACATGATGGTCTTCCTTCACATGGCCCGGTTGTGAACCAGCTGAAATTCACCTCGAGAGCCTGCGACATCCACTAGTCTTATTTGTTTCTTCTTCCTTTCGATCGCTTGCCTTCCAACCTAGTCATTCTGCGTGGCGCTTCCATAGACCGCCGGCGGTTCTGAGACAAGACCTGATCACATCACACGAAACGCAAACGGAGACAATCCTCGACTCCCCGCTGTCTGGTCGGGAAGCGTGACCACTTCATCGGCTTACACGCGCAGCGCAAGAAATTTTGACAGGTGTAACCAACAGGATAAAATTTTGCAGATACTGTGAAGATGGCAGAGGTGGAGGAGACGCCAGCGCAGCGACAAGCTCGCATTCGACGTCAGAAGCGTGAGGCGAAGATTACGGGTTCAGCAACGGAGAGACTCGATAAGATCACAAGGTTGAGTGGAAGGACTCCAGAGAGCAGTGAGTTCCTCTCCTGGCCCAGATCTCAGATACCGGGCCGGAGACCCCTTTCGCAAGCGACACACAACCACGGGACATTGCCAGAGCAAGCAGGCTAACAGTATCCATCCACAGTGCGAAACGAGTCGCCAGTGCCAACACCACCTCCGCGATCCCCTCCTCCGGAACAGATGGCCCCACCGGCTGGAGGACCTGGTGCCTCTCCCACCCCGGAACAGCTTCGGGCACAGGAGGAGTACTTGAAGGCAATGTTGAGACAACCCCTGTCACAAGAGGGACAAAGCCAAGCACAGCAGGAAGACCCCATGTTGAAGCTACTACAAACAATGATGGGAGGAATGGACAGCTCCACAGATCCCAATGCTCCTGGTGGAATGGGTGCGGGCCCCGGATTGTCTCCCGACGACATCTCAAAGGCAACAGGTCTTCCTCCCTTCCTGACCAACATGGTGATGGGAGATCAGAAGGCGCCACCTGGCCAGGCCGAGATACAAGCGACACGCTTCTGGAAAGTCGTGCATGTTGTTTTCGCCATGATGGCGGGCTTATACTTGGTGTTTAGCATCCACAAATCCACTCAGACCTATGGTGAGAATCCGCCGGCACCAGCGACCTTCCAGAACCCGTTCCTTATGTTCATGACCGGAGAATTGTTGGTCCAGGGCGCAAGAGCAGTATCAAAGGGCCAGTCGGGCAAAAGCGGAATAAGGCTGTGGATACAAATGGGCAAGGAATTCATCGGGGACGGCGCGATTATGGTATTCATGCTAGGATTAGCGTCCTGGATGAAAGGAAGCTGAATGCGGAAATATACAAACTACGATTTCTTGAGTGGCAATATTATTGTCAGATGAGATGCCTTTGCAGAGTATTGTGCCAGGTCCGGCATTCACATCTTCGTTCTGGCTGCTAGACAAGACATTGGGCGGAAGCATCACACCACAGGCTTGGCCGGCACCGGTGGGACATGCGAGCATCTAGATCGTGAATGGACCGTAAAAGGGCGATGTCCGTCTCTTGACTTTGACTGGGCTGCCCAGAGGACTTCTCTCGGCTGTGCGCAGACTTTCGGAGGCTGCATGTTGCCGTTGGACTCAGCCGGGGGCATTCTTTGGTCGGCCCATTATTGGACCACCGATTCCATATGTCCAGGGTCAGATGTCATGCCCCAAGGGCGATGATGCAAGGCCGAGAGAGGATGGTTTTTGGGGGTGACGCGTGACGCTTTTCTTTTGCGTGAGGGACCCCGCGGGGTATGGACTTGGGTTCCTTGGTATGGCGATTGCGATGAAAACCTCACTGGATCTTCAAAACTCGGTGAGGTCAAAGCTGGACCAGAGACGAAACCGACTGAAGGGATCTCGATTGCCCTGGCCATGGCTCCAACGCCGATGGACTGGGCCTGTTCATGGCGCTCCTCCGTAACGTCGCCATCCGCAACGGATAAAAGGAAAATGGAGGGGCATCTACTCCGGATTGGCGCGGGCAGCAAGGAACAGCCATTGCAGGCCGGGAAACCCAATCGAAACCGCCCCAGCATTCCCCATCCGCGCGAGGATTCGCGAGGATTCGCTTTGGATTTCGTCAGACGTCGACCAAGCCGGACATGGGTTTGCGGGAGAGTTTGGGCAGAGCTCGTCTCCCTGCGCTCTTGGGGTGGCCATTCGCCGCTGCGGGGGTGGGCAGGTGGCAGCACCACCAGAAGAGAGCTGCTTGTTCTCCGCGTCGGGCAATCGTGTGTGTGTGAGAGAGAGAGCAGTCTGTGTTGCACCAACTATGTTGAGTTCAATCGTCATCTTCTCGTTGAATTCCTTGCCTGCGCTATCCTATATTAGACCTCCTGATCTCCCCGCCCTGGGTGCGGGTCCTGCTTCCCTAGTCTTTCATGTTGCGCACTTGAGGAACACGGACAATATAAACACCCACCCACTCCCCCCTCCTCGAGTCTGTCCGAGCTCGACTTCTTCTGTCACACTTGCTGTCCCCCTCTCTTCCACCCCATAGAAAGGTCGCCGAGCAGTCCACAGAGATCAACATGTCTGAAGGCGACGTTAAGCCTCCTAAGAAGGGCCCTGTCGTGGTGAGTAGCTTCGGTTTTGTTCCTTTCCTCCGAACAGTCTTACGTCGTTTGCGGCGCTGAGGGTATGGCACTGACCACAAGCACATAGGCCGAAGCCCACGAGGTCGACACCTTCCAGTAAGCATGAGGACTCGATCTCCTCGCTCGCCAGACCGTACTGACCTCCTTGCAGTGTTCCCAAGCCCTTTTTCACGAAAGGCCCCGGAAAAGCTCACATCAAGGACCTCGACGAATACTATGCCATGTACAAGGAATCCATCGAGCAGCCGGACAAGTTCTGGGCCAAAATGGCCCGGGACCTTCTGGACTGGGAGAAAGACTTCAAGACTGTCCGCTCCGGCAGCTTCACTAACGGCGACGCCGCCTGGTTCCTTGAGGGTCGCCTCAATGCCAGCTACAACTGCATCGACCGCCACGCCATCAAAAACCCCGACAAGCCTGCCGTGATCTACGAGGCAGACGAACCCGGCGAGGGTCGCGTGCTCACCTACGGCGAGCTTCTCCGCGAAGTTTCACGTGTGGCCTATACCCTGAAGCAGATGGGCGTCAGGAAAGGTGACACCGTTGCCCTCTACCTGCCCATGATCCCCGAAGCAGTTATTTCCTTCCTCGCCGTCACACGCATTGGCGCCGTGCACTCGGTTGTCTTTGCTGGTTTCTCCTCCGGCTCGCTAGCGGACCGAATCATTGACGCCAACTCCAAGGTTGTCATCACCACCGACGAAGGAAAGCGTGGCGGCAAATTGATCGGAACCAAGAAGATCGTGGATGAAGCCCTCAAGAAATGCCCAGGTGTCACTCACGTGCTCGTCTACCAGAGGACAGGTGCGGATGTGCCGTGGACGAAAGGCCGAGACTGGTGGTGGCATGAAGAGACTGCAAAGTACCCCGCCTACATCCCCCCGGAGTCCATGGCCTCCGAGGACCCTCTTTTCCTGCTCTACACATCGGGGTCTACTGGCAAGCCCAAGGGTGTCATGCACTCGACCGCAGGCTACCTGTTAGGTGCTGCAGCGACCGGCAAGTACGTTTTCGACATCCACGACGATGACGTCTTCTTCTGCGGTGGTGATGTCGGTTGGATCACCGGACACACATACGTCGTATACGCACCCCTCTTGCTGGGTGTCGCGACCGTGGTTTTCGAGGGCACGCCAGCTTATCCCAATTTCTCCCGCTACTGGGACGTGATCGACAAACACAGCGTGACGCAGTTCTATGTCGCCCCTACCGCCCTCCGCCTGTTGAAGAGAGCAGGCGACGAGCATATCCACCATCAATTGAGCAAGTTGCGAGTTTTGGGCTCGGTCGGTGAGCCAATCGCAGCCGAGGTCTGGAAGTGGTACTTCGAAGCTGTCGGCAAGGAAGAGGCTCACATTGTTGACACCTACTGGCAAACCGAGACCGGCTCTCATGTGATTACACCGCTGGCCGGTGTGACGCCGACGAAACCCGGCAGTGCCTCTCTTCCCTTCTTTGGTATCGAACCCGCGATCATTGATCCGGTCTCCGGCGAGGAAATTGAGGGCAATGACGTGGAGGGTGTTCTGGCATTCAAGCAGCCGTGGCCAAGTATGGCACGAACTGTGTGGGGTGCACACCAGAGATATATGGATACCTACTTGAACGTATACAAGGGTTACTACGTAAGTATCAGCGTAACAGGACTTCAGAAACGACAGGCTGATATTGAGAATAGTTTACTGGTGACGGCGCCGGACGTGATCATGAAGGTTATTACTGGATCCGAGGTCGTGTTGACGATGTCGTCAATGTCTCTGGACATCGTTTGTCCACCGCGGAAATCGAAGCTGCCCTGATCGAGCATGAGGGAGTTGCAGAAGCCGCCGTGGTCGGCATCAATGACGAACTCACGGGCCAAGCTGTTAACGCATTTGTGTCACTCAAGGATGGCGTGGATGCTGGTGAACCGATACGCAAGGACCTGATCCTCCAGGTGCGGAAGTCTATTGGTCCGTTTGCAGCGCCAAAGGCCGTCTTCGTTGTCGACGATCTTCCCAAGACCCGCTCTGGCAAGATCATGAGGAGGATTTTGAGAAAGATCTTGAGCGGAGAGGAAGACAGTCTTGGAGATATATCGACCCTCAGCGACCCCAGTGTGGTTGACAAGATCATTGAGACGGTCAAGTCGTCAAAGAAGAAGTGAGGGAGGAATAGACCGGCAGGGCGGTGCTGAAATAAATGTTGAAAGATATACCCTCGGGCACTTGGATTTCTTCAGTGGATCTCAGCTTTTGGAGGTTGGCCAGCGGAGAGTATATAGCCCTTTTTGTGCAGCAATGGAGATCCAGAAAATCATTTCACCATCACGCAGCATTCTACGACTTTGTACTTCTGAACCCAGATTACGGTGACCCTTGCAGAAGTCCCCCGTAAAGTACACCCCCTTTGTGCTACTCCATCGTGATCTCCTTCAGTACTCCCGATCCCCGCCTCACCTTAATTTACACAGGTCAAAGTAGGCACCCGATTTCCTAGAACGTCCAATAGGCGCCCTCCCCAACGGTCTGAGCATATCCGGACTGCATGATAGCCTCGGTTACGGTGACCAGATCCCATCACACCGATGTGCCGCCTGAAAGACTATATGTTCCCTTGCTCGACGAGATCGACCCTGCAGCATTCGTCTGCTTCTAGTTCCGGTGCAGCGATACGCAATCTCGGCCCCCGAAACTGGATGGACACTCCAGGCACATCGGTGACCCTTTGGTGCGTCGGTTCGAGAGGACGAGCTGCCTGGAGATGTTTGTTGGGGGCGATTGCCCGGGATGTCGGAGGAGATTCTTTGAAAGTCCGAAGCATTCGTCGCTGCTTCACGAAAAGAGGGATGCGTCAGGCGATGAACGGCTGATCATGACGGGCCCGATATATACACATGGTGTTCTCAACGGACGATGTCGGATGGCGAAGAGTTGTGTCTTGGGCAAGATCGATTGATTCTCATGTCATTGGAGACGGATATGGAGGGAAAGCGTTTTGGTACAACTTCTGGGGGCGCAAATGCCGATGGCTCCATGGATATTTGTGTCAAGACTGAGACAGAAAAACCAATAGCTTGATTAGATTTACGACAGCTGGAATGTCTCCAATGATCCCGGGGCCGACGCCGCCAATTCCAATCAAGTCGTTCTCATCGTGGGATATCATCATTTCATCAAACACAGTCAGTCGGAACCGCTCATTGCAGACAAATGGCGTAAAAGGCCTCTTTCGCAACGCTCCCTGTCCCGTCATAATCAAACTCTTCCACCATTGCTTGTATTTCTTCATCCTCGAGACCTGTCTCGCCCAGTTCTCGAGCGACTCTGCGGATGTCGTCGACTTCAATGTAACCTCGCTGGTCCGGATCGAACAACAGCAAAGCCCGTTCGACTTCTTCCGTAGGATCGCGTTCGAATATCTTTTGCGCCGCTATGCGCTGGAACGCGTTTTGTGGTAAAAGAAGCTGACTGGAATGATATGTCTGTTGTCCTTTGACGGGAGGCCCTCTCTTAAACTGTGGCTTGGGCACTCCTTGCGATTGCATTATCTGCGCGACCTCAGGTTTGGGCACGGAAAATCCCAAGGACCTCATTGCGACGCGCACTTCATGGTAGTCCAGATGCCGATCTCGGTCTAGGTCGAACAATGAGAACTACTCGTTGACGAGTTAGCATAGGGTTGGCAGGACAGGGGAAGAACGTTGCATACTGCTTCATTTATTTCATCTCTTTGTTCCTCGCTCAATTCGCCGAGCGCATTCGATTCCTTCTCCATGCTCGGCCTCCCACCCAACGCGCCATGCTGTTGCTGCGGCGCCGCAGGCTGTCCGAATTGGTATTGTTGCTCAGGACGCCGTCCGAACGTCGACTGGGAATATTGTTGCGAGGCTACAGTGGTACCAGGCTTTTGCGCCGTGCGATCGGGTAGCTTACTCGAGGACGCATAGAGATTTCGACCTGGGAAAGCGGGATTTCCTTGCGACATTGACCCTGCTCGAAGTGGGCGCAGCTGCGCCTTCCGTCACCTGGACTGCCTTTGACGCGACATGAAAGTTGTAGTTGTTAAGTAGAGTACTTCGTCGAATAGTTATTGAGGTAAATTGTTTACCGACCGGACGCGACCGAGATATCGGGACGCGACTGGGGGAATTCTCTCCGCACGGGTCACATTGGCCACCAACCACCACTTGAAACTTACCCTCTCTCTTCCACGTCCGCCGGCATCTATGAGTACGCATGAGGCCATACCCGTGCTCGCCTCTCAAGCATCGGCTTAGGCCATCATGGTCTTGACACTAATATGCCCAGTCCTCGTGGCCTGCAGCGAGTCATCATTCATTTCGACTACGACTGTTTCTACGCCTCAGTGGTCGAAAATGAGAATCCGGCGCTCAAGTCGGTGCCTCTGGCCATCCAACAAAAGCAGATTGTGGTGACCTGTAACTATGAGGCTCGGCGAAGAGGTCTACGAAAGCTTCAGCTTATCACCGAGGCTCGAAAAGTGTGCCCCGAGGCGGTGATTGTCCTAGGTGAGGACTTGACTCGGTTTCGTGATGCTTCCAAAGATTTGTACAATTTCCTCCAGCAGTCCATCTGGAGTGGGAGGGCAGAGCGACTTGGGTTTGATGAAGTCTGGTACGCTAGAATCACCAAATTGTGCGCACCCAGCTGACAGCGTGGGCAGGCTCGATTGCACGGACATGATAGACTACAACATGGGTTTGCTCAATCCCAACGATCTTTCTCATTCTTTCTTCTGCATGAACAGAGACGATCCTACTGTTGGCTTCGCGTATGACGCATCCAGTGTCTATGGTCCTACCTATCCGTCGAGCCCGTCAGTCCCCACCCAGCTATCGGAAGAAGATGAAGAGTTGCGATTGCGCATTGTCCTTGGGAGTCATCTGGCAAGACACCTCCGACATGAACTGGAGTCCCAGAAGGGATACACATCCACTGTAGGAATCGCTATGAACAAGCTGTTGGCGAAGCTGGCTGGGAATGTGAACAAACCCAAAAACCAAACCACAATTTTGCCACCATGTGAGCCAACTGGCAGCGGGGTGAGCACTGTTACTCGGTTTCTTGATGACCATGACATAGGAAAGATCCCCGGCATTGGATTCAAGCTGGCCCAGAAGATCCGTGCCCATGTACTCGGTCGAGAGGCTGCTTTTTCTGATGGTCTGGTATATGGAGGCACGAAAGAGTCAGTAACTGTTCTCGACGTTCGGTCCTATCCTGGTATGGGTCCTAAGATGCTCGATGAGATCATGGCCGGTCCAGGATCGGTTAAAGGCATTGGTGGGAAGATATGGGACCTAATTCACGGAGCCGATGACTCGGAGGTTGCCAAAGCGAAGCGCATTCCCTCGCAGATTAGCCAGGAGGATTCGTACATGAAGTACCTACACACTTTTGAAGAAGTCAAGAAGCAGCTCCACATCTTGGGCGAGAGACTGATTCGGCGTCTGCAAATTGATCTGTTGGAGGACGCCGATGACGATGGAAGAGGTGATTGTGAAAATCTGCAACGTCGGTGGATGGCACATCCGCGAACTCTGCGGCTATCTACAAGGCCTCGTCCACTACTAGGCCCGGATGGAGTACGAGCACGGGCCTTTCAGCGCAGCTCTCGGTCAGGGCCTATGCCGAACTTCGTCTTCAGCCTGACTGAGGCACCCTCTGCACTTGCCCACCGTCTGGTCGAGGAAGCACTGGTCCCGATGTTTCGAAAACTCCATCATGAACAGGCCAGCTGGAATCTCAGCTTGATCAATGTTGCTGCCACCAACATGGCAGAGACAGCAGCTGAAACAAAGGACAGTCAAGGGCGAGATATTGGAAGGATGTTTCGGCGACAGGACGAAGTACTCAAGGACTTCAGAGTGACTGTCCATCCAGAGGAAGCGGAGCAGACTGGCTCGGCCATTCCGAATTCTCCAGCTGCTCAGTCACCCGACGCAATGATGACAGAATCTGATATTGACGTGTCGGTGGAGGATGACTGGGACTCGGAAGATGGCGAGAGCCAGCCGTTGGAGCAGTGCGAGATCTGTGAAAACGCCATCCCGGCGTTCGCATTGGCCGCCCATCGGAGGTACCACGAATTAAGCAATTAGACGCAAGCCCATGAGAGTCCAGCTGGACCCGAACAACTAGATTAGGTTTTGTTGAGAGACAAGGCTGTCCAACTGTGGGTGGATTCAAGTAGTGGCTCAGCTGTCCAGAACACCCAGAACTCGTGCATAGCTGGCACAGCTTAGGCGACGCCGAAATGCTGCCCAATTCACCCACCATCAACCTCGGGACCGGAGCCACTATTCTCCGGCCAGACTGCGTGGACGCTGTGGGCTGGGCCGCTTGGCGCCTTGGCAGATCTCACGCGCATCAGAAGGACAAGTTGCGAGGTGCTGACTGGAGTCGTCTATTTTCAACCCAATTCCTTCACTCGCCTATTTCTGAATCCCATCACGCATCCATCTGGCCGTCTGCCCCCAAATTCCCCCAATAGCAGCACTCCGCCCGCCCATTCTGGCCTCGCTGGCCTCTTCCCCATCCCCGCTACTTCGGGCAGTTCGATGCCGAAAATAGAGTCGAGCGGTTGCGGATATGCGATCGAGGCCACGTTTTGCCTGATCTCCTCTAGCATCATCCCAGCATCGTTCCTGAATCCTGCTCCCTGGCCAAGAAGAAGCGCCCGACTCTGCAAGCTAATGTGCGCACCTGGTGCGCCAGCCCTATCCTTCCCCCAGCTCTGGCTCCGGCCCAACAATCAAGCCACACCTGTTTTCTCCGTGCCCCTCCCAGACAATCCTAACCGCCGATACCTGGTCAACGGAGCCTGGAAAGGACACCAGGTCCGTTCGATGCCTGAGAACGCGGGAAAAGAGCCCAAATACTCCAGGATTTGCCAGCACTGGTTTGCTTAGCTGGGCAATGGCGGCAAATATGGGAACATCTTATTTCGTGGGCTACTCGCCCGGATGACGCGGTGGGTACTCACCACCTATGTCCCTTCCAACGCCTCCAGCCATATCAGCTGCCCACACCCAGGGACCTGCGTTCTTTTTATTTCTCTTAAACGGTGTTGCCTATGTTGGTTTTAAAACGTGTCTTGACGCTTATGTGAGGCTCATGGACACCCTGATTACGCCTTCTGCTTGAGATCGGTGCGACACTGTGACTACGATACTAATAAGGAGGCTCTGACGATCTCGAGTTGGGCTCACCCCTTTACGTGCTTATGCACACCAGCCCTAACCCTCCTGGATCGCGAATAAAAGCCCTCTCGCTAGATTTCTCCTACCCACTTGGCCCGACCATAAGAACTACGGGCATACACGACAAGTTCAGCTGGAGTCGAAAGACAAATTTCTCGATTTGATGAGTGGGCCTTCAGCGTTGTCAGAGGCCACTACAGCAAGCAAAATGCTTGCCATATCTATGGCTCCGCCTATGCCACATCTTCTATCTCGCCTCGATCCGGTCCATCCATTATCGATGTTTCCGACAGAAAATGTTGGGTCTCTCCATCCTGCCTCGCCGGGGAAAAAGCCGAAGTTGTCACTAAGGACTTCTGATCTCGCTCCCACATTTCATGGCTCGACCAGTCGTCAAAATGGCATCAATTCTGGCGCTACCGCAACCCCGACGACGTTGAACACCTTCAACAATACATTCGACCTTGCCTACAGACCATCACCAGTGACAACTCTTCCATCACCAGGACCACATTTGCAAACAAGAGGCAGCGCACATCCGACCTCCCCAGCTGTGAAACTGTCAGAGCGCCCTTACCTCCTGAACTTGCCCTTTGGCGTCCGCTCGATACTGAAGAATAGTCCGCTTCCGCGGGATATCCGGCGGCCTTCTGTCAGCGCAAGCCCCCGAGTGGCCGGTCGAAGAGTGTTTTTCCCAGCTCCCAAAAGGGTAGCTTTCCGGGCCGAATTGGAGGAAGAAATCGTCACAAGGAATTACATCATGCGCCACGCAGACCTGAGTTCATCCGATGAGGAATCTCTTTCTTCCGAGAATGAAGAGCAAAGTGGAACTTCCACCGACGAAGACGGAGATGACGGCGATAAAGGCCGAGAGATCCGCGTGGATGAAGCCTCGCCACGTAAGAAGAGGAAGCGGATGTCTATTGCTGTATCTCCTTCGACTTCATCTGCACTGGATCGAGGCAGGCTAGAAAGACCACAAAGCGGTTCAATTTCGAGTTCGAAGCGGAGGCGAAGGAGATGGGAATGGACAATAGACCCGTCGATGTCTAATCCATCTCGGTTGGAGAAGGAGTCGGAAAACTTTAGTGAAAATCGGGATCCTCGAGTGGAAGAGCCGAAAAGATGCTCAAATGTAGAGGTGGTCCAGGATGGGAAACAGCCTGAGCAGGTTGAAGCGGGCAGTCGGGTCAATGACTGTTCAAATGGCTGAACATGTACTTCTCAAAAGAACTGTATTTATGAAATAACGATCAGAGTATTCCAAACACAACATTTATGTACTCCAGGATAATTGATGAGACATATACGAAGAACCCACTACTCGGTTTTAGCGCCTTGCAGAAACGGATGCGCGGCGGGTGAGCGACGCTTCAGCCATTTGATCTGTACGAATTCTGGAAAGCACCCCGTGGAATCTGAAAACTTCCAGCACCCTTAGCTCTCTCCTTTCGAGTTTTGCTCCTGTTGTCGATCCAGTCCATCCCGTCTCCCCATTGCCGAAGCCTCCGCCTGCGGCGGCTACGATGGATCGGTCATTGAAATGTTTCACTAACTGCCTGCTCTGCATCTCGGGAGAATTAGTGGCCCAAGATCTTTATTTTAGCACCGATCAAGGCACCATCACGCCCAACTACTACTTTCGACAAGAAGGCGTCGAGAGAGTAGACTTGGGTGGCAGAATCATTGCCCCAGGGTTTTTGGACTTGCAGACCAACGGCATGAGCGGTGTCCATTTCACGCAGTTGGCCCTTGGTGGTGCTCCGGAGGTCGACGAGCACAAGTTAGAAGATGTTAGTAGGATGGAAATCTGCCATGGAGTGACAGGCTGGTGGGCAACTGTCCCTACGGTGGACAAGGACCGGTGGAAGCAGGTAGGCTGATCTCGCCTCTTCATCCTATTCCACACGAGTTTATGCATTCTCTGTCCATTGCCGGAGACATAAAGGTCGCCCCGCCTATTCTCACCAATATGCTGAACCTGCCACCAGATAGTACCGCTGTTGAAACCACGAGCATTTGACTCCGGTGCTGATTTGCTGGGTGCACACGTCGAGGGGCCGTATCTCAACGCCTCGAAGAAAGGAGCACACAATGTCGCCTACCTCCAAGAGCCAGCGAATGTCTCCCTATCTGACTTGTACGGCGATAGCAATCTCAAGGATGCAATCAAGTTGATCACATTGGCTCCAGAACTGGCCGGATCGACTGCACTCGTGGGCCAGCTGCAAGAAGAATACCCTCACGTTGTCATCTCTCTAGGGCATTCGGCCGCCACTTACGAGGAGGGTCTTGCGGCTCTGCAATTGGGGGCCCGAGCGTTGACACACGTCTTTAATGCAATGCTGCCTCTTCATCATCGCAATCCTGGGCTCGCCGGGTTGATGGGGACTGGCAAGTGCTATTACTCGATCATTCCAGATGGAATCCATCTGCACCCTTCCGTGGTAACCCTTTGCCTGCGGACTGATCCGAGGAAATGCATCTTTATCACGGACAGCATCGAACTCGCCGGGCTCCCAGATGGCGTGCACGGCGGACACGGGCAGATTGCACAGCGACAGCTTAAGCAAGGCAACAAAGTAACGATCGAAGGCACGGATACGTTGATTGGCAGTTGTTGTACGCTGGACGAGTGCGTACGGAATGCTGTGGCATTTACCGGGTGCAATCTCGCCGAGGCCGTGCAGTGTGTCACTGAAAACGTTGCAGATATGATGGGCGAGAGCAAGAGAGGGAGGCTCGAACCGGGTCGACGCGCCGACTTTGCAATTCTAGACGAAGAAGGTAATGTCTTGGAGACGTGGATCGGGGGAAGCAAGGTATGGGCAAGGTCGTGATGGAGGTTTTGAACCAAAGCCTGGTGTTAGGTATCAAAATTAGTCGATAGAGGGCAACCAAGGGACGAGCAGACGATGATGAACACCGTGTGGCGTAAGGGATGCAGATCGAGATAGACTCAAAGTCAGACACATGTGAGCTGAGCCGACGCCTTCAGCCTTTTCCCCAGTCAGCCCGTTTCAGACTGAAGCTGTTTAGCTTGATGCAAGTTCCATGATTTTGGGGAGTTGGCTGACGATGGCGTGTGCCGTTTGGATCTTGATCGCCAGCTAAGCGATGAGCTTTCGCCTAAGCACGCCCCGCTGAGGCCCCAATCGTGCCCAGCGTTGACGCGTTGTTGGTTCATTTTCAGGCTTGAGGCAAGCCACACACGCCTTTGTTACCCGCATTGATCACCCCCGTCGCGGGTAGGAGCTTGTTGGAGGCACTGTGGTTACGTCACAGCAGATTGGGAGCAGCAGGGAGCAGACATCATACTCCCAGCAACTGCGGGCTGCCAGCCAACTATGAAATTTCACAATGGAACAATCTCTCCCATGTTAGACTGCTCATCCGTCTCTTGCCATTTTCTTTCGCTCTTTCTCACTCTCACTCCGTCCCTCATCTCCAGGAGTTCGTCACTAGAACTGCCAGACGCTCGGCCTTTCCTCGTCCCTTCGATCTCCTTGGCCTCAGGCACAAGCACCCTGTTATTGAGGGGCGTGACCTCCCCCTAAAAGGTGGCCATGGAGGCTCAGCAGCAGAAGTCCGGGAAGCCCTGGAGTGGCACAAACCGCATCCCCAACATCAAGGAGTTTGTTGCGCATCTTGACAAGGACAAGTCGGAAAGAGACAAGGCTATCGATGCACAGAAGCCTGCCGGAGAGGCCCAACAGTACTCTGCTGAAATTACTCCGCACAAGAATGAAAAACAGCAGAAAGGCGGTAAGACTGTCACAGATCCAGTCACCGGAAACCAGGTGGTCATCGCAGATGTGGGCAAGGAGTACATGGAGAGGGCCGACAATCCCAAGGTATGCATGTAATCCCACTTGACCAGGCGGAGCTGCAATTGACCTTGGCTCAGCTTTCGGTGCCAAATGCAAACCTGGGCCGACCTACCACAGTTGCAACGGATCCTTCCCAGAAGAATCCCGAGTACAAGCAGAAGCAGGACATCACTGCCCCTCCAGACCCAGTCGCTGAAGGCAGCACTTCTGACGTCCCCATTCATGGAGAAAAGACCAATATTTTGTTCCACCCAACTCCCTCAGTCAGTTATGAGCCGATGTTCGAGCTTCTTGAGAACCGGGCTGGTGGGCTGTGTATCGCCATCCTCATCTCCATTGTCGTCTTTGGGAAGATGTTTGGTGGCTCTCTCAAGGGACTCATTCCACTGGGCATGTGCGTCTCCTCCGCCGTCTGGTTGTGGATGAAAGAGGTTGTACGAAGTGGCCGTGAGGTGGAATGGAGCAGTGAACAGAGCAGAGGGGAGACGGTGAGTATTCACATCCGTCCGCCAGCCATAGGTGGCCCAAAGCTAATATCGACAGGCTATGGCCAACCTCCTCCCTGAATCAGTCGAGTGGATGAACACCTTCCTGGGCGTCGTTTGGGGCTTGATCAACCCGGATATGTTTGCGGCCGTGGCAGACACCCTGGAAGATGTCATGCAAGCCTCCGTTCCTGGTGTCATCAACAATGTTAGAGTGGCTGAAATCGACCAAGGAAGCAACCCTATCCGTATCCTCAGTTTGCGGGCATTACCTGACTCAAAAATGTCCGAGCTCAAGCAGAGCATTCATGAAGAGAATAAAAAGACCAAAGATCCACAAGAAGCAGCAGCCGACGAAGAAGGCGGTGACTATTACAACCTCGAGATTGCTTTTGCATACCACGCCAAACCCGCCGGTGATCGTGCCTCTGCGGCTTCAAGAGCAAGGAACATGCACATGAACCTTGTTTTCTATCTCGGCATCAAGGGGCTCATTGGTGTTCCCCTACCCATCTTTGTCGAACTTCAAGAGCTTGTCGGAACCGTGCGCCTGCGATTGCAGATGACTCCCGAACCACCTTTTGCAAAGAGTCTTACCTTCACTCTGATGGGCGTGCCTCATGTCCAAGCAGGCTGCATTCCAATGGTTCAGAAAGGGGTTAATATCCTCAATCTGCCATTGATTTCAAACTTCGTCAACTACGCGATCGGCGCAGCGGCAAGCATGTATGTGGCCCCAAAGTCGATGCAGCTCGACCTGAAGTCCATGCTGCAAGGAGACGATATCACCAAAGATACACAGGCCATGGGAGTCATGTGGATTCGGATCCATCGCGCCATTGGCCTCAGTAAGCAAGATCGTCGTGGTAGCAAATATGGTGGGAGTGACCCCTACATCAACCTTTCCTTCTCCAAATACGGAAAGCCAATGTACTGCACTCGTGTCATCACAGACGACCTCAATCCGGTTTGGGAAGAAACTGCCGCTCTTCTTGTCACACCTGAGCTCATCAAGGCCGATGAACAACTGAGCGTCGAGTTGTGGGACTCTGACCGAAACTCTGCAGACGACATGGTAGGCAAAGTTGAGTTGTCAATGCAGAAAATGATCCAACATCCGGGCAAAATGTACCCCCAGATCTCAAAACTTGCTGGCACTCACCAGGGAAGCGAGATGCCCGGTGAGCTGCATTGGGAAGTAGGCTACTTTGGCAAGCCTAAGTTCCGACCTGCCCTTCGTACCGATGGCAAAGACAAGAACCTACCAGATGCACTCAAGAACGATGAGAAGCTCCAGGATGAGAAGGGTGTCATTGACTCTGAAGACGCAGATGCCGTGGCACATACTCCCCCAGACCCGTTGTGGCCTAGTGGCGTCTGTAGTGTCATCATTCACCAGATTGTCAGTCTCGAACTCGAGAATATCAAAGGAAGTGACGGCAATCGGAAGGGCAAAGAGTTCGAGCCGGCTAAGCCTTACGGTGAGGGTACCGACGAAGAGTCCATTAGTAAGCCCCAGCGCAGGTTCCTCCTTCTACTCCCACTGACAATGGCCCAGAACTCCCGACCTCTTATTGTACCGTCCTGTTCAATGACTCACTGGTGTACCGCACTCGAGCAAAGGCTGTCAGCAGCAAACCCATCTTCAACGCCGGCACGGAGCGCTTTATGCGAGACTGGCGGTCTGGTATAGTCACAATTACCGTTCGTGATCAGCGTAACAGAGAGCACGACCCTATTCTGGGTGTTGTTCCCCTTCGCTTGTCAGAAATACTCACCACCAGTTCTCAAGTGACCAGATGGTACCCTCTTGACGGTGGCATTGGGTTTGGCCGGATCAGGATTTCGCTGCTCTTCAGAAGTGTGGAGACTCGGCTCCCTCCCAACATGCTGGGCTGGGATGTGGGCACTTTCGAATTCATTTCTGACAGAATCGTGGCCACGGGTTGGAAGTCAAATTCGAAGCTCAAACTCCGCACAGGAGGCAGCGTTGGCAAAATTCCCCGGACGCAATGCCACAGCAGCGAGGGCGGCGATGGTATGTACTTCGACGTCTCCAGCGAGAACAACAACCATGTCCGTCTTCCTGTCAAGTATCGGTACCGATCTCCAGTGATTTTTGAGTTCCATGTGGCTGGTAAACGTGGAGCGGCAGCATATGCTTGCATCTGGCTTCAAAACTTGGTCGACAACGAAGAGACAGCAATCGACATTCCTATTTGGACGACCAAGAATAGCAATCGACTCGTGCAAAATTACATGACCGAAGAGAACGTCAAGGCGTTCATGGACAAAGGTTTGGAAGATTTGAAGGAGGTTGGCCGGCTTCAGTTCCGAGGTCGCTTTAAGGCCGGCATGGATGAGTCACACCGAGACTTCATTGTGGACAACAATAGTCGGGAGACGTATGAGACGTTCGAGGCATGCTTGACCGAGGGCGTGCGTGAGCGAGTCGTCCAAGGCGAGGTGCCAGAAAATATCCAGGAATTGCACGAGGCGTCTCTGAAAGAGGGCCGTGACATCCTCAGCCAAGAGGCGTCGGAGAAAGAGAAGCGTAAGTGGCTCAGCAAGACCGGCGAGGACTGGTCTGGGGCATTCAGTCATGATCCGAGGGCATACACCAACAAAAAGTGGGAAAAGATTGCCGAGCCCGGTACTGACGAGCCTCCTCATGATCCATATAACCCCTCAGATGACGACGACGACGACGCCGAGCCTATTGATGATGACTCGTCAGATCTGGGCATCACTGATGCCACCAATGTTCCGGAAGGGGCATTCGGGAAGGATCCCAAGGAGGTCGATGGTCTAAATGGTCATGCTGAGGATGCGAATGGGCGGCCCAGTGCTGATACCACGGCGACAGGCGAGACCGGCTACACGACCATGACTGAGGGATCGACAAACTCAGTGCAGCCCGTGCAAAAGAGAGATAGCAACTTCGAGAAGAAGGCCGGAAAAAGAGCGGAAGAGCGTAAGCATCGGGGGTTGTCGCAATGGACCCCGGCGAGGAACGTCAAGTTCGCTAAAGATGAAGCAAAGATTGGAATGAGTAAAATTAAGAAGCGATTCACAGGGGGACTTGGTGGCAGAGAGCCTGGCGTCGAGACCGAGGCTTGAACAAGATGCAGGACGCTGAGAAAGTTCGTTTCTCAACCTTTGTTCGCGTACATGGGTTTCTCAAGAAGAAAAAGGAAAGGGTGTCGTGCGATGATAAAGTCGGAGAGAGTCCTTCGACATAACGACACTCTCGTAAGTGTCAAGATAACAGGAGTTTGGAAGAATTCAACTTTGATTTGTACTCATATTGAGGGTTTCTAGGGTGTATCAGAGGTGTTTGGGGGACATTGGCACCAGGGCCACAACGGAACTGCCGATATCCGAGATGATGAACGGAGATGGGCCAGGCGGTTGTAGTTGCTCGCATGCAAGCGATGGACGGGATACGCACAATCCCAAAGCACTCAGGGACTGTTGTGTCTTGAGCCGGGGGGTATCTCTGGTTGTAGCCATGTCACCAACTCTTTTCACGTTGTTTGTTCACTCTTCTGGGTTGCGTAGCGGCGTAGTCGTGCTCTGGCCATATCTCGACGCAATAGGTCAGGAAGTGCGGATTCGACCGATGAGGCCTCTTTTCAGCTGGGTGAGAGTCTGAAACGGGTGCTGGCAGATCTTCCAGATTGATTCTTGACTGCAGGTGGCTAGCGGTCGGAGTTTTGCTGACCGTGGCAGTGATAATCATCGGCCTCTTTGAACCAGCCAGCAGCTGCTTAGCGGTTCCTTGGCGACTCGTCATGCTGGGTATAGTGGGTAGGGCGCCCCCCGGATCCCGGTCACTTGGGTGGCTGCGCCCACCGACGCCAGCCCGCAACCCACTGCTGGGCGACGGGCTGCTCCTCCTCCTTGTTGCACTTCTCTACCGATGCTACCACTGCCCACCCCATCATTAGTACCACTGCACCTTCGTCCGCACCACCCGTCTGGGCGTACGACAACTACATTCGTTCTTCTCGCTCTACATCTATCGTTCCACTCTGCTTCTGTGTACAGTACGCAAGCCATTATCAGTTCCTCCCGCCCTTCGCTAGCATAATATCACTCTGGAGCGACCCAGCCTGCGCATACGAATACGTCCACCCTGCCTCCTCACATCCACTTGTGTACAGCTACGGCACCAAGAGCAACTCCTTCGGTGACTGAGCCGACCGTATTCTGCTCGTTCGGACAATCGCTGTAAAACGGTCGACATTGACGACATTGATTGCCCTCTCGATGCAAACTGAGTCGAGAGTGGTCTAAAACACCCTCCGCAGTCTGCGCAACCTCACATCTAGCCTTACCGTTAATCTCCTACGAGCGCAGGATGCGCCTTCTTCAAAATTTTGCCGCGGGCATCGCATCATGGCTGTTGCTATTGCTGATAAGCACAGTTGATGCACACTCCCGATCCAGGAATCCGTTAAACTACATATCGTTAATTGAAAACCCTCGGATACAAACGCCTTCACAAAGGGTACACTGTACATCCAGCTTTGACTTGACTTTCGACCTCCATCACAGCACCCAGCATGTCCGACTAAGCCTCGAACCCAACCATGATATCATTCACGAAGACTCTTACATTGAATTTATTGACAAGGATGGCAATGTCAGGCACGTCGAAAAGATGCAGCGGGAAGAGCACAAGATCTATCAGGGAAAAGCTTTTCTCGTCGATGACGATGGGGTAAATCGGCACGTCGGGTGGGCTCGAATTGCTGTGAGGCGGGATGGCGTGAAGCCTCTCTTTGAGGGGGCTTTCACCGTCATGGGCAATCACCACAATGTCCAGCTGAAGTCAAACTACATGGCGACCAAGCACGAACTCGATCCCGAACTGGAAGAGGATGATGATGAGTATATGGCTGTCTGGCGTGATTCGGACGTTAGCCGGCAATCGCATACAGACCTTAAACGAAGTGCAGGCTTGACTTGCGCCTCTGACAAGTTGGAGTTCAACACCCATCCGGACCATCCCATCTACCGCGACTTGATGCTCAAACGCGATGATGGCTTCTGGGGAGACATGGGTGCCATGTCCATCTCCAACATGTTTGAGAAGCGACAGAATATCGACGGCGGCGGGGTGGGCTCAGGCAATTCGGCCGGTGTCAATCTAGCTTCCACCATTGGCAGCACCGCTGGTTGCCCAACCACTCGCAAAGTCGCCTTGGTCGGCGTTGCCACCGATTGTACATACACCGCGAGCTTCAACTCCACCGACAGCTTGCGACAATACGTCATCAGCCTGGTCAATACTGCTTCTGAATTATACCAATCCACTTTCAACATCACTCTCGGCCTCCGCAATCTAACCGTTTCCGACGGCGAATGTCCCGGGACAGCAAGCACTCAGACGCCGTGGAACGTAGGTTGTTCAAGCAGCACCGATATAACACAACGGCTCAACCTCTTCTCTTCATGGCGCGGCCAGCGAGGCGACGACAATGCCTACTGGTCCCTCTTCACAACTTGCAACACCGGGGCTGAAGTCGGCCTCGCCTGGCTTGGGCAGTTGTGCAACCACGGTTCCACTTCACAGACAGACACTAGCGGCAACTCTCAGAGCGTCACCGGCGCAAATGTCATTGCGAAGACCTCGACTGAGTGGCAGGTATTTGCTCACGAAAGTGGCCATACTTTTGGCGCTGTCCACGATTGTGATTCCAGCACCTGTGCCGACGCCAACATTGTCAACTCTGGCCAGTGCTGCCCGCTTTCCTCCAGCACCTGCGACGCGAATGCACAATACATGATGAATCCTTACTCTTCAGCCGATATCACCAAATTCTCGCCCTGCTCAGTGGGAAATATCTGCAGCGCACTGGGCCGCAACTCGGTTCAGTCGCAATGTCTCACTGACAACAAAGGTGTCGTTACCATCAGTGGCAACCAGTGCGGCAATGGCATTGTCGAGGAGGGTGAAGACTGTGACTGTGGTGGAACCGAGTCCTGTGCTGGGAACAGCTGCTGCAATCCTACAACCTGCAAGTTCAATACAGGCGCTGTGTGTGACCCGAGCAACGAAGGTTGCTGTACATCGACTTGCCAATTCGCTTCTTCTGGGACCGTCTGCCGTGCTAGCACTGGCCAATGTGATCCTGCCGAGACATGCTCTGGCACTAATGGAACATGCCCTACAGACACCACTGCGCCCGATGGAACTGATTGCGGTAGCGGCCTTGAATGTGCTAGTGGCCAGTGCACGAGTCGAGATCTTCAGTGCAAGACTCTCATGGGCAGCTACACGAGCGATAATGACACCTATGCCTGCAACAGTCAGACCTGCACGTTGAGTTGCGCCAGTCCAGACTTTGGAGCAAACGTCTGTTACAGCATGCAACAAAACTTCCTGGATGGTACTCCGTGTGGCGGTGGCGGGCGATGCGAGAATGGTGTTTGCAAGGGGAGCACTATCGGGGGCGAAGTCAAGTCATGGATTGACGACAACAAAACTTTGGTGATTGCCCTAGCCAGCGCGATTGGAGGCCTCCTGCTGCTTGCTATTCTTGGATGCTGCATCAGGGCATGCAGACGGCCAAGAGGGAAGAAACTGGATGGCATCGTTCCTGGGCAACGTCGGCAGAGACGTGGAGTTCAAGGAGCACAGCGTGGAGGCTGGGATGGACCTCAAATTCCTCCGCAGATGAGAGATCGCGGATATGGCGGTGGGTGGGAACAGTCGCCTGTACAGATGACCACGCCACAGGGCTGGTATCCTCCGCAACCACCGCCTGCTTACGGGGGTTGGGATGGCTATCCCCAGCGAGGACAAAGTGCTAGGTACGCATAAAGGGGACATGCGGTGGTGCAGAAAACTGTACAGATGGAGGGAAGCGGGTAATGCACAGCCTTGTACTGGGCGAAGGGATATATGCCCGTATAGACCGGGCATGGAACGGACCGGTGGACTCGCTGCATATTTTACACGGCGTCAAAAGTGTTTGGGTATTGTTTTCCGCTTGACACGACCTCCCTGACGAACAGAATCGAATGGATGATCAAGACTATCAATCCACCCCAAGTGGCCAGAATTCTCTTTTTGAGGTCTAGCTACCTCTTCTGGAACATTTTTGAACTATGTGACCTAGGCATAAACTCAATCCCGGTAAAGGAGTGTAGCTGTTTGGCGGATGGAGTCGGAGTGGGTGCCGTGGGGAAGACAATCGGGCATATACCGAACCCAAGTCCCAGCAAATGTCGCAGTCTGGCACTGTAGATATGTGGCTGCTTCTCTCTGGATAGAGGCGGCGGGTTTGCCAGGGCCAACAGGAACCTCGACAATCAATAGGCAGAGAAAAGAAGGCCAACATTGGCAGTTCAGGGCCGCCCTACAACGCAGCAGGGGAAATGGGACATCAGACATGTAGTCAGACGACCGCGGTAGGTGTGTTGGAGGTAGGTGGGAGGTTGGAGGTAGGTGGGAGGTTGGAGGTAGGTGGGAGGTTGGAGGTTGGAGATGGATAATATGACGCGACATGACTTCGCCCGATCTCGCAATCATTTCCAGCCCCTCTCACTGGTCCGTCTAACTGCTTTTCACACTCTGCGTGCATGACCTTTGTCCTCCCAAGTCGCATTCTCCGAGTTTTCTCAACGCTGTTTGATCTAGGTCTTGTGGTGACCCAGGCCCCATGAGCTTCAGCTTCGCGGCGACTACAGCAGCAGTCCGATCCGCCTCTCGACCAGTCTTTCGAGTAGAGCTACCCCTCGCTGCTGGAAGCGGTCCATTGCATTCGAGCCGCGCGCACACTCCTCGCCGCGATTTCTCGTCCTCGCCCAGAATGGACGTCAAGTTCGCGCCCGCGAAGCGCGTCGCGGGGCAGAGGCAGGACGTTTGGTCTATTGTCAATGAGGCCGCCGCTGCATCTCCCATGCAGCCAATTGTGAACATGGGCCAAGGGTTTTTGTGAGTATGCAGAAACACACACCGACGTGGCCACTTGTTACCATTGTATGAAGGATCGAGGACTAATTCCAAGTCACAGTGGCTACAATCCCCCCAAATTCATCATTGACGCTGCGAAGAGTGCGCTCGATCGAGTAGAATGCAATCAATATTCTCCCACCAAGGGCAGGCCGAGGTTGAAAAAGGCAATCGCCGACGCATACTCTCCTTATTTCGGACGACAGTTGGATCCGGAGACTGAAGTTACTATTACAACGGGTGCCAACGAAGGTACGGGGTAAGAAAATCGGGACAGTGGCATTGCTGACTGGGCACAGGCATGCTCAGTGCATTCATGGGCTTTATCGAACCAGGCGACGAAGTGATCATATTTGAACCCTTTTTTGACCAGTATCTCAGTAATATTGAGATGCCTGGTGGAACAATCAGATATGTCCCTATGCACCCTCCCGCGGATGGCGCCGAACGGACTTCCTCCGCAGCGAACTGGACCATCGACTTTGACGAGCTGGAAAAGGCATTCAACTCCAAAACAAAGATGATTGTGTTGAACTCACCTCACAACCCGGTCGGCAAAGTTTTGAACAAGGAAGAGCTGACAAAAATCGGCGATCTGTGTTTGAAACATAAAGTCATCATCTTGTCAGACGAGGTGTATGACCGCTTATACTATGTTCCTTTTACACGAATAGCCACGCTCTCGCCTGAACTCGCCAAGATAACACTCACCGTGGGATCGGCGGGGAAGAATTTCTACGCGACGGGATGGCGCGTAGGGTACCTGATCGGGCCCCCAGAGCTGATCAAATACGTGGCCGCTGCACATACGAGAATCTGCTATTCAAGCGTCTCGCCTTTACAAGAGGCTGCTGCGATTGGATTCGAACAGGCGGACAAGGTTGGGTTCTGGGACCAACAGATCACAGAGATGAAGGGCAAAATGGACCGCTTCTGCCAGATCTTCGATGAACTGGGCATACCCTACTCGGTTCCCGAAGGCGGCTATTTCGTGCTCGCAAACCTGTCCAAGGTCAAACTCCCTGAATGCTACAAATTCCCGGACCACGTCAAAGACCGACCACGGGATTTCAAGATGTCGTGGTTTTTGATCATGGAGTTAGGGGTTGCGGCGATTCCACCGAGCGAGTTCTATACAGACGAAAGGGCACATTTGGCGGAAGATTGGATGAGATTCGCCGTTTGTAAGAACGATGATGTCTTGGAAGACGCAAAGGATCGATTGAGGGGTTTGAAGAAGTACATGACCTGATCCGAGGGATGTTCGATGATAAAAGTTTCGTCAAGATGGCTCCGTTGTGCAAGGTTAGATCTGTCCAACATGGACCTATAACGTTAGACATATACACATATAGCATGAAGCCGCCATCTGTGCTGATCTGTTCTCAATCTCGGCTAGCAAAAGCAACGGCGCTGCTTGTTCCCAGTCGTCAATACACTTATGCCAGTACAGAAAGGGGATGCTCAGCCTTGTCACGGGCGGGGTCTACTAAACGCGTGTGACGCGGTGCCTTGTCGCTGAACTCCAACTATTTCAGTCCGCAGGCAATTTCGCCAACGCCGCAGTCCCTATTCCACCGTGCTCGGAGCTTGATTTCTGGATACGAATACATCAAGTTATGAAACACCCATGATGGTGGCATGCCCAATCTGCGGCAAATCCGTCAAGCAAACCACGATCAACGACCACATCGACTCCAACTGCACCGAGTACATCGAGAACGAAAGCAGTGCATCGACACCCGGGACTGGCAAATTCTTCAAGACCCCCGTCGCAAAGCGCGATGCTTTCTCCTTCTTTTCGGCCTCCCAGCCCTTACCATCTCCGAGCGATCCTCGACCGTCGCTGGCGACAGCAGCTGTAGCGAAACGACCATTCGAAGCCACCTCGGCACCGCAACAGCCAGATGGACACCCTGTGATCAAAAATGAGGAGACGGGCGCATCTCACAATGGCTCCGAAGCAGTGGCACCCCCAAACAAAAAGCCCAAACACAACCCCTTCGAAAAAGCCGCGCCGCTGGCAGAACGCATGCGCCCGAAAACCCTCGATGAAGTCTGCGGACAGGACCTGGTCGGCCGTGACGGCGTGCTGCGAGGCTTGATTGAACAAGATCGCGTCCCGAGCATGATTCTCTGGGGTGCCGCGGGGACCGGTAAGACGACCATTGCACGGGTCATTGCGGGGATGGTTGGCTCCCGCTTCGTCGAGATCAATAGTACATCTTCCGGGGTGGCCGAGTGTAAGAAGATCTTCGCCGAAGCCAAAAATGAGCTGGCCCTCACGGGCCGTAAGACGATCATATTCTGCGACGAGATCCACAGGTTCAGCAAGAGCCAGCAGGATGTCTTTCTCGGTCCTGTCGAGGCGGGACATGTCACTCTGATCGGCGCCACAACCGAGAATCCCAGCTTCAAGGTGCAGAACGCTCTCCTGTCGCGGTGCCGCACGTTTACCTTGCAGAAACTCACAGACCAGAATATCTGCGAGATCCTCAATCGCGCGCTGGAAGCCGAACGCAACAATTACAATCCCTCCGAGCTCGTAAATGACGAGTTGATCAGATACCTTGCTGCCTTTGCTGACGGTGACGCCCGTACGGGCCTCAACCTCCTTGAGTTAGCTATGGATATCTCTAGCCGACCCAACATGACTCTAGAGGATCTAAAACAATCGCTCACAAAGACCCTAGTCTACGACCGCGCGGGTGATCAACACTACGACACCATATCCGCATTCCACAAATCGGTGCGAGGCTCCGACCCTAACGCGGCGTTGTACTACCTTGCGCGCATGCTTCAGTCAGGGGAAGATCCGCTGTACATTGCGAGACGGATGATTGTGATCGCGAGCGAGGATGTCGGATTGGCGGACAATTCGCTGCTCCCGCTCGCAACGGCGGCATATACAGCTTGTGAGAAAATCGGTATGCCTGAAGCAAGAATCAACTTGGCCCATGTCACAGTGGCGTTGTGCCTTGCCCCCAAATCAACCAGGGCGTATAGGGCGCTTGCGAATGCTATGCACGCTCTTGAAGAGCCCGGGATTGCAGGCCTTCCAGTCCCGATTCACCTGAGAAATGCGCCGACGAGGTTGATGAAAGAGTTGGGGTACGGGAAGGAGTACAAATATAATCCGGACTATGTGGATGGAAAGGTCAAGCAGGAGTATTTGCCCGACAGGTTGAAGGGTAGAGAGTTTCTGGAAGAAAGAGATCTTGGAGAGAACATCGACGAGGACTTATTAGAGGAGGCGGGACTCGGTAAGGACGGCAAAGTCGTCAATGGAGTGAATGGGAATGGCTAAGAAGAGGTGGAGGAATGTTGAGATCATGAAAACCAGAATCCGGAAAACAACGGAGATTTCCAGCAATGAAGGCGGGAACATTCAGTGAATGCATGAATGATCCTCAATCGCTTCCGGACCGCAGTTTCAACAACCAATACGAAGGAAAATGGGGTGTGGACCTTGCTGATCCAGGAGGCCACATGCAGCCCAGATGGCGACGAGAACAGCTTCGACTGTGTTTTTTTCGCGAGAGGTCGACTGGGCATCTCTGGCGTTGAGCTGATATCGTGGATGTCTGCTCTGGGTCCGGAGTTCCTTTCTGTTCGGATTGGAAGATGACTCGGAGAGGCGACCACAGTCTTTCAGTTTGAGCGAGAACCCAGCTCTTGCCTTCAAGAGAGGATTATCAAGGATCGCACCGCCCGTTCGAGGAACGTGCAAGATCCAGTATGCGTCGACTGCGCGGATGGAGACACGGACAAAAGACTGCCACAACAGGCAAAACTTTTGGAATAGTTAGTCGCTCAGCTTCGCTCGCAAGGGAATTGTCCAACAAATTGGTGACGGGTGAGCCTAGACTGGTCTCTATCCTGGACAGATAATAGCGACGGAAATGCGGCTCCCAGTCAAAACAGTTGGATGAAAACACCCCGTCGCTTGGGAGAGAGGATGGCTCGGCTCATGACATAAAAGAGTTACAAGTCCTATTGTCCTTGATTAAACGTGACTTGGATTCCTGAAGAATATTGTATAGCTTCAAACTGGCCCTGGCGAATCGCCTCGCTAAGGCGTCCAGGCAAGGCGCCTGGCAGTCTACCAGCTTCGCAAGGAGGAGAGACGCTGACACGAGGTCCTGGTTTGATCAGCCAGCCTGATATAAGCATGATGATGCTGGGCAAAGCCGTCATTGCTGAGTCAGAGAATTTGGATGGGAAGAGAGGGTGTCGAACATTCAGATTCGCATACAGGTGCGAACACAGCCTCGCATATTAGTCGGTCAAGGATGTGGATTTTTCAACTCCAGGACAAGGCCTCCAGCGGTGCCAATGTGTAACGACGCACGAGAGTGGCAAAGGCTGACATGACATTGAACGTGATGATCATAAAACCCCAAGGAATTCCAGGGACATATATGCGGGACAAGCAACTTCAGAACAGTGTTGAGCCAGCACAGTACCATGACGATCCGAGTCGCCATAGCAGGAGGTGGAATCGCGGGCCTTTGCCTCGCTCGTGGGCTGCTTCAGTACCCGCAATTCGACGTCCAGGTGTACGAGCAGGTCCAACAACACCGCGATAAAGGCGGTGCCCTCGCCCTGCATGCAAATGCCATTGGAGCCATGGAGCTCATCGATCCGGCCATCAAACGTGCATATTTCCGGAAAGCCAACAGCATGCTGGAGGATGATGACAGGGAAATGGCCACGCAAGTCATTCTGGCCGAAGGCAAGCATAAAGGAGAGGTCATCGCGCGGCTGGGCCGGGCAAAAGGACGCAAAACAGTGGCAAGAGTGGACCTGATCAACGGGTTCATGGATCTGGTACCCAACGAGAACCTGAACATGGGCAAGAGGTTGGAAAATATCGAGGAGAGCGACGATGGAGAAGTTGTCCTCGGTTTCGCAGACGGCACAACGGCGACAGTGGATTGCCTCATTGGCGCCGATGGCATCCATAGCATGACGAGACAATATCTGTTGGGCAGGGACCATCCTGCTGCGCTCCCGGTGAACCATGATCGGTGGTACAGAGTCGGTGCAAAGCTTCCCATGGAAGAGGTGGAGAGGACACTGTCACCGCGGTTTCTAGGCTTCGTTCCGATCCTGTGTGGTCCGAACGGAACATTCAACTTGACCCCTATACGTTATGGGAAGACAATGAGCATGGGCTATTATGCTAGAGCACAAAGCGATGAGGAGATTGGAAAGCTCCCCAATCCAGCAGATTTTGCCAGCTATGATCCGGACTGCGTGAAAATGGCTGAAGTAGGTCTTGACGGTCTCCGGAACCAGTGTGGTTTACTGATCTGCATCCTCAGTTGATCCTCAAAGCGTATGAACCGGACGAGCTTTGGGCGATGCATGACCACGATGCTGCACCTTACTTCAACAAAGGTAGAGTTGTCATGATGGGAGACGCGGCCCATGCGACATTCCCTTTCATTGGCAATGGAGCAGCTCAGGCCATTGAAGATGGAGCCGTGCTTCACGCACTCTTTGCACATGTCAAGGACAAGTCGGAGATCCCAGTCGTCTTCGCTGCTTTCGACGAGGTCAGGCGGCCTCGAGCCTCGCGAGTGGTAGAAATGGCAAGGAAGGCCGGGTTGATGTACACATATGACTTTGGAGGGTTCTGGGAGGACAGTGAAGGCATTGAGGCGCTCCAGGATCGTTGGAAGAAGATTGCGTCTTTCACCAACGATGTGGATCTGGAGACACAGAACCAGATGGCGATCTCTGTCTTTCAACGCAAGACCAGGCAGCGGGTGAATGGCACACAGTGATATGAGCGGCGTAGTAGCTGTAGATCGCGGTAACATGATGACAAATACAAGTCTGTGAAAAGAATAAAGGAGATCAACTCTAGCCTCCCTATTTCTTACCCAAGGTCAAGCCTAAAGCCTTGGCCTTAGGGACATATAACTGCCTGTAGCACCCAATGGATTCAGCCCTGCAAGGCCTTCGCTCCCTCCTTTCAGCAGCTTCTTCAACCTAACACCTCTAGCCCCATCTCTTCTCGATACCTGACAAATTGCCGCAGAAGCATGTCTATCTCTAAGGGACAAAACACAAATGCACCACCGCTTGGATTCATTTCGGTGGATGTCGATATCGAGCGACCGGTAGGGGATCCTTTCAACGAAGCGACGTGGCCCTTCCCCCTCCTCAAAGAATTGGCAGAAGGCTCGCAACTGAACAATATCGTCACGAGTGAAACATATCCTGAAGAATTTCTAGCTGGCATAGTCTCGGCTGGGGAGAAGCTCCAACAAAAGGGCTGCGTTGGCATCATCACCGACTGTGGGTTTTTGGCTGGCGCGCAGAGAGAACTTGCGATGCGCCTTTCTATCCCCATTGCAGCGTCGGCACTGGCCCAAATCCCGTCGATCCAAGCTTTTCTGCGCCCTGGCCAAACCGTCGGCGCGCTGACCTATGACGATTCCAAGTTGGGTGTCCGCCAGTTGCTGCAGGTAGGAGTCCACGATCCAGACGCCGTCTACATCGCCGCCCCTCCAGAGGATGGCTGGCTTCGGGGTCATATACGAGACGGTGTACCGTATGACCATGCCAAAATTGAAACAGAATTGGTTGAATCTGCCTTGGGCCTGTTGAGGAGACATCCAGATATTGGGGCGATCCTGCTGGAATGCACTCAAATGCCGCCATTTGCCGATGCTATTCGCAAGGCCACAAACCTCCCGGTGTATGATGTTTACACACTTGGGACGTGGTTTTATTCGGCTTTGACCAGCCAGCGACCGCAACATTGGGGACCTATTTGAGGCCCCGCGCCGGGCCCGCGAAGGAAGCGACTTCTAAGGCACGTAGCCATGCAAGAGCCAGGCTTGTTGAGGCATTCAGGTACTATAATGACAGCAATCGAGGTCAGGTAGTAAGTGAGGACCAGGGCTGCGAGACCAAATACCCATTTTCGGCTACCTTTGCCTTACACCCCATACCATGCCTGCCTAACATTTCCATTTCCTCGATTGCGCTGCCTTCTCTATCCTTTTCGTCGACGTCCCTCTTGCTCTCTACGCCCCTATCTCACAATCCCAGACTCACGAAGACGATACTAATCTCTCAATAGGGTGGGACCTCTCGACTCATCGATGCCGGCATCTCGAGAGTTCTACCTCATGACAAAGACCACGAGTGTCGACCACGCTATGTCGGAACTCCTAGCATTCAGCTCCAACTACTTCACGTTAGACGTCTGCTTTGAGAACTCTATCGAAAGACCCAAGAATCTGCGCCGTCGCAAACCCGATCTTGTCTCATCCAGATCTGCATCAATTCCTGGATCACTGCCACGAGCAATGAGCCCGCAAAGCTGCCATGCAAGATGAAGGTGTAATTTGTAGCTGCAAACTGAGCCAGGAGCTTCCTTATCGGTTCTTCCCATCTCTGTCGGAAGGGACAGCGCCATAGATAAATCTAGTAACCTCTGTGAGCTCCTCTTCCGTATCTAACTGAGCAGTCCGGTTTCGTGAGATTGACTATTATTCGCTGGAGTTCCCGTTCTTCTGCTTCTAGAAGATCAGGGTCAGGCGGTGCAGATCTGTGAGGGGCCTTCGTCACCAATACCCTCTCTGGGCTAGAATCCGACAAAAGTTGTTGGTGTGACGAAGTGGTAGAGTAGAAAATGTGGGCGGTGATGGTCTTTTGCGGAGGTTGAATTGGTGGGGAAAACTGGCCTCGGCGACAATCAGCGACACGTCAATCAGATCCATCTCCTTCAAGCTGCGCTCGACACCCTTTTGCTCCTGCTGGTATATCAATCTCTTCTATTCTTAACAAAGCAAGCAATAGACCAATATTTCCCCTAGAACCGTCAAACTCCCCCGTCGTCCAGTCGAGGACTCCGCCTCATCCCTTAGTGTCTTCCCCTGCGTCGTGTTGTCAGATTGTGCAGGCATGGCTGCGCCGCCGGAGATCACTTGCACCAATCTATCGGGCAAGTTCGTGATGGTGAGTGTCTCTGCTTTCGACTTTTCTTGGTTGTTCTGACTGGGTACGAGAACAAAACTCTTTCGGACGACATCGACTCAATGCTCGCCCTCCAAGGCCTGAGCTGGCTCACTCGAACCGCAATCAGCCTGGCTACGGTCGTCGTACGTTGAGGACAGCGTGACAATAACTGTATGGGGCTGACCTTGTGCAGCTCACCGTCAAAGAATACAAACAAGATGATATCTACCACATTGACATCACATCTGTGGCTTCGGGCCTCACAACGACGCAAGAAAACCGTACGCTAGACTGGCAAGAGCGAGACCACCAGGATCGCATCTTCGGGAACTGCCGGGGCAAGTCAAGACTCTGGAAGACAGGCGACTACAAAATGGAAGGCCCTGGTACAGAAGAAGATGCGGTGTTCTTGCAGGCTCACAAACTCAAGGACGGTCAGACGGATTCCAAGTTTTTGGACGACGAACATGTTCAAAGCTGGGTGAAGAACATGGATGCGGCCGGCTGGCAGGCTGAGCAGAACTGGGGATTTGAAGACATCGACGGTGAACGGCGATACACTCGGCGAGTCCTGGTCTGGAAAGGCGGCGAGTTTCGACGAGCCCGCCTCGTGTATGACTACAAAGGACAGGCGGAGAAGAAAGACGAAGACGACGACAATGACTTGGCATATGGCGAGGAATGAGCAATGACACCCATGGTACAGAGAGAACAGTGATACCCAGCAAGCATGGAAACAATGTGCATATACTTTCAATGCACACGGGAATGGATGGTATGGCCGTAAGACTGACATCTCGCCGAAGAACCGGCGCTCCATTGACTTCCGAGATTCGCAACATTTGCTCAGAGCATTCAACTACACAAAAGTATCGTCCAGATATACCTCCCGTCCGCGTATCTCGCGCGTGTGTGGGCACCCGCTCCGCATTCATTTGGAAGAAATTGCGCAACCCTCTGACGTCAAATGGCCCGGCAGGACAAACTCTTTTCCGACCCTTCGTGAGCCATTTTGCACTGGGCGCCAAGGCCGGATAGTCAATGCGGCAGCTGTCGCGAGGCGCTAGTCGATTTTCGTTCATTATACGCGCTGACTGAGGCGGTGCTGCCCTCAGCTGGCAAATCCTCCTCTCTGCTTTTGGGGTTTCCACTTGGGCAATTGTCCCGCCTAAAATGCCTCACGAAGCCCAAGACCCCGGCTGACCGTAAAAACGGCGTTTGCGAGGCTCTGTCTATGTCATTGCACCAAAAACAATATGGGACGGATACGTCTATATAACGGTAAGCCGCCCCCATGAATTGGACATGGCTCGAATCCAGGTCAGACCAGAAGTCCGAATCAGCTCGTCAAATAAGTGATTGAGAATCGAATACTTTTCTCCGTCAGCATTCGCCAAAACAACCCAAGACAAATAAGACCAAGTTCGATATAACACTCTGAACGCGTTCGAGCAGTCAACACCCTTCAATACGACAGCTCTCCACATCTATCTATAGACAAAATGGCATTTCTCCGCCACAGCCACGAAAACGAAGAGGAGCCAATCGGCCGTCGGCGCAGCAGCTCTCTCCGCGATCTCCAAGCTCGAGCATATGCCAAATGGGTTGTAGCCGGCACGGTTAAGAAGAGCAGCCGGCCCAGCGGCTTTGAGGCCGAAAGGACTCGACGACACTTTTGGCAGGAAGAGGCTGCCCGGTTTGGAATCGTCATGAGGACATAAAACGCCAACGTTGGAGTTCTGGGGATATTTGCCATTCGGAGGCTTGGTGTTCCACGTCGCACTGTATCAACGTGGAGCTGGAGGCGTTTCGGATTGTTCGACTTTGGGAAGCTGAGACCCCGATAGTGGCATGTCTTGCTACGGTCTACAGGACACTTGTACAGCACAAAATAAGACACAGCTCTTGTTCATCAATTGCCTTTTTCGGCGTCTTCACGTTCCTAATGCCTCATGCCGATTCTGCGCAGGAGTTCTTTGCGAAACTCCGCGGCGCCCACTTTCATTCGGTCGGCCGCGCCTCGGTTCTCAACGAGCCTGCGTGTCAAGTACTGCATGCATTCCTGAATGCTGCCCCAGGTCAGACACTTGTATACTTTGGGAACATAAGCGTTGCCCAGAGGTAGACTACTACCCCTTTTGATGTTGTCTGCCATCTGGAGGAGCTCGCATCCGATATCGTCGGCCATCCCCTGCAACTGCCCGAACTCCGGGATGACCTTCAACTTCGATTCAGCCGCCAAGTCGGAAGCGAGACGAGCTGCCCCCCGGATGGTGTTGGCATTGTGACCTGCCAGCAACAGGTCGAGTTCGACCGACTCTTGGTTGGCCATGGCGGGAAACTTCCCGCAGAGGAGGTCCTCGACGATCCCATTGTACGATGCGTCCGTGTCGGCCTTGGTATCGTGGATCGCCTCTCTGTTATCATTGTTGATGTAAGCGCCGCGGACGAGCTTGATGCCCAATCGCCAGCCTTGCTGCTGGGCAAGTTGGAGCTGGGCTTGTACTTTGTCACGAGAGGCCTTGAGGTAGGCTTGGATAGTGTTGTATATCAAGGCTTGGCTGCCGGGCCGATTATGCCGTCGCATGAGTTCGAAGGTCCATTGATCGATAGCAGTCTGCAAGGCTTGCTGCTCCGCGTCGATCCATATACGGCATCCCTTGGCAGCAGCACGGTGGCAGATCTTCTCCATGGCTTCGACAAACTTGACTGGAGCCTTTTCACCATTCATCAGAGCTTTCGTGATTTGTGTCCCTGCGCCGGTGTACCTGGAGGCGGTTGGCATTCCCTGGGTTAGACGCCAGAATATCTTCACGTAGACTTACTTGATGCCCAGCCAGTCCCCCTCTCCAATCATATCCAGAGTCGCAAGGTTGCCCTCCGTCCACTGGTCGATTTCCTGGTCCATTGCCACCACTTGTTTGTCATCGTGGCCGACGAATCTGTCGCCCTCCACTTGGACTTCTCGACCGTAGCACAACACAACGCCAGAGAATCCCAGCCGTCTGATCTCGGAGGACGTTTTTCCAATTTCTGCCCGATTCCGACCGGCGCAGAACTGCTTGTAAACCAGAGGATGGACAACCGCGCGGAGAAATGGGTTCCGGTCCGGATTCAGCCATGCCGATTGCGAATGAGCAATTCTCTGGAACAAAGCAAAGCCAGGTCTGAAGAGCAATGGGGAGGTGAAAAAGGCACTGAGCAGCAGAGTGCGAAGGATACTGGAGGTCGAGAGACGCGCCAGAGGCGGCGCCGCAGGGGCAACCGGATTCGCCGGACCGGCAACAGATGGTTCCTTCACTGCTCCAGGGCTGATGACTGTTTGGGTGTGTGTCGAGGAATGAGACTTTCTTTGATGACAAGCAACACGCAGGGGCTGTGGAAGGCTTACTCGAACCCGGAGAGTCTTTGCGAAAAGAGACGCCATGCCAGGAAAAGCTCCAATGAGTTTTCCCTGCCACCTAATCGCTTTTGGGGTTGCTTTATAGCAATGAACGGGCAAGGTTCTCGGCTTGAGGACCGGTAGGTTCGACGATGCAAGAATCCAACCATGTCCAGGCGGGGTACTTTGTCCACTGACGATGCCCGCCGATGCTGTTCACATGCCACGTTAGGGAATGTAGTACGTGCGCTACTCTGGCATTTGTCCCGGGCACTGGAGGATTAACACCCAGCACAAGTGTCTCCCGCTGCAGGTTCGGAATCCCTGTAGCAAATAGGGTTCAGCTGACAATAGATGAAGGTGGTAGCCGTGAAGCCCAATGCCATGAGTCTCTCTAGTGCAACATGGAGACATATTGGCCGGAGTATGACGTTCTGGACCAGGAAAGGAATGCTGCTTCTGGAAGGCAGGGCAGCTGATTTCCCCACCACTGTTCGTCTTCAACACATCGGATCAACAAGTCCAAAGGCGTTCTGCACCTTCATGGGACTAATTCTCCGTCCTCGGTACATCTGATCCACTTTGCCGAGATACCGGAAACTCCAACTTCTACGGGAGGCTATCCGTAGCGCCCTCATCGTGATATCGACTCCCGGTGCCGTCTTCGGGACTCCATCCACTGCCCCAGCTTATCTTCCCATCTCTGCATGTAGAGGATTCCGTGATATTGCGAAGTTGAGAGGTCGAGGACCTCATAGATTTTCCGGTGGTAATGGGTGGAATGCAGTGTACGAGGTAGTGTATGATGTGCGCGGCATCAATGCATTTCTACGTGGATACAACCGTTTCGATACTTTCATGGTCTAGACTACAGGCGCGCCTTGACCATTCTTTCGTGCTCAGAGAAGATGTCTTTGACCTCTCCAGTCGTTCCAACCCTCCAACTCACCTCGTCTCCCCACTGTTTCCCCCCTTTCCCTTGACTTTCTTTCCATTGCCACCTCGACAAGACCTGCCTTCCATCCTCCAAGAGCTTCACGGCCCATTGGCCGACGATCGGCATCATCTTGAATCCGTGGCCCGAGTCCCCAGACATCACGACCAGAGAATCTCCAGCGCCTGGCACATAATCAATGCAGTACTCCGAGTCTGACGTGTCCGCAAACCAGCACATCTTTTTGTCCACAAAAGGGCGGTCTGCAAGCCAGGGCAACGTCTCTGTTAATAGTCTCCTCAGCTTCTGTTCATCCGACAACGGGATGTAGTCCTTCGGCGACTGCAGCAAGTCTGTGGGTGGTAGTGATACCCCAGTGCCCTTGTCCGAATTGATATATCCAGCGCCAAGGGGACACAGCTTGAGGAGCTTGGTGGTCGGGTCGGGCTCGAAAAAGAATCCTAGGTCTCGAACGTTGAGGACGGGGATTCCCCGGAGGAAGTCGCACTCTCGTTCTGAGAGTTGGACGTGGGCCACCGACCAGCATTTGGCGACGACAAAAGAGCCCAGGCTTGGGAGAAGGGTGGCCGCCCAGGCTCCTAGGCAAACGATGGTGCGCCGGACATGATGGATCTGTCCGGTCGCCACCTGGAATCCTGTGCAACGCCTCTCACCTGAACTTTCGTTGTCGTCGTATAGAAGTCTCACGGCCCTCCCTTTTTCGGATCCTAGTACGAATTTGACTCCTTTGCCGACGAGATGCCGGTGGACATCTGTCATGGCGTTGGATGAATGCGCATACCCTGCAAGACGATTGAAGTATCCCTGAAAGCCGCACATAGGCCCGGAGAATTGCCAGTACACCTTCTTGAAATCTTCGGGCTCATTAAGCATGGTAATACCGGGAGCAAAAACAGGGTGGTCCTTCACCGACAGAAGGGCATCCTGCAGATGTTTGACCGCCTTCTTGGGCGCTGCGCCTGAAGTTGCGAGAACATAGCCAACTTGGTGGAAATTCGATCCCCAGAAGGGGGTTTTCCATTGTCGTATGGCCTCCTGGACTCATGATTAGGCATCATCTCTTATGGCAGTGTTGCAAAGGCTGCTTCTCGTTCTCAAATGGTTACTTACAAGTGCCAGTTTGGTGTAGAAGTTGTCTTCATACTCGGCTCGGACGATCTTGTTCAAATCGTAAGCACTAGAAAATGGCGAAGGTATCTCTGAGGCTTGATCGAAGACTGTTATGTCGGTGTATCCCGCATTTGAGAGATGCAAGGCTGTCGACAGGCCCCAGGCCCCTGCTCCAAGGATGGCGACTGCCTCATTCTTGTTGATAGCCATCTTTTATTCAGAGGACAATTCCTGGTAAAGTTTTGCTTTATGTCTTCAACTTCTCCTAAATAGTAGTGACTGTTATTTCAGAAAAATCCACATTTGCTTGTTCCGCATCCCCGTTGGCTATGAGGTGCAGAAATCAACCATCGTCGGGACGTTCGTGGGCGATACGAGGCTTCTGCTCTTCGGATCGGAAGCCTTCCCGACTGTAGTCCTTTCCAGCTACGGTATGTGCCGATCCAGGGATGTCGGCTTTCTCAGCCCTTACTCGATGTTTACTTTCCTTCTTTTGACTTGGTCTTGAATTTGGAGTCCGAATGGCGGGCGTTCTTCCAATGGACATAAACTGTTTCCCAGTGCAGGGCTTGGCCACTTTGGCCATCGGCCAACAAGCATTGCTTCAATGAAGGTCCTAAGTCTTCAAACGTGCTGTCAGGAGAAATAGAAAGATTCACTCTCTGAACCAAGGACAAATCTAGTACTGTTCTCACTCTCCCAGATAACGAGGTTCCAGCTGCACCTACGACATCGCTACAATCACGAACTAAAATGACGGCATCAACACCGACTACGAGAATCGGAAACACTTCCACCAACACAATAGCTGGCGCCGCTGGAGGTGTTGTCTCGGTTCTTCTCGGTGAGCTGCTTCCTCCAAATATCAACACTTGCTGATCTTACAAAATAGGTCAGCCTTTCGGTGAGAAATGACCATCTGCGAATTGCAGCTTGCTGAATCGCCAATGGGGATGCTCATACTCCTATCACTAAGCAGATCTGATAAAAGTGAAACTGCAGACTCATGGTTCGGGTAACTTCATTCAGGTAGTCTCCGACATCTTCAAGAATGAAGGACCGTTGGCGTTCTACAAGGTAAGCAGTTTGGGATATTGCGTTTCGGAAGCAGCATCACTGACAAACTCGAAGGGGGCTTTGCTTCCTTTTCTAGGGGTGGGAGCTGCAGTAAGCATTCAGTTTTCCGTCTTTCACAGCGCAACACAGGCTCTCTCCGCTCTGAGATCGCGGGAACCTCGAGAAGACAAACAGCAGCTGTCAATACTAGACCTATATCTGGCTGGCGGGGTGGCGGGCATTGCAAACAGTATAGTATCAGGCCCGGTCGAACACATTAGAATTAGACTTCAGACGCAGGCACATGGCACATCTCGCCTCTACGCCGGCCCATGGGACTGCATACGGCAGATAACAGCCACTGCCGGCGTGAAGGGGTTATTTCGAGGGCAAAACACAGCCGTTCTGCGCGAGTTTCAAGCGTATGGTCTCTACTTCGCGACCTTCGAAGCTTGCGTGAGGATGATCGCCGCAGCCAAAGAGAGAAAGCGGAGCGAATTGTCGACCTGGACTGTTGCGTCGTGTGGTGCTTTGTCTGGTGTAGCTTTCTGGGTCGGAAGCTATCCGCTTGATACGGTGAAGACCAAGCTACAGAGCGACGGGTTCGGCCAACATCGACGATACAAGAACGCCTGGGGAGCCACAATGGAGACGTGGAAGAGTGGAGGATTCAAAGCATTCTTCCGCGGTCTTGGCCCTACTTTATTGAGAACGATGCTTTCTTCAGCTGGGACGTTCGCCATGTAAGTTCGCTTTCTGCGCTGTTCTGGGGCAATGCTAACTGTTCGCCCAGGGTTGAAAATGTTAGGAGAATGCTTGCATAGGGATTGTAAAGACAGGCAGAATGACTTGGTATCCACTTTTGGCTCCCGGCGCAAAGGTCAATGGCATACCTAGAATGAACATGGTTGTTTTGGGCCTAAATTCTTTCAAGGGATAAAACTCTGTTGTACGCGGACACCTTCTACAATAGTTGAGTAGTGGGCTTTCTTTCGATCTGATGTTGCACACCTTTTCTTACTGTCTTGGCTCATGTATCAAGCAGCGTGCCACAGAAAACTCCACGTCTTTCGAGGCGTGCCGCGTGATTTCGGGGTGATTTCAAACACCAAAAGACGCGCGTAAACGTGAATGATTTGGCTACAACGTGTTCATCGTAGTCCAATAATTGACGTCTTCCCAAATAGAAGACAGCCCCAGAACGCCCTCAGGGTCAAACATGAACGACTCGTCAAGTTCTATGGACGCCGCCCCGGTGGCCGTCGGCTCATTCCCCCAAGTGGTGGAGATGGCCTCGTTAGCCGACACAAGACCAATGGGTACGGGGGGCTCAATGGCGTTCTGGGACGGCTGAGATGGCGGCCAGAATGCCAATCGCGGCCACTTCTGCTCGAGGACATGCCGGGCGGCACGGATGGGCCTTCGCAGCTGTATGAGCATACCACGCGCGAAGGCGAAGCCGACGGACACTTCCTCCACGATTCTGTGAGAGCGGTTCAACAGGTCGACCGCGGGTCGAACAGAGCCTTCCTCGCTGTTGTGCTGCAACACGACGCAGATCATGTGCACGATCACGCTGGTGAGGTGGAGGGCATAGGATTGTCGCTGATTCGGGAGGAAGATGCCCGCCGAGTACGCCGTTTCCACGGCGGCTACCACCTCGGCCGCGATGCCGATGCAGAGCTGTACATTGCCACTTCCACAGCGCAGGCTCATCATCTCCTCATGCCTGAGCAGGAGGCGCAACGCACGGGCTCGTAGATACAGGACGAAGCTTTGTTGTCGGATGAAGGATGCCACTGTGTCCCGGCCTTGCTCCCTAGCACCGCCGGCCCAGCGTAAGGGCTCGGGGGTTCTCTGCGCCATGTTCATGATTTTGCTGTCGGTTGAGGATATGAATGCCTGGCTGACGGGTTTCTCTGCCCGCACGCCGAACATGACGTCCCAGACAGCAGAAGCGAGCTTGGACCATTGAATGACCTCGATCATGTAGGGTACGGGAGAGACCTTGGGGCTCGGCGCCAGCCGCGGGCAGTTGGGATATAGCATCCGGTCGTCCACGCACATGGGGTATTCCACCTTGAAGTCCGACTTGTGCAGGAGATGGGGGAGGCCCGAATTCTGGGCGATGTTGTGATTCATGCAATACGTGGACCAGAAGATGCGCTGGCGGTACGTCCGCTCAAAGTAGCTGCACTTGTCGCCCCAGCTGGGTTCGCTGTGGAGGCCCAGCTGGAAGCACAATCGAATAGCAGTGCCGGTTGCGTCGTAGGCCGCATTGAGCTTCGAGATGTGTTGACAGTAGATAGCCTTGATCAAAAACACCTGGATGGTCGTCATGGTCGGCCGCTCTAACCACGAACGATGTCCACGCAACAGCTGCTCCCCTCGGTCGAACTCTTGCCAGCCCGGAAGTGGGCTGCCCTCCGCGCTAACGTCATGCAGGATCCGGACGACAGCAATCATAAAATTGAGTAGGGCTGCGAAGTGGATGACCGCCTCCTGACTCATGCAGCTGGTGTCGTTGGCCAGGAAAGACGCCAGCTGGACTCGCATGTGGAATTCGTTGATGCACGGATAGAACGGGTTGATCGATTGGAAGTAGAGTTCGAGCCAGTGCAGGATGTTGTCGGCGTCCCCGAGTCTCGTTTGCTGTATAATCTGCTCAATCATGTCTCTCGAATTACCGATGTAGTCGCTATCCAGGGCGGCACCAGGGCCCACCTGCCTACCAGCAAGAGAAGTACCTCCTGAGGGGACGATTTCTCCTAGCTCTTGGGTTACCGACTGGTCCAGCTGATCGATCTGGCGACTGTACGCCGTGTCGCTCATGAAAGCGGTGTTTCGCTCAAAGGTATTGCTGGTGGTGGGTGCCGAGCTGACGACGGACAGGCTCGTTGGACTCTCCACCACCACAGGCAGGGTTTGGGTGTTTCGGCGATCACTCTCTTCCGGCCTATGGAGTGTTGCGAGCTCCTTGGCGAGGGCTTCGCAGCGTTGCTCGAGCGTTCGAGTGCGGGCTTCAAGGCCTCCGTCGACATTCTCTAGGGACGATTCTTGTATTGACGAGTGCTTCTGAGGATATCGGGCATCTAGCATGGGCAATGCCTCCGACGGCCGAGAGGGAGCTGTGCTCTGCGCTGGCGTACGTGATTTCGCGGACCGCAATGTTGAATAGACGCATTCGGTGCCAATATAGCGACAGGTCATACAAACTCGTTCGCCGGTACATTTCCTCTTGCGCCGTTGACATTCCATGCAAGCGTGCGAGGTGTATCGTTTGCGGACCCGAACACGGTCGCGGGTTCCAAGAGTCTCGTCCAGGGTGCCGTTGGCCGGGGGTGATGTTCCGGGCATCATCTCTATCTTTATCTCTGAAACCCCGCTGTTCTGCTATGATCTATAGACGATGGACAATGAGTGGGTTTGTGTTCTTTTCGAATAATGCGAGGGAGGTTCGGGGCCTGAGGTTGAGACAAAGTCATGAGTAGTAACGGGATGTTGCGCTTGTCGAGAACAAGGTAGTGAGCTATCGGTCGTGGCAGTGATTCCTGGACCCTGCTCGCGGTATAGGTAGTCACGTTACTTTCTGTCCAAGTAGCGGAGAAACCTTTGTACAAGACCACGGCCCAATCGTTGGCGGCCGTCACAGGATGACTGCTGGTTGACTGGGGAGGCGGATGGCTCCCCCAGATTCGCAATGTGGGGAATGTTAATGGATGCCCTTGGCGCATAGGACTCCGGGGGAAGCAAGAGGGAACCGGCCGGCGGAAGTGGCGGAAGTGGCGGAAGCGGCAGAATTGGGCTTCCGGACGTGGCCTGGGGAGGCTTCCCCGCAAATTGCAGCCTGATCAGGTAGGTGGCACTTGTCGCAGCACAACAGTTCCCAGTTAGGAGCATGCCCCATATCGATGAAAATCCAGCCAAAGCCTGCGCGGGCGAGAATCTGAGCACAGAGAGTGCTCCCTATATTGATCTTTGATTCATTCCCCATTTCCGCTCTTCCACAATTCCACATTTCCACAACAACGAGCGCACCGCTCGAGGACCGCTGCTAGTAGAGTTTTATCCATCTCATATTCCCCAGCGTTGGCAACGGAGATATGAGTTTCTCAACAACAACCAGTCTTTGCTCAAAGGTTTCCCTATATAATCCAGGCCAAGAGGTGCACCATGAGATCAACGTAACGTCAAGCATTGACCCTACAAAAGGAGTCTCTCAGAGTTTGGGATAAGGCAGCAATAATGGACTCCAATGCATTCAAAGTTTACAGTGTGTTCCTGGGACTGTTAAGTCACATTGTCTGCAACCGATACGAGCCATCCATCATAGGATTCATCGCCTCTTTGCTACCCTTTCAAGCGGCGTTCTATTACTATGCATCGCAGCATCTTAGGTCTGGCTCGTTGGTATCGCTTTTGATGCAATGCCATATCCTATTCTTCGTCTCGCTTGGCAGCAGTATGGCCGCGTACCGGTTATTATTTCACCCTCTACGCCGATTCCCAGGACCTCTCTTGGGGAAGCTGACCAAGTTTGCAACCTCATATCATGCTGTGCGTGGAGACCAGCATCTGTGGATAGAGAATCTGCACCGGAAGTACGGCGACACCGTCCGATTTGGTCCTAATGAGCTTTCTTTCATCAATCCCGACGATTTGCCCTACATCCAAGGCAGCAAGTCGGCACGGGTACCGAGAGGTCCGTGGTACGATGGGAGCCCGGATCGCATGGAGGACTCTCTTTCCATGGTCCGCACCCGAAATTTCGAGGTTCACAGATATAAACGCCGCATATGGGAGCAAGCATTCACATTGCCTGCGTTGACGTCCTACGAGCCCAAGGTTCTCGAAATGGTTGAGCTAGCGGTCAAGGTCTGCGTTGAGAAGGATGGCCAAGTCATTGATGTTAAACCGATAATTCAGTCATTTACCTTCGACACAATGGGTAAAGTTGGATTCAGTCGCGATTACGGTATGGTGGACGGTACTAACGTCCACGCCGGGCGGGAGATGAGATCGCTGGCCGAGCACATGCGTATGCTGTTCATGACGCGGCCGACGCCATGGCTCAAACACCTCTACAGGGCTCTACCTCTTGACGCCAAAGGTAAAAATGGTTCGAAGCAGTTCAAGGACACAACGTTGAGACGCTTTGAGGAGCGCTACCAGGAGGGCACCACGAACGGCGTCATCGATATCATGCACTATCTCATGCAGCCTGAGCCCAAATCGGGCAAATCGATGACCAAACTGGAACTCTCGGACGAGGCGGTGAGCCTCGTGATCGCTGGGAGCGACACTACTAGCGTGTGCTTAACGTACGCCTTTTACTACCTCCTCACAAATCGCGAAGCGTATTCAAAGCTGCAGAAAGAGGTAGACTCGCTCTGGGACGGAGTTGGCCTACTTCAATCGAAGAGTTTAGTGCCTTCCCGTGCACCATTTATCGATGGAGTTATAAACGAGGCTCTTCGTCTGGCGGAGCCCGATCCAAATGGAAATCAGCGGTCGACCCCACCAGGAGGCTTTATGGTTAATGGGGAGTATATCCCTGAAGGTACGCAGATGAGTGTCCACAAATGGTCGATACACCGATCCGAGAAGCACTTCACAAGGGGTGACGAGTTCATTCCCGAGAGGTGGATTTCTGACGAGGAGAGAGCACGTCTCGGTCTGACGAATCACAATGTTAAAGCGTTCATTCCCTTTGGTGCCGGCCAGTACGGTTGCGTGGGGCGGCCACTCGCTTTGAACGAGCTGCGTATGTTCCTGGTCGGATTTTTCAGACACGTCGATATTTCGCCCTGTCCCGGCCATGATCTCTCGCAATTTACTCATCAGGCGGCCGCATACATGACTTTTGTCACGCCTCCCCTACCTGTGGTGATCAGGAGACGCAAAGTCGGATACCAAATGGGTCAGGAGATAGAAAATTGAGACCACCGCCCTCCACTGGCAACTATCGCTATCACACCTACTTAGACTCAATTATATGAAAGGATTCTATAAATACGCCCCCTGCTCTTTTCGATTCACGTTTCATAATGATTTGCAATGATACCTGTTGTTCGAACACGGCACAACATTCATGGGTTTCGTTGGCCTTTACTTCAAAAAGCAAGGCTACGTGTTAAAGTCCTCCGGCATAGCTGATCGGCATCTCTTTAGGAAGTAATTGTGTCACTGCGGCATTGCCTCTGCCGCAGGCGCGTGTCACACTATTTGAATTGAATCCTCTCCTATAGATAGACAATCGACCAAGTTGTTCCACAATCGGCATCTCCCAAAGCGATGGCGTTGGAAAATCTCCTTATAGCCCGTTTCGTCCTCCATTGACGGAAAGGGCGATGCCGTTGACAAATGCCGATCGACCACTGCAAAGCCACACTAAGGCCTCGGCCAGCTCTTCAGGCTTTCCCGCTCTTCTGAGACCCGTCGATTGTATGGCTGCCTCGTACAAGTGCGACCTCGACATATTTGCTGTCAGAGGGGTGAGGACCGCTCTTTACCAGCAAGTCAGTATGCGCCAAATGGGTTGTATCTACCACCTTACCCTGGACAAACGCAGTTGACTCGAATACCCTGGGGGCCATACCTCATCGCGTCCGATTTGGACAAACCGATGACCGCGTGCTTGAATGCCGCATATGCGGGAAGGTCGGGATAGGCCATTAGTCCGGCTAAGGAGGCGACATTGACAATGGTTCCCTTTACCGGAATATCAGATTCTGCAGAGGTGAGTGAGTCTTGCTTCAGCATCGCCTGTAGCTCGGCTCGCTCGCAAAAATAGACGCCCCGCAGATTGATTTGATACTGTAGCTCGAAATCGGCCGTCGTGGACTCTGCTGTCTCGCCGGCCAAGGTAATGCCAGCAACGTTGCAACAGTAGTCAATTCTGCCGAACTCGGACACCGCGTGGGCCACCAACTCCTGCACCGACCGCTCATCACGCACGTCGGTCTGCACGACGAGCGCGGAGACGCTTTGGTACCGCTGACGGATCATAGTCTGAGTCTCATGCAGCCCGTCGAGATTCTTATCTGTCAGAACTATTCGTTGGCACCCACGAGCCGCAAATAATATCGCCGTCGCCCGTCCGATGCCAGACGCTGCTCCTGTGACGAAAGCCACACCAGGATACTCCATTTTAACTTGCCCCAGTGAGGGACGGAAGCGCGCAAGAACGGAGACAGTAAGCTTTGATACTGTATCCGTGGTCCGGGATCAGTAGAACTCGACGGCAGACGACGAAAGCAAACCGTTTTGTATGGACGGAGATGGTCCCATTAGCAACGAGAATACTTAGTTATAGATGAGCGATGTTTTGGGCACGACAGGAGATCGACAACCCAGCCGTCAACGTAGGATCATAGACATTCCGCTTCTTGCAGCTGTTCCGTGGAAGAGCACCAGGACGCGGAACGAGGCATGCGGTGGCATTAGCCTGGCGGTCGTTGTTACCAAGAATTACCTGTGAAGATTACACTGATCGACGGTATTTAACCTTGAACAGACACCCTGCTCCGCATTGGGCCAAAGCGCTCAGGTGTTGGCCCGACGTGAAAGAAAATTTCATCTCTATCGGAAGAACTGTTATGATACAGAGCTTTGATACTGCTGTTCAAGAGCCTCGCGGAAAATATTTCGGAGCTTTTATAAGCAGAGATAATATCCCAGCGCGAAAACCTCGAGTATATAAACCGAACTTCAGGCGTAACTCTCACAACACGACTCAAGGTGTTTCATGAGACCAAATAACTGCCTGTAAATCACGAGCAGAACACTACAGTATCGGCGTCTATTTCAAAAGGCGATTTTGACACCAACCAGCAATTTGCCAAAGTGTGGGTCATAGATACCTCGTCACCCGAACCCCAGAACCAGGACGCATGCTTTGAGCCTCCATCGATAGGTTGCAGCTCGTCCAATTTTGGGAGATTGTCAGAGTCTGGGTCAAAAAGCGGTGTCATGGTGAACTAGAACTGCCTTGCTCCCCCGTCGAGCGTGAGCGATCTGTACCCCCTGGATTTCTCCAACTAAGGAGCATAGATTGTGCACTGACTGGTCTTATTGCTCTGTGTAGCCTGTAGTCGTATACATGTAGGACCTAGCAGTCTGGCCTCCAGGTCACGAAAAGAAACACTTGTCGGCTGATTTCAATGTGAGCGGGTATTTTCATGCGCTGCCGACATTTCTAGGGATGCCGCGGGCGGAATAGGTGGCGGAAGTATGCCGACGACTCGCTTTCGGAACTGACCAAACCAAAGTCAGCCGGAAATACCAATCCATAACTGAATATGGGGCTGGAGCCTGAAGGATCTCTGTCGACGTCTGACTTGGTCAATAAGCAACAACGAGGCCGGAGCGGTGAAAAGGTGGCGAGCAGAATCATTCAGACGGCGAATGACACGTCTCTAGACGCCTCGAGGCTCGACTCTCACTGGGAAGGTGAATGGCTACTGGCCTTTCGCTGCAAACCCCAAAGAGCCTTCTTCTTTCCCTTGGTGGACTTGCTACTATTCCCCGGCTGTCGTCGGAATTGGCGGCACGTGGAAGCCGACACTTGGGTCTCTAAAATGTGAAGCGTATTTGCAAATCACAATCTGAAGGAGCAGAGTGAGTGATCGGTATTCTTTGGTTGATGATTCAAAGACAATGGCTAATCCTCCCATGACTGCAAAGGTTCGATTGACGGCTGGCTTCACGCCTTGCTTTCTACCTGCCGTGACGGTGACCTGATCTGACTTGTTCTCCCTTACAGCGTCGCAACCATGAGCCGAACCACGTTATCAATCACATCGCGGTGGTGGTCCCTGACGTCGAGGCCGCGACCGAGTTTTACACGAGCGTTCTTGGGTTTCGCAAGCTCGCACAAAATCTTCGAGTAGTCGACCGCTCCAAAACACCCGACGCCCAAATATTCAAGATCTACGGCGATCGATTTAATGTTGTCAAAATAGCAATGCTGACCACGGGTAACGGAGTCGGCTACGAGCTCTTCGAATTTATAGATCCGCCAATGAAGGAATGGGCGAGCTTCGATGTCACGAGAGGCGGCGTCTTCCACATCGCGGTGACCGATTCTGACCCGGAGGAACTGTGCAGGAGAGTGATCGCGGCAGGAGGAAACAAGATAGGGGGCACCGTGAAACCTTACGGCCACCTCGACGAGAATGACTGCGCGTTGTATATGCAGGATCCGTGGGGCACGGTGATCGAAGTGCTCAGCTGTAGCTTTGAAGAGTTGATGAGCAACCGCTAGTCAATCCTCTTTTTCCAGCCGAGATGCTATATCAGGAAATCAAGAAATAGTGTAAGATTGGAAGCAGGGAAGCGCTTTCACACAAGGCTGAGTTGATGGAAGATATGAGCAATTCATCTGTCCTTGCTTCCGCATCAGCGCTTCACCTCGTCAGGGCAGTTGTTGAAACGTATATAACAGCCTGATGTTGGAATTTATGTGTCCCGGAGAAGATGCCTACAATCTTCACAAAACACTACACATGTCGTATTCAAATTGAGGAAGTAGTTGCACGACCAAGATAACAGTGTGCCACGCGCGTTGAGCAAATCCACTGGCCGAACCCCGAGCTTTGCTTTACTTGGATCGATTCCCTGACAGAACTCACTGAACCTTGCCAGGTTACGCTACTGTCTCCACAGTCCAGGTGTCGGCTTTTCCTTCCTGTCCTGCTACTGCTTCTACCTGGTCATTGACGATCTCCAGGTGTATGTCGCGACGGTAGACCACCACCAGGTCGTCGTCGCCAAACAATGCCGCTATCTCCTCTAGAGACTTTCCGCGAGTGTCCGGGTAGTAAAAGTAGATAAAGATAGCACAGCATGTAGTCAAGGCAATGAATATCAAGAAGTAACGCCATCCGATATTTTCGATGGCCGTCGGTGACGCCTGAGCCCAGAGGATACTCGTCCACGCAGCCGTGGTCGCTTGGAGTGTCATGCCCTTGGCTCGGAGATGAGTTGGGAAGAATTCTGAGCTATAATAGTAGAATGGGCCTTCCACCGTGCCCGAATAAGCCGCGAGGAAGAAATAGATCATGGCAACTGCTCCTATTTGGCCTGACTTGCTTCCCGAATTCAAATATGTGGCGGTCAAGGCAGTATAACAGGAGAGAGCCACGATCAGCAGGCCGAGACCAAAGGTAATGAGTGTCTGCCGCCGGAACCTTTCGGTGTAGAAAACACAGCTTGACGTGAAGGGAAGATTGACTGCGAACATTCCCGCTTGGAGGTAAAGCTGCTTCTCTGTCGAGAATCCCAAGTTCTTGAAGAGTGTTGTGGCATAGATTGCGATCGTCTGACTGCCGGCAGACTGAAGAGCAAAACCGAGAAAGATAGCCATCAGCATCCGTTTCCAGTAGGACGAGCGCCGCATCATCTCCAGCCACGAAGCAGGTAGGGTGCGATCCAATTCGACTTGCCGGCGCATCTGAAACATCTCGATCTTGGCATATTCGTGATTGGCGTCATTTGTGGTCGAGTGGAATCGGCAGACGATGTCCCAGGCCTCCTGGTCGCGGCCTTTCATCAAGAGATAGCGGGGAGACTCGGGCACAAACCAGATACCGAGGAGGACAGGGATGCATGGGATGCAACCGATTGCTTGAGGCCCTCGCCAGGCACCCAACGGAGAGTGGATGTTCACATAGAAACCCACGCCCACATAGCTCGACAATAGATAACCAACATTGACTGCCACTCCGTGTAGCTGGGCGAACGCTCCACGGACTTCAGGCGGCACGGACTCCAGGATCCAGAGAGGAACTGACATGGCGAGCATAAACGCTCCCCATCCGCCAGTAAAGCGAAACACGATAAACATCGCGATATGGACGGAGCCCGCACAGAGCGCGGCCGATAGGAGGACGAGGACAGCACCCACGAAGATTGCTTTCTTGCGTCCGAAGCGATCTCCGACCCAGTTACTGAAAATGGAGCCGAGGAAGCCTCCCACATAGAACACGGAACTCGTAGCTCCAATGATTGCCTCCTCATTCGAGCTCGTGGCAAGGTCCATATACCCGTAGAAAGATGGTTGACCAAGGGTGGTTGCGATCACACCCCCGGCGTAAGCAAAGGAAACTGAGCCAAAGCACATTAAGAGGACAATGAGGACAGTGGAGAGCCGGAAATGTCGCTTTCCAGGCCCCAAATGAGCGTCTCCAGCTCCGGATTGATTGGCAGCCATAGTTGTCAACGATCAAGCCGAGAGGCAGGCCGTTCTGTTGGAATTCCCTTGGTGCTTCTAGCACGCCTAGGTTTTGTGTGGTAGGCAAGATCATATAGGTCGAGGTAGAGTGGCTCATGAGTCTGATAGTGCAGTAGCGGGATCAAATACTGTACGCCGAACGTACCTACAGTCGGACTGTCTTCCACCAATAGTTCGGAAAGGCGGGTCCCCCGATCACCTCCAGCCTAGTCCAGAGTTGATGCGGAACACAGAGCATGGAACGTGGAATGTAGCAGCCGTCGGAAAGGCGGAAGACTTTAAGATTATACTGGAAGCTCGATGAGCGCCTCGTCGGAGTACCGACATCTCTCTAGGTATCCCACGTTACACGCGGATTTTCTCGAGGGCGGGTTGAGTGTTCGTGTTGTGATCTCAGGCTGGGCGTCACAGACGAAAACACCAGAGAATCGCGGGGAGATACTGTGTCTCTACTAGACGGTTCCTTGGGACTTGGGTGTGAAATCAATGGACTCTGTCTCCCCTACGTTCAACCTAGCCTGTGCGTTGGTCGACCCAAAGGAGCTGCAGCTCCAGCAGCGACCGATTAAGTGCTTAGGCGGAGAAGATGTCTTGGTCAAGGTGATGTCAACGGGTCTTTGTGGATCGGATGCGCATATTTGGGAAAGGGGTTCGACATCCAAACAACTTATTCTGGGCCACGAGGCCGCTGGGGTTATTGTCGCCATCGGCTCCGAAGTCAAGTCTCGACGGGTTGGCCAGAGAGTTGCGATCGAGCCAGGAAGGGCATGCTTAAAGTACGTGTTCCCAGCCAAAGTACAAAGGCTGTGCTGCAGTCTGTTCTGAAACCCGATATTCACGACCTCAGGTGCGACTTTTGTCTCCAGGGGAAGTCGAATCACTGTGAAAAGCTCCAGTACTGCGGAGTCGAACCTACCGATGGATTGCTATGCCAGTATTTCTCCTGCCCTGCCCATATGACTATTGACATTCCCAATAATGTGTCCTGGGACGAAGCGGCTGCCATTCAACCGTTGGCGGTAGCCGTTCACCTGGCAAAGCAAGCTGGTCTCCACGCGAGTCAGACCCTGGGAGTCTTGTATGTCTGAAGTTGCACCTATCGAGGGAGGAGGGTTAGCTGATGCAAGACAGCGGCTGTGGTCCACTTGGACTCTTTGTGATTGCCATTGCAAAGGCCTACGGCATCAGGAAAGTACTAGCTTTTGACATCCAGGAATCCAGAGTCAACTTTGCCAAACAGTGCGGAGCGGATGTCGGGGTGATAAGCTCTCCAAGTCACTCGAACAAGGACCCTTGGACGTATGCAAAAGATACCATGTCATCACTCAAAGAGAAATATCACTTGGGGCTTGGAATGGACGTTGTGGTGGAAGCAAGCGGCGCCGAGCCCTGCACGCATATGGCACTGGCTCTCCTCAAGCCGGGCTGCACCTGTAAGTTTCCCCTGATGCTGTTGCTAGATGGCCTCTAAGTCGCTCGATCGGGTAGGTGTTCAAGCCGGCTTGGGAAAACCGTTGACGTCTGTACCGTTGGCATGGCTCACGGCAAAAGAGTTGGTAATCAAAGGTACGAAGAGGAGCCTCAGCATCTAGACTGAGACGAGCTGACCACACACGCGATGACTAGGCACGGCTAGATATACGCCTGGATGTTTCTCCGAGGCGATCGATCTGATCAGCAGCGGAAGAGTCGACATCAAACCTTTCATCACAGCCAAGTATCCGCTGAGCAACATCAAGGAGGCTTTCACCGCCTTGAGCGAACAGCAAGGCATCAAAATTATCGTTCAAAACCAAGAGTAGCACAACATCACAAATTAGAGCGAGATCTCTGACTTTGTACTATTAAGAAGATCGATCTACTTTATAAGCAAGCCGTCGCAGCTACTTGTCGTGGTCGAATGATGTTATCAGGAATATCATCTTGATAGTTACCCTTATCTACTATAGTGCCCAATATTCGAACATTCGCTGGGATTGGCAAGATATTCCGTCTTTTTTGCAGAATAAGCGGGTTTCGAGGCACTATTCCTGACACTTCTGAAGTTTGCAGCTAGTGAACGTAGGCAGAGAGGTAGTCTGCTACGCTGCTTTGGTGGTCCCGCAGGCTTCAGGGTCAATCTCCTGGATGATATCCTCAATGGTGTCAACTTGGATGTTTTCAAAAACCTTGTAGTCACCAATAGACCATTTCCCTTGCTCTGCTAGGTCGGCAACCAAGAGTCCAAGCCACTTACAGTGGCGGCGAGGGCTGTTTGTTCGTCGTAGTTCTTGAACCTTTGCATGCAAATCTTCCGAGCTTCCTTTGCGGATCAGCTCTACCTTAACTTGCTTTAATCTTTCGTAGACTTCTGCGAACTCTCGGACTGTGTTGTAGCCTGAACGCACAAAAAAGAAGCCGCCTTTACCATCGACAACGTCTTTTTCAGTAGTGAGAAGCTCGATGCTGAATTCTGCACAGTTCTTCATGGACGTCCAGGGGTATTTCGTATTCCCTGCGCCCCAGTAATCAATCGTACAGGTGCCATCTGATCGCTTGGTCGGGAATGTTCCCGATAACGGTCCCCAAAGTTGCTCACCAAATACTCCGCTAAAGACATACACAGGACGGATCTTGCTTGTGAGTTCCACTTGGCGACAAAACGATATCTGCGCATCATAGTACTCCATATCTCCAAACTGTATTCCGTGCCAGTTGAGATTCCAGGTTTGTGCATGAAAGATCTTGACACCCGCATTTTCTGCCTCTCGGAGGAGTAGTAATTGAGCTTCAAGATACATTTGAGGCGTAGGAGAATAGGCGCAGATAACTGCATCGACGCCGGTCACGGCTCTCCGGAGCGCGGGAACGTCGTAATAAGCTGTAGTAGTTATGAAGGACTCGAGCGAACATGCAAGGTCCGCTTTGACCGCACCTGGTGAGCGGCCTAGCCCTCGAACTTGCAATCCTCGGCGGAGGGCGGCAAAAGCCAATAGGTGGCCCAGCCGACCTGACATTCCAGCAATGAGAACCAGCATCCTATGTAAGTTTGTCAGGTAAAAGGTAATGTCCTTGCCAAAATGTTCAGAGCGGAAATAATAGACTAGGATGCAAATTATTGTTGTTGAAAATCGCGATAGAAGTTACTGGTAAGTCCGGGGGTCGCAAAGGTGCTTTCTGGATACGGCGTCTCCGACTACCCCCTTCGATTCCCTCTTTCCCTCCGCCGTTCCGCCGCCTCCCTTAGTGAATACCGTTGATTTCTCAGACTCTTGGAAAGCCCATCGTGCCCCCACATCATTCTCATCAAGGGTTGGACCACGCGGGGGCCCACGTAGCCTGCGGCTTCTCTTTCCAGTCGTCCTCGCGTACTCTCAGCTTTAGTAAGCTCTGAAGGAAACAGCCATCCGCGGACCATTTCGGGAATGGAATTTCAATGCAGGTAGATACTCCTTCTCTGCAGTTGGTTTATCCAAAAGCTTATCGTCCGACTCACCTGTATTGAAAGAGAAGTCGAGTTTTGGAAAAATATAGAGGCCCGGATACTCCGGTAGAGCCAAATGAGTATGATCGTCGATGTCGTTGAGACGCTCTATCAATCTCCACGGTATATAGTGGTTGTGGTTTGAAACACTGTTCTCCTATTAAAGCTATCGCCTCCATTCCAGTCTCGCTGCTGGCCTCAGATTCACCAGGAGAGAGAATGCTGACAACAATGTAATCGAGGCGAATCTTGACCACGATAGAAGTTGCATGAACCTTTAGAAAGAGTGGTGTCGGCCTCTCACCAATATTGCAAGCTACATCTCGCAGAGCTCCACCTTGTCAACGAAAATCATTCTTTGGTGGGTTCTGGTACAGGATATACCTCCACTCGGGATACGCTACTTACCTGGGTATTAATTAGTAATATTTTGCAAAAAGTTACCGCTTTTGGATTCGGCTCGTGTCCCGAGTACACGACTCCGCAATCGAGTTATAAAATCCGCAGGCGGCATCCTCCTCCAGCCTCTCTGGTTCAGAAAAGTGAGCATCGAACACCTGCAATTTCGTGTGGTCTTGATTGCTTTTTCAAGATGATTGAGGTCAGAAAGTACCAGCTACCGCCTACGGAGCTCATTCCGAACTCGCCACGCCCTCTCCTCCACTATCCTGGTATTTTGTCTTCCTCGGCCTCCATCTCAACAGCAGCCTACGACGCTTTTTCTGATAACGGATGGCGTGTTCAGTGGATCTTCCGCTACGGTTCCACCCAGGACTCTCACTACCACTCAGCAACTCATGAATGCATGGCTGTGCTCTCGGGAACTGCAACCATCCGATTTGGCGTGGCCGACACTGATCCTGACCTCAATGGGGGTGCTCATGGTTCCGGCAGGGAAGACGGCGGAATCGAACTTCAGGCACGCGCCGGCGACGTCTTTGTCATACCCGCTGGTGTCGCGCACAAGACATTCAATACCGAGCCCTCTGCCGAGTTTAAGCTTCTCACTCCTGGTGATGGCCATCACATAGCGGCCAAGGATGTGAGGAGTGCTTTGGGGGAGCTGCAGCTCTCCGGCTTCACCATGATTGGCGCATACCCCGAAGGCGGCGCTTGGGACTTTGCGAAAGGGGGAGAGAGCGCTGGTAACTACGAGGCCGTATGGACAGTGGCAACACCGGAGAAGGATCCTGTGCTGGCAAAGGCCGAAGAAGGTCTCTGTGGACAATGGAAATAGAGCCTAGCAGCAAAAGTTGATACCCTGTACGTCAGGGCACCAACCGGGACTGAGACGTGACTGAATACATTTCTCTCCCGCATTGAATACTCACAGGTTCTCATTATCTCATGTCGTCTGTGTGGTTCTCGGATCGATAGCCGCGTTTCGTCCTCGGCACGTTATCCGAAAGTATTTTTGCCTGCGCTTTACACCATCCCCGCCAAGTCGAAGGAAGGCTTACGATGATCATATTAGAGACAACATGTGCAAAACGTGCAGTGTATTCTACCAAAGTCTCTCGTCCATTGTCAAGAATCCGTATCCTTACCTGCTGCGAAAATGGTCCCCCAGTCCACCCCCAAAAAGCTCCGCGTCGCTGTTCTCGGCTGTGGTACGTTACATGCACAACTGTCAAGGCCTCCGCTCTGACGAAGCCTCCAGGGTTTATGGGGACAGCGTTAATCCTGGGTATCACCAATGGACTTGAGAATTCCGAATACGGTCTCAAATTCTCAGTTAGCGCTCGCTCTGACACTTCAATTGATCGATTACGGCAAACATTTGATTCGCAGAGAGATCGAGTGGACGTTATTACTCCAGACAATGTCGAAGCGGCTCGCGGCTCCGAAGTGATAATCTTGGCTTTCCAGCCACAGCAACTCGCCGAGGTTTTGGGGTGCTCCGGCTTGGTGGAAGCTATCCGCGGAAAGCTGGTCGTCTCCATACTGGCCGGAGTGTCATCCTTACAGGTGGCTCAGAAACTGTATAACGCCACGGAGCTGACCACGCAGACCCGCGTCTCGCGTCTGATACCCAGCATTGGCGCGCAGATAAGTGAATCGATGACCCTGGTCGCCGACACCCCTCTCTCTGGCCCAGACCGGGATCTGATCACATGGCTTTTCCAACGGATTGGGCCCACGCAGCTTGTCCCGGAGGATCTCATCGACACCGCGACTGCAGTGAGCGCCGCATGCCACGCTCTGACAGTGGTCGCGGTCGACGCGATTGTGGATGGGAGTGTTGCAGAAGGTGTCCCGCGGCCAATGGCTCTGAATATTGCGTCCCAATGCTTACGCAGCGCTTCTACGCTGCTGCGGGACCAAATGACCATTGAATCTCTCAAGGAGTCGATGTCTGTGGCCAGAGGAATCACGATCAATGCTCTGTTGCAGTTGGATCGTGGACACGTGAGAGCCGGCATTTCGGATGCCGTCAGGTTCGCGGCGCAGTATTCTAAAAAGATGACTGATGGTAGCAATTGATTTTCTGTGCCATACTTGGTCCAGATGGCTTTTTCTTCGTCTATCCGCTACTCTCTCCCATGCACGCAGGGACCTCGAAAGAGGTTCTTGAAGGTTGTCTATCTACAGGCGAGACTGAGGTTTAAGCTGAATCTCTTTCTCTTCTCGATGCAACCCTTCCATCGCGCTCTGAATTGACCTCTTCACCGCATCAGATGGTTCTTCGTACGGCCTGCGAGGTTTGAGCAGACGAACCGCGTCTGTGATTCCCGCCTTTGGAGCGGTAAAAATCGCAGCAGCATACTTTGTGTTCGCGATCCCCGCCTTGGTGGCAGTCTCGGCCGATGCCACCAGCTTCTGAAGTGCGAGAGCCTCACCATGCTGACCATTGGTCCACAACTCATAGATCCTGGCCACCACTCTCGGGAACACGTTCCCGAATGCTCCGATACAGCCTGCACTGCCAGAGGCAAGTCCCCCAACCAGGAAATCTGACTGGCCGCCGAAGATCGCGAAACGCGAAGTTGCAAACCTAGAAGCAAGACAAGTGATCTTTGCAACCGAGCCGCAGGTCAACTTCACGCCGACGACATTGCGGGACTCCTTTGCGATATCCGTGATGATGTTGGCGTCGAGGTCGAGCCCATTGCAGACGGCCGGGAAGTTGTAGATGATGATCGGCAGCGGAGACGCCGAGGCGACCTCTTTGTAAAACCTCCTGACGACGGCCGGTGTGGTCTGTTTGCCGAAATATGCGCAAGGCAGTACGAGCGCGTAGTTGGCGCCGGCATTGTATGCGTCTGTAATGAATTCGAGCACCTGCGCGGTGGAATGGCCGCTCGCTCCGGCAATGATGGGATATCCGTCCGGAACAGATCTTCGTGCCAGCTGGAGCAAAGTCATCCGCTCCTCGCGCGTCAACAGGAATGTCTCTGCGTTGGTGCCTAGTATGACAAGCCCGGTGAGGCCCGTGGTTGTCAGATAGGAATAATACTTGGCTTGGGCATCGAGACACAGTCGATCCGTCTCGGGATCGAAGAACGTCACTGCAGGCACGTAGCAGCCCGCTTGCGGAGCGGTCGGGTAGCCCTTTGTATCTGGCTGGTCACTGTGAATTTGTGCCTGCTGAAGGGCCATGGTATGCAATCAGAGTCCCAGTAACAATGATTTCCATCGCGAGCCTTTCAATGATTCAGCATGGTATGGTTTTATAGAGGGAATGTCTCTCCCTATTCCACTCCTCGGAGCAGGAAAAGGTCGGATACGCTCCCGAGGGTGGATGTACGTGCAAACGGGGATAATAGCGGATCTGGCTTTAGCTGATGCATCTAGCGGTTGCTGCCCGACGACTCTGGATGGCTAGGAGCGTACCAGTATCCTACAAGACTCGGGAAAGTAAATTTGCTGATCATCTGGTATCATCTATGTGCGGCAGAGATCGGGCTTCACATGGCCCAGTAACACCTCACGGCTTAGAGACCGCGAAGCATCGGATATATTCCTAGTCATGGAAGTCAAGATTTGTACCTATGTTCTTGTCTCCAAAACACTAGAAATTACTGTTCAGCTTCCGCAGACAACCAATCCAGAGCACTGAGATCCATCGAGTCCGCAAAGTTCAAAAGCTGCTCTGCTGTGATTCCATCCTGCCAGCTAAGTTCGTCCATGGGGAAGTCATTATTAGTGGGCTGCGACGAGGCTGTATAGGGTGGAGGGGCGAGCGGTATCAGCGAAGGTTGAGCTGCAGCAGTGCGAAAATGACGGTCATCCTGGGACAGAGAGCCACGAAGGCTTGAGGGCCGAGTGAAGATGACAGGCTGATTCTCCTCATTCGAGGAAAGTCGATTAAGGATGTTTTCCAGCTGTTGGAGCTCGGATTTGATCATTCGAGCAACTCTATTGCCGCGAGAAATCATCTCGTCAAAAACTGCATGTGACCGCTGCAACCAAGGCGAGCAGTCTTTGACCAGAGAGGAATCCACGGTTGCCGCCATCAAAAGCGCTATCGCCGAGGTAAATGTGGCATCTAGATCAAAAGGGAGGAAGCTTTCTATTGGATAATGTCAGTAGGCTGATGTGCCATATGAAACCATCCAAGTTGTTGGCACACTGACCGAGAAGACTATGGTCTTGTAGAGCGGAAAGAATCGTGATCATCTGCTGAGCTGACTCAATACACATTTGCAATAAAGTCCGAACACTTCCCGATTGAAGCAGTTCGACCAGGTTTATATTCGATTGACGGAGCTTCGATTGAAGAAATGTGTACAGTATCGGTCTCGTCGTAAGAACAATGCACTGGGTTATCGTCAAATGTCCGAAAATTATCCACAGGGACTTCATCTTGCTTCACTTACTTGATGGTACAGCAGATGCAGATATGCAGAAAGCCTTGAAATGCTGGTCTTTGAGCCGTTTCCCAGAAACTCAAAGGAGCTGTTCAATTGGTCTGTAACATTTGCAACGCTTTTCAAGGCGTCTTTGGCGACAGTCAGGAATCGTTTGTCTAGCCGGCCCTCGGCTCCATACACAGCTGCTTGCTGTCAGCACCATATGCCGGAAATAACCTGGAACCCACTTACTGTTAAGGATTTGTGCCAACACTTTGGAGAGGTTTATCTGAATATTCATCGCCGTTGACCTTTGAGGCTGACCGGAGAAAGTTGGTAACTCTGCACTTATCGATTCGTCTGCAATCCCCATCGGTACACCCATGAGGGACGACATCTGACGGTCAAGAATATAGACTGTCCACCAGACTTTCCGATATCTTTGCGCCAAATCACTATCCACTTGCTGACTGCGCATTTCTGTATGCATTCCATTCTCCAAGGCCATGCGGAGAGCTTGGCCAATCTGGGGTGCGTTAGCATAGTAGAATCGAATATCAAGGAAAGTCGCACAATGCGATAAGCGGCCCCACGGAAATCGAGACATTGTAAATAAAGAGCGGCGCAGCATAGGACTTGTATCGCCTCGATGGGATCAGCACTGTAGAAGGCAAGATCTGGCATAAGCTTCATTGCATGGACGAAAAGCTCCGCCCCCGGAGGCTTTCGACCTTTGCTGCTCTGGACCACAAATGCCTTCCCAAAGGCAAGGATCAGAAGGTAGTGGATGAACCAAAGACTAGACGGTGCTTGAGTCGGATTTTCGTGGAACTGGGAGAATTGTTGCATAAACTTGTCCTCCTCAAAAAGATGGAAAAGCTGACCGCAGTGGAACTTGACGGCGTTGATGAGGTACATGGCAAAATCGGCCGATGGAAGTGCAGGGTCCTCAGATGGAGACTCTAGTGAAGTGTTCCTCTTTCCATCCCACCCTAAATCGTAGGATTTACCCTCGAAGAGCAGATTGTCCGGAGGAAGAGGCGCCCGCATGACTCTCTCGTGGGTCATCGCAAGGACTCTTCGCCCGAATGACCAGTTGGACGATGTCCCTAAGTAGACTAGGAGAAATGAGTCAGTAGATTTCAGCCTGGCAATACATTATAGGACTTACTGGGCCTGCCACTTGTGTCGGGAAAGTAGCTGGGAAAGCCAAGCACAAGAGGATTCATGAGGGATGCGCCTGGAGAACCCCGGAGAGAACGAGGCTCCTCTGGGGGTCTCGATGGTGACTGAGGATACGAGGCTTCTGGTTGGTATGTGGCGCTTAGATTTTGCCTACCAACACTATCGCTGATGTTGTCGTCTTCGTCGTTCTCCTCTTGCCGTGGTCAGACGGGTTGACAGGGATAATCGTAACGTCTTACCGGGCTCTAGAGTCTCTTCAGGAGTTGCTTGTTCATCCGAGATACCTGGGGCTCCTATATCGCCTCGGCTTTGTCGCTCAAAGGAGGCTACGCGCTTCTCGAGGTCGTTTATATAACTAGGAATCCTTAGCTAATGTTGGGATCGTGATGCTCTAGCACTTACCCTCTTGTCACGAGAATCTTTTGAGCGTGATCGTCAAAGTGACATGTCAACTTTCTCTTGGCGCATGCTTCACAAGGACGTGATCCCGTGCATCTAATCTTCTGGCGACGGCAGCGTCGACAACTGTCAAAGCAAGAAGTTAGCAGCCACAGCCTTGGAGTAGCCTGGGGACGGAGCACGGCTCACGCTTTTGGCGCACGTTTCTTTGCGCTGCTCTGATTGTCTGTCGCGGCGAGCTCCATTGCTGCTGAGTGACGAGGACTTCCAGAACACCGGCAATGCCTGCCGCTTCTTCGGTGAGGTGATAAATCAGCTTGGTAGCTGGTTAGTATGGAGCGGCAAGAAACTTCGGGCCGGTCAAGCGGGGTATCAGCACTCGGGACAGTTTCCGATGTTGCATGGAAGTCTGACTCCACTAACCTCATTTGGAAAGCAATCAACCCGGCGAGCCCCGTCAAAAAGCCCGACTCTGCACTTATCGCGACCATCCACTAGCAATCGTGCAAAGTTCGTATCAATGATTAGATACTCACCTAAGCCGACTGTCGTAAGACTGGAGAGTCCTTTGCAACATGCCATCGGGCAGGGGTCCGGTCATCCAACTCGGCCAGCCCCTAGATCCGTATCAGCGTTTGCTTTGAAGAGCAGGAGCTACTACCCATCCTCTGAATCCTAGATTCTGGACCTCTCCTTATCTCAAGCCGGAGGTTCTCAAACAAGGATTTCCGCCGCGGGGGTGGAGTCATCGATAGGATCAGCCTAGCATCGAACACGAGCAACAACCAACTCCTCTAAAGGCTACGCTCGATCGATATCATCCATGCAATCGTAGATATCCAGCTTTCGTTTGCAAAGTGTAGATCTATAAGATAGCGCCCTGACCTCCAGGTCTCTCCACAGTTCTCTTCTTGTACTGCAGGCCACACAGTAATAGATTCCACCTTATTTTGTACCCACCGTCTTCCTTCTCATCGTGAAGATGTCCTTCACAGACTCAGCAGACCTTAAACATGTCGACGAGAAGATAGTCCAGAAAGAGGGGAAGAATCTACAGCCCGTGAACAGCGTTGAAGAGGCCACCTTGATTGAACTAGGGGAAGATCGAAATGGCCAATTCCATCGCTCATTCACTCCCCGTCAAGTTCATGTGCGTACATTCCAGCTCTGGATGGCATTTGTCGTGCTGACCCGGTGATGTTAAGATAATCTCCCTCGGATCCAATATCGGTAGCGGTCTCTTCATCGCAACTGGGAAGGCTTTGGCTACCGGTGGCCCTGGAAATATGGTGATCGCGTACTTGATGGTCTGCAGCTGTGTCTGGGCCGTCTTGCAGTCACTGTCAGAGATGACGATTGCTTTCCCGGTTTCTGGTAATTACATCGACTATGCTGATCGATGGGTTGACCCTGCGCTGGCGTTCGGTGCTGGCTTCGCAGAGTGGCTAGGTATGTGGATCAACGAGGCAGAGTTCACACTTTACTGATACAAAACAGGTTGGACTGCTATTGTAGCTGCCGAAGCCGGCTTCTTCAATGTCTTGATCCAATTCTGGGCCGAAGGATCTTTCCCTCAAGCGGCAACGAGTAAGAACCTCTACGTCTCCTTCACCAATTTGTGAACTTGCTAACTCTATCCTTTCCAGTCACGATATTCCTTGTCGCATGCATGGTGATATTCCTCCTTCCCAATACCGTTTTCGCCTGGTTCGAATACGTCACCTCTCTCATAAAAATATTCCTCTTCCTCCTTATCATAACTTTGTCATTGGCTCTTACACTTGGTGCTGGACCAAATGGATACATCCATCACGGGGAGACATGGACAGAACACCCGCCCTTCTTGAATGGATTCGCAGTAAGTTGGATTCGCCTACTCGAACATTGATTTTGGCTCATAAGTTCAGGGGTTTGCCAATGCCGCTTTACTGGCCACATGGGCGGTTGGCGACCAGGTCTTCATTGGCATCATCGGCGGTGAAGCTAAAAGCCCTCGGTTCTCCATGGCCCACGCAACGAAACTCGTGCCATTCCGAGTGAACTTCATCTACATGATAAGTATCGTTTTCATCACCATCCTGGTGCCTTCCAATGATCCACGGCTGCTTGGTGGATCGGGTGTCGCAGCCTCACCGTTCGTCATTGCCATCCAAAATTCGGGCATTCCCGGCATTGCGTCCCTCCTCAATGCAGGCATGATGTGCGGCGTCCTTGCGATTGCTGCTGAGAGCGTCTACATCTCGTCGAGGATCCTTAGGACTATGGCACACCAGAAATTAATCCCTGAGCGTCTGGCGCGAGTGGATTCCAAGGGCCGCCCGAGATGGGCTCTGCTCATTACCTGCATCACGGCAGTGTTTCTGGGCTATATTCAGTTGAGCTGTGAGGACCCCTGCTTTGTTATTGTCAGCGCAAGCACAAAGCTAATCCGTCGACAGCTGGCGGTCTTACGGCGTTGAACTGGTTGATCTCGATCACCAGCGCCTCCTACTTTTCAAACTGGATCATCATTGCGTTCACAAATTGGCGATTCCACTGCGCTTTGAAGGCACAAAACGATCCTCTCTTCAAAGAGGTCTATGCGTGGAAATCTAGTTTATGGCCCCTGGCTCCAGGATGGCTGATGACGATCTCACTTCTCTTGCTCGGCTGCTGCATTGCCGCCGGTATCGACCCCGTCGTAAGTAGCATTTCCTTTGTTGTTCCTTTGGAGGTCGAACCTTGACATTGAGTTTCTGCGCTCTGTACAAAATCAATGCTAAATGCGGTTGGCAGGGTGGCGCTGGTTTCACCGCTTACAACTTCTTCGAATTTATGATTGGAGTCCTCGTCATTGCAGGGTTCACAATTGGGTACAAGCTCATTTTCAAGACTCCGTGGCGAGACGCAAAAGTTGCGGACTGCAAGACTGGTCGAAGGACGCTGAGCATCGAGGAGATTAACCAGCTCGATGAATATTACAAGATGAGCAAGTGGAGGAGGTTTCTAACCTATGTGCAGTTGTGGTAGCCGGAAACTCTTAGTATCGGCACTTAAGGTTGTGGGTATGAGTAGGGGATAGACTGTCGCGTGGTTATGGAGCGTATGATGTGGGACGTGATTGCTCGATTGCCTTTAGATTTTCTTAGATTTGGATCCAATTCGTTCCACCTCGGCCTTTCCATGCCTTTCCATGCCTTTTCTACTCGTACATCGCAACTAACACGATCATGGCTGTCGTAGTTAGAAAGACGGGATATTCGTGTCTGGCCTCCTACGGCTTTTCAAAATGTGTCCTTTCTGTATAGAGTAAAGGAGAGCGGGTTTATGAAGCATTTGTTTCGAACAGAAATAGTTGTTTCAACTTTTTTGAGGAATACCCAGCGAGAAAGGTTCGCGATAGTTCGCCGGCTGGGGCTCCTCAAACGTTACCGTACGTCTGATGGATCAAGCCCCGACACTGTGAGTAGGCATGGAATGGGGAAATCCGGGGAACTTGCACAAGGCAATCGGAGTCTGTCGGACAGGAGATTGAACGTGTGGCCTTGGTGGCCTGGTCCCAGCTCAGCCTGATCGACATGTGGCGCAAACACCAGCGCCGCTACGGCAGCCTTCCCGACACGGGTTGATATGGACCTATTCCACTTTGCCTGAACGGTATGAGTTCCGAGGACTGCGCCCTTCGAACGCATGGGGTTCTCAAACCCGATCCGTATTCTCTCCCTCCTTTCCGAGAACTGGATCATGAAGAGTAGTAGTATGCTACTTCTCCGAGTGAGTTGGCATCCGCGGATGACAGTGGTCCCTAGCAGGGTGTCAACAGAGTATCAATGACACTCCCGATCTCCTCTAGCCCAGCTCGGCCACAGCGCCGTTTGAGATTTGAGGGCGGATGTTGTTGGTTAGCAATACCTTGTCAAATCAAATTGTACATATTCAACTCTGTCCCCCCAAAAGAGGACGTACTCTGCCACAGATTCTCAAAAAGCACTTCTATAACAAATCTTCCGTCTTGAGATTTTCTTTACACGAGCACTTTTCTCAGGGATGCTGACGCACACAGTTGGCCCAAGTGCTCCTTGTCGCCAGGCAGTTCTTGGACTCAGTCAAGCACGTGTTTTCTCCCCGCGTACATCTGTAAGGAGAAGGCTGCTGTCCACGGCTGGGACCTACAAAACCCCGAAGCCATTCAATGAGCCAAATGTAAGGGTTCATGGTCGATACACAGCTTTCGCGTTAAGCTAACATCTAGTCAGCTACATTATGCTCCGTCATCCCCAGAGCGAGAAAAGTTGATTGTGGCGGTCCAGGATCTGCGGCACAAACTTCCAGTCCGTGTACCGTCGATTAAAAAAGGACAGGAGGAAACAACCCAACCTAGCTCATCGGATTCAGAGACATATATGCCTTCGGAGATTTCGTCAGTCTTTGCCAAATACACTCCGACAACAGAGGCAGATGTATCAGCCGCCATCGAGGCAGCGCTAAAGGCCAAGGCAGCTTGGCAGGACACGCCCTTTGTCGATCGGGCAGCTGTTTATCTCAGAGCAGCCGAACTGGTCTCTGGAAAATACAGATTCGAGTTGATGGCAGCAACGATGCTCGGGCAAGGGAAAAATGCCTGGCAGGCCGAAATTGATGCTGCTGCGGAGCTGGCCGACTTTTTCCGTTTCAATGTCGCATTTGCCGAAGAGATCTACTCCAGGCAACCTACGCTGAATGAGCGCGGGCAAGCAGGGTGAGTTGTACCACCGCCCCATGTGAAAACTGCGGACGGACGGCACACTGACGGACAATCTAGCCGCACCGATTGGCGTCCACTGGAAGGCTTTGTGTATGCCATCTCGCCCTTCAACTTCACAGCCATTGGCGGAAACCTCGTGTCTGGACCCTCTCTCCTTGGGAACGTTGTTCTTTGGAAGCCTTCTCCTTCCAACGTATATGCAAGCTACCTGGTATACAAGATTCTTCGCGAGGCAGGCCTCCCACCGAATGTCGTCCAGTTTGTTGGTGGCGATGCTGAGATGATCACCAGAGTGGCCCTTGCACACCCGGAACTGTCTGCCATTAACTTCACAGGGTCATCAGACGTGTTCCGTAGCCTGTATGGCAAGATAGCGGACGGCGTGAGGGAAAGAAAATATCGCGACTTTCCACGACTGGTCGCAGAGACATCGGGCAAGAACTTTCACTTGATCCACCGCTCTGCCGACATCAGCAATGCGGTGAAGCACACGATCCGTGCCTCTTTCGAATACGCGGGCCAAAAGTGCTCGGCTTGCTCGCGAATCTATATTCCCGAAAGCCGTGCTGAACAGTTTTTCTCCGAGTTGAAGCAGGAGCTGAGACAGGTCAAAGTCGGCCCACCCGAGGACTTTGAAAGCTTTACTGGGCCTGTCATCCACCGAGCCGCCTTTGATAAGATCACCAAGGTCATCGATGCTGCTAACAAAGACAGTCGGCTGAAGCTTGTGGCTGGGGGGAAGTACGACGACAGCAAAGGGTTCTTCATAGAACCGACGGTTTACTCTGCAAAGGCAGTGGACCATCCTCTCTTTGATCAAGAGCTCTTTGGCCCCGTCCTGATTGCCCATGTCTACCGCGATGAGGACTTTGACTCACTCTTGACCAAGATCGACCAACAGGGTGGCGGCTTTGCGCTAACTGGGTCCATCTTCGCCACCGACACGGAAGCGGTCCGACAAGCCGAAAACAGGCTCCGCTATGCTGCTGGGAACTTCTACGTCAACTGCAAGACAACTGGCGCCGTCATTGGCCAACAGTCGTTTGGAGGAGCGCGAGGCAGCGGTACCAACGACAAGGCCGGCAGTGCAAACATGTTGATGCGCTTCACGGCTCCGCGAACCCTGAAGGAAGAGTACCACCCTCTCGAGACTGTCCTCTACCCGAGCAACTGCTGAGATCGAGGAGGAAGGTCCGAGAAAGCAAAAGTGTAATTGCTTCAGTGTTGAAGTTGACATAGATATGGCCATGTCAATGCCGCAATGTAATCTCTCGTTGATGCTCGAACGCGTATTGCCCGTGACCAGTGACCACATACCTCGGAGGCATGGACTGTGGTTGGATGGCAGTGGGAGAAGGCCGTTGTAGCCCGCCCCTGTCCGCCCCCTGCACTCGGCCTTCTCCCCCGCGCTCCGCCAGCCCCGCCAATCGCAACTCGCCATTGCCCGCCCGGCACTGGACCTCGGACACGGCAATTTCTCGTTCTTTGGCGAGCTTCTCCGCAATTTGTAAGGGCTGCTTGCTCTTCCACCATGGCCCCCTCCCTTTATTAATTTGCTGCCCTTTTTGCACCAGCATCGACTTGTTCAACCTGTGGGCGACACGAGCTGCGCTAGGTTCCCAATCTGTCCTTCGTTCCCCCTCCCCCATTTCTGGCAGCAATGGCCGCTCGTCGGTCCCTCCTACGTGCTGTCCCCGCATTGACAGCTCGACGGGCCACCGCATCAGCACCCCAGATCTCGACGTCTCTCAGAATGTCGCCAAACGAGCAGATTGCCAGGCGTCGACTTCATGCCACCACCCGCCATCTTGCCGCCACCAGTACCGCCGTCGCCGACTATCCTACCTCTCACGAACAGATTGCCAACGTTATCGACACGCACAACTTCATCGACAACCAGTTCGTCCCGTCTCAAACCTCGCAATGGATCGACCTCCATGATCCTGCCACCAACAACCTCGTCACTCGAGTGCCTCAATCCACCGATGCCGAATTGAAGGCGGCCGTCGCGTCTGCGGAGAAAGCCTTCCCGCAATGGCGAGCAACATCCATCATATCCAAGCAGCAAATCATCTTCAAGTTGACCCATTTGATTCGCCAGAATATGGACCGGCTGGCCGCCTCCATCACCCTTGAACAGGGCAAGACATTTGCGGATGCGAAAGGCGACGTTCTTCGTGGCTTGCAAGTCTGCGAGACTGCCTGCGGGATCACCACCCAATTGACCGGCGAAGTCATTGAAGTGGCAAAAGATATGGAGACCCGTTCATACCGCGAACCCCTGGGTGTGGTGGCAGCCATCTGCCCCTTCAACTTCCCGGCCATGATCCCGCTCTGGAGCATTCCTGTTGCTACCGTGACAGGTAACTGCTTGATCCTCAAGCCCAGCGAGCGTGACCCCGGTGCTGCAATGATACTTGCTGAATTGTGCAAAGAAGCCGGATTCCCTGATGGAGTGGTTAACATCGTTCATGGCGCGGCCAAGACGGTCGACTTCATCATCGATGAACCGGCCATCAAGGCGATTTCCTTCGTCGGCTCGAACCGAGCCGGTGAATATATCTACACTCGGGGTTGCGCCCAAGGAAAGCGTGTCCAGGCCAATTTGGGGGCGAAGAACCATGCTGCTGTGCTTCCGGACTGCAACAAGAATCATGCACTGAACGCCATTGCCGGCGCCGCCTTCGGTGCCGCGGGACAACGGTGCATGGCTCTTAGCACGCTCGTAATGGTGGGTGAGACGAAGGACTGGTTGCCAGAGCTTGCCGAGCGCGCAAAGGCGCTCACCATCAACGGTGGATTCGAACCGGATGCCGACCTCGGCCCCTTGATCAGCCCACAGAGCAAGAAGCGCGTGGAGGACTTGATCCAGAGCGCGCAGGACGAGGGTGCAACCATCTTGCTTGATGGAAGAGGGCAACACCCAGCCAAGTATCCCAACGGCAACTGGGTAAGTCCAAGCTGCTCTCCCAATCCATGAAGACGTTTACTGATTTGTGCTAGGTCGGCCCAACCATCATTGCCAACGTTAAGCCGCATATGAAGTGCTACACGGAAGAGATCTTTGGCCCTGTCCTGGTCTGTTTGAACGTGTCCACGACTGAGGAGGCCATTGATTTGATCAACTCCAACCCCTACGGCAACGGCGCCGCCGTCTTCACGCGTTCCGGTCCTACCGCCTCACTATTCCAAAAGGAACTCGAGGCGGGCCAGATCGGAATCAACGTCCCTATCCCCGTTCCCCTCCCAATGTTCAGTTTCACCGGTAACAAGAAGAGCGTGGCCGGAACAGGGCTCGCGAACTTCTACGGCAAGGACGGCATCAGGTTCTACACCCAGTGGAAGACAGTGACGAGTCTGTGGAGGGCCGAGGATGCGCTGGCGACAGAGAAGCAGGTTGCTATGCCGACCCACTCTTAAGGGAGCATAGGTGGATGAAAGAGACGGAGGAGGACTGTGAGTGGTGTTGAGATCCAAGGGGACAAGGAGACAAGGGGAAGATTTGGCAAAGGAGGTCGTTGTATTTTGAAACAAACGCCGCGTCGGACGGACAAGGTATATAACAAATTGATCACCATCATGGGACAAAATCTCGGGGGCAGGACTTTGAACGAGAAGCAACAACACACGGTACAGGTCGAGCCGGGAACTTTGCGGAAGACGGACTTTGGGCGAAATTGTGAAATCACAGAATGCGAGAATGTACCTACTTAGTTTCTGGGATCGGCTCAAGTACCACACAACCTCAACGCCCACCTTTTGGAGTAGTATCATAGGTATGGAAGCTGGCGATATTGTCAGCGAAGCTCTGCGACTTACGGATGGAACAAATCTCAAAAGGACTAGCGGACAGTCATCGCGAGCCAGTTTTGTAACAGAACATTAAACAATCAGAACTTTGATGCTGCATAATCTCATAGACCTCCCTCCCACCAGTGGTCACGGTGCCTGCGGCGTCGCCACCAAGCAGGCATGATACCCTTGATCTGGTAGGCTTTGAGCTGATGTACATTAAAACATTTCCCGGCAGAAACCTCCTTCAGAATTTCATCCTGGTTGACAATGTATTGTATTTTTCTGGCCGTCCGCCTCAAATTGACTCCTTTTGTGCCTGAACCCATGTGGATCAATCCCAAGTCCAGTAACGACATTGTCGAGTCGCACACCATCCAGTCGGAAGGTCGAGTTTGCCTGCTAGCACGATTCTATTCAGAGTTACCGCTCGATCGAGTAACTCTCTTGCTAGCCTCGGCCTTCGTCGTCTCAGCACCACTGGCGGCAGAATCCTGCACCTTCTCCTTGACCTCGGTGGCAGTATCCTTCGCCTTCTGCGCCGCCTTCTTGACGTCCTCCTTGCTGGGAACGGGGGCTGACCCGCCCATGCTTGAGAGACCAACGATGATAGCGATCACCAATGCCAAAGCGCCGCCAATTCCGCCTGCAACCTCGGGCATGAACTTGATGGCTTCAACCGGGTCCTTCTTGGCCAAGGTGATGAAGAGGTCGAGTTTTTCTTTGACAAAAGTGACTGGGTCATCCATGAATTTGAGGTCGGAGGGCGACTTGGGAAGATCTTCGGGCGTGGGCCTGCTCTTCGCATCTTCGGCTTCCTCGATGGGTCGCTTGACATCGTAAGTTTCGGCGCGGAAAGCTGCGGCATCTTCAATCGAATGACCAATGTAGATGTTGTCAAAAGTGATGTCGGACTGCATGGTCCAAATTTCGAAGCCAATCTGCCAGGAAAGATTAACTACTGCTCTAATGGATCACGAATAAAAACTTACCGCTCCAATAGGCTCGAAGTTGGAAGGAGTCTTGTCCTCAAAGTAGTCCGGGTTGGGGATCTTGCGTGGTGCCCACGGGCCCTTGTAGGCGGGGTTGTCGATGAATGGCGCAGTCCACTTGCCCTTGTAAAAAGGATTCTTCTTCATCGGAGGTTCCCATTTACCGCAGCCAGACACTTCTTCGCACTTGGGGTTGGGCACTTGAGGGGGAATCCAATCACCGTCTTCCTCGTCATCCCAATCTTCTGGTTTCTCGGCCTCTGGGTCAGGAATCGTTGCAGGTTCATCCTCGAGCCAGTCGTCGGGTTTCTCAGCTTCCTCGTCGACCACCTCGTAAGGTTGATCCTCATCCCAATCTTCAGGCTTGACAGCGTCAGGGTCGGGAATGCGGGCTTGTTCCACCCAGTCATCAGGCTTCTTGTCCTTTGGATCGTCAATTTCCTTTGAAGGGTTGACTGCGGGAGAGAAATCCTCCAAAAGGCTCCCATTCTTGGCAGACTTGTTGTCGATCAACATCTCGAAAGTATTATCTGGCTTGACGATGAGAGTATAGAGGGTGGTCATCTTGCCAGTCTTGGCCTGGGGAGGACTCTTGAGGTGTTTTTCCTCATATTCGCCAGTCTTGGGGTTCTTGTGCTGGAAGATGAAGTGAACCTGGGACAGTCGTCAGATTGATATCAAGGAATCAGCCGGCGCACTCACCTTGTTGGTAGCTCCACACTTGTCGGGACCAAACATGATCACATAGGGAGAGGCATTGGAGAATTCCTCGGCGTGCAGCTCCTTGTTCTCGCGGAGCAATTTCATGTACGCGCCACCACACTCGAGGCCGTTCTGAAGCTTGACCTCATATTGAACGACAAGAGTCTTGCCCTTGTTATTGATAACAGAAGGGAACTTGGCTGAAATGGCATGATGAGCAGCTGCGTTCTTCACAACCAAGCCTTTGTCGCCGACGATGCCCGGGAGGACAGTCGGTTCCTCGACCGCCCATTCACCGACGTATGCCCAATCTTCGTCACTCTTGGAATCTTGCTTTTTGGCATGTGAAGGAGTCCATCTTGTGTCCCAATCCTCGGTGAACTGTTCTAGGAAGGGCGCCTTAAGACTTGTGGGCTAGTTGCCGGGTTAGCGGAATGTAAATAGCTACTGGCAAACAACACCAGCTTACAGTAAAGGTAGGCCGCTCAACGGCACTCGTTAACGTCTCTGCCTCCTCTTGGGCGAATGTTGTGCCGGCAAGGAGAGCCGATGCATAGAGGGCCGGGGCGATTGCTGCGTTGAACCGCATGCTGGGCCACAAACACTGAGGCAAGCGACAATCAATTGACAAGAGGTATAAGAAACAGACCAGGCACAGAAGAGAATGGAGGAGAAGAAGGTTGACAAGAGCAGGTCCCACTCCTAGTCGTGGTTATATTTCAGGTCTGCTCGAGGGATCAAAGCAAGGTGTCCTTTACGAGGTGGACTCCACAAGGGGCATTTCAAATGTCACTCAGATCGGTGAAGCTCCTACGCAAATAATTAGCCCCAAAAGGCGGGGGATCACGTGTCAGCACTCGTCAGCTCCATTGAAATTTCATTCAGTTTCTTTTCCATTCTTTCCTGTTGCCTCTGACTGCTCTCCCACGATATTCCACTACTGTCTCGATGGCCGACCAAACCAATGACCATCTCGTCCAGTCTGATGATCCGGATCACCCCGCAAATCTGATCCCCCGACTCTGCAAACAGTTCTATTCCCTCGGTAGGTTGTAGACGGTAGGCGGTCTCCTTGGGCCGCAGAAACTGACTCCCTTTCAAGGATGGGTCACTGGAACTGGAGGCGGCACAAGTATCCGCAAGGATGAACACGTCTACATCGCCCCATCCGGTGTACAGAAAGAGCTTATGAAGCCTGAGAACATATTTGTCCTTACATATCCGACTCCCAAGTACCCTCCATCTGCACGACAATACATCCGAAAGCCTCTAGATCTGAAGCCATCGGCATGTACGCCGTTGTTCCTGGCAGCGTTTGAACGTGGTGCCGGCTGCTGTATCCATACACATTCCCAATGGGCTGTTTTGGTCACTCTGCTTGTCGAGAAATTTCATGGCAAGGAGGCCTGTTTCGAGATCAGCGACATTGAGCAGATCAAAGGTATTCCCAAAGGTCCAGGGAAAGGCATGCTTGGTTTTCATGACACGTTGCGGATACCAATCATTGAGAATACTCCTTTTGAGGAGGATTTAACAGAGAGCTTGGAGAAAGCTATGGAGCAACACCCGGATACATACGCCGTCCTAGTGAGACGACACGGAATGTGAGTACCGTTGACCGAATGAGACCAAGAGGTCACTGATTTCGCTTCAGATACGTTTGGGGCGACAACGTTGCCAAAGCCAAAACGCAATGCGAGAGTTTGGATTACCTTTTCCAGCTCGCTGTGGAAATGCACAAGCTAGGTTTGCCATGGATGCTGAGAGGATGACGGGTGAGCGCAGTGTAATGGCTGGATAATTTGCTGAGTTGGCATATTCAACACCCTTGGAGATATTGCGAAGGCATTCCCCAGTTAACTCGCTACGATGATAGATTTTGATCCATTAGACTCTTTGGTGGTTGTAACGAAGAAGTGGACGATGATAAATAATATCCTGGTTCCACGTGGATACCAGGTATCGAATAGACTACAGATGGTTCCAATTCGTCCTTAGGGTTTTGCCACTTTCAGAAGTCCTAGAAGGGAAGTAGGGGAATATTATTATTCGCGACTTCGTCTCCGAACTCTTCTCCAAACCGTCAATCCATCTGCCGCAGCTCACTCAAATCTCGAAGCAACCCGCGCGCTGTGGGCGATCAACCCTTCGAACCCGGTAGCTGCAACCCAGAGTTCGTCAAGACGACTCTGAAACCATGTCCACGGCAGCGTCAGTAGCATCCGAGTCGCAAAGGCCGTCAGCATCATCGGCCCAGCGTACACAAGAGGCAAAAGATGCATTTACGGCTTCGCTGAACGCTGTGGGAGCCAGCATTGATGCCGAGCTGCACGCTCGCGCAAAGAACATCCATTCCAATGCAAAGGCTCTAACAAAACAGGAGGACGACGTGCGGAAGGAGACAAAAAGCCTGGCCAAAGAGAACGATTCTCTACAGAAGCTGCTTGACAAAACCAACAAGGAGGTCCAGAGTTTGGGCGACTTGGACGACATCATGGCGAACTTGGACGCGGATATGGCCATGATTGAGGAAACCCTCCGACTGGTGGAGGAAGATGAAGACGAACATGCTCGGAAGAGTAACGATTCGGAAAGCAACAACTGACCATGGCTACAACATTCCTTATATTGTGCTTCGAAGTGCCATTTTCTCCGATTGCCGAGGAATATAGTGGACATGTTATGGCTATCTTTGCAGCTCTGTGCTTCGATAAATTTACATTGGCTGAACCCGTTCGCACAGAAATTGGCGTGCTTTTCGACCTTTGGGACAGGCAACTGAATAAATTGGACTTTGTCGCATGTTAGCTTGCATCTTCACGTGTCCATTTGTGTTTCTAGAAATGCAACACCAATATTAGCGATATTCTTTCGAAGCGGCCGTCAGGAACGCTGGTACAGGCGTGTCAAGTCTGTTACTGTTCGACATCTGCGTTGAGTGATGGAAATTGACGGCTTTTTGCCAGCCTTGTACCGTAGCCTCGTGGGAGAGAGCGAATGACGTATTGCCTAAGACTAGCTCAGCCGCCAATCGGAATCCCCCCTTCTCCGCGCATGTTGACTTCCCTCGCTCTTTGCGACTGTGCCCTGTCTCGACCACTTTGGTTCATCTGCCAGGAAAGCGTCTTGCGCTGGACGCTAGATCCGTTTATCCATGCTCTCAGCATTCACGGCTCAGCCCATTGTCGAGCTGAAGCAGCGCGACAAGTCAAAGATCGAGTCGATATTGTCTCACAGCGACCAGCTGCTTGTTGGCCTCAACACGGGCGCACTCCGCATTTACAGAATCAAAAGTCCTCCGTCGCGTCCTACTGATTCTGACGACGATCATGAAGAGCATAGGGCCACTACCGAAAGGCAAACCGCGACGCCTAAGCCTTCTGAACTGCTTCGGGAGTACGAGAAGTTTTCGAGGTACAAGATCGAACAACTAGCTGTTTTCCGCGAAGCCAACATCCTGATATCTCTGAGCAACGGTCTTGTCTCAATTCATGACCTGGGCACCTACGAACTCAATGAACAACTCACAAAAACTAAAGGAGCTAGCACCTTTGCCGCCACAAGCAACATTGTCAAGGATTCCTCAACTGGTGTGCCTACCCTGGTCAGCAGGTTAGCAGTTGCGGTCAAGAGAAGGTTGCTTATCTGGACATGGCACGATGGAGAGCTCGACGGCGATGCTGCTGAGGTTGCGTTGTCACACAGCATCAAATGCTTGACCTGGGCAACGGGTACGAAAGTTATTGCTGGGCTGAGTGCAAACTATGTCCTTGTCGACGTTGAATCTCACGAGGTGAAGGACATTATTGGCCCTGGTAGTATTGGTGGTGGTTCTGGCCAAGAAAGCAGTAGATTGGGAGGTACAATGAGCTATATCGGCATGGGGTCGATAGTCCCGGCACCACTTGCAACGGGACTCGGAGAAAACGAAATGCTGCTGGCAAAAGATGTCAACACCCTCTTCATCGACCGCAACGGAGATCCAATACCTCGACGTCAGGTTCCGTGGCGCACGGCTCCGCATGCCGTCGGGTATTCATACCCTTACCTCCTCGCTTTGCAGGAAGCTACAAAAGGCGTACTGGAAGTCCGCAACCCCCAAACGCTCACTTTACTTCAATCAATTGATCTTCCTGGTGCGGTATTACTTCAGGTCCCGAACCCGAACATCAGTCTTGCCCATCAAGGGAAAGGATTTCTGGTCGCCAGTGAGCGCATCGTCTGGAGGATGCAGGGGTTGAATTATAATGCCCAAATTGATGCTTTGGTCGAAGCCAGTCAACTAGATGAGGCAATCAGTTTGTTGGAGATGATAGAAGAGACCCTCATCAAAAACAAAGCTGGGCGCTTGCGGGAGATCAAAATGCAGAAGGCCCAGCGCCTTTTCGATGAAAAGAAATTCAGAGACGCGCTTGACCTGTTCGGTGAGGTCTCTGCACCTCCTGAACGGGTGATAAAGCTATATCCCGCAGTCATTGCAGGTGACCTTGCGGATGAGGAACGCGGTGCTGCCGTGGGAAGCGAAACGGAGCCAAAGGCCGACGAAAGCCCTCGGAAATCGCCTAGAAAGTCAGACGTTGCCTCTAGTCCTACGAAAAAGACAAAGGCCATTCCCTCAGAGGCTGATACAGCAAGCATACAGAGCATGAAAACCGCAGATCGCACAGGAGGTGAAGGCCTTTCGGAAAAAGAACTCAAAACCGCTGCCCGAGAGCTCCAGGCATTCCTTGCCGACGTCCGCCGCCGCCTACAACGATTCTTCAACCCGGACCAGACAGTACGCAGTCTATCTGAAGTCCAAATCGCAGCCCAATCCGAGGATATCCGGCAGATCACAGAACATCTTCTTGGACTGCCTACGCTAGATGACGTTGACCTTGCCGACAAACTGCTGGATGTGGCCAAACTCGTTGACACCACCCTTTTCCGCGCTCATATGTACGCCACACCCTCGCTCGCTGGGTCACTGTTCCGGATACCCAACTTCTGCGATCCTGAGGTTGTAATGGCGAAGTTGGAAGAGACGGAACGGTACAATGATCTGATCGAGTTTCTATATGGGAAACGATTGCACCGACAAGCATTGGAGAGACTGAAAAAGTTTGGGCAAACCGAGAAGACCGAAGACATCGATCCACAGCTGCATGGACCAGCAAGGACGGTCTCATACCTTCAAAACCTGGGGCCGGATCTGATTGATATGATACTAGAGTTTGCCAGGTGGCCACTGGAGACGGATCCAGAAATGGCGATGGAGATCTTTTTGGGCGACACGGAGAACGCAGAGTCACTTCCGCGTGAGAAAGTTCTCGCATTTCTCGAGTCAATCGACATAGACCTAGCGTTGCGGTATCTTGAACACGTGGTGGACGAACTGGACGATCTAACCCCTGAACTGCACCAACGCCTGGCCACGCTCTATCTTGAGCGCTTGAAGGACTCGACCGCACCGAACCGAGACGATCTGCTTGATAAATTCCTAACATTGCTGAGGACATCTGATCAGTACTCACCCGCAAAAACCCTGGGATTACTCCCTCGCGATGATCCAACGTTCTATGAAGCACGGGCCATCGTCTTTAGTAAGATGGGCAACCACAAGCAAGCTCTGGAAATCTATGTCTTTAGATTACACAACCCTGGCAAAGCGGAGGAATATTGCAATCAAACGCATCTGGAGACAACCGGCAAATACTCCAGCAAGTTGGCTTCTCGTAAGAGACCTTCAACGACCGACCCCGTCGATGAAGAGCCATCAATCTATCATATCCTCCTAAACCTCTACCTGAATCCGCCGAAAGGGGAGCAGGCATTATTCGGACCAGCCATTGAGTTGATGGCCCGACACGGACCCAGGCTGCCGGCAAGTTCGACGTTGGAGTTGATCCCTGAAGACTTGCTGGTGAAAGAGCTAGAATTTTACTTCCGTGGAAGAATACGGAATGCCAATACTATCATGAACGAGTCGATGATAGTCTCTGGGTTGAGAAAGGTGGACGCCGTTCGAGTTCAGGCCGCTTTGCTCCTTGGGGAGGGTGCCCAGTCAGGCGGTCGAGGGAGAAAAGTGAGGATCGATGAGGATCGAGTTTGTGGTGTCTGCTATAAGCGACTTGGTGGCAGCGTGATCAGTGTGTTTCCGGAGTAAGTTTGTCACCTCTCCCCGTTGTCTTTCTGGTTGTGCGCTGACATTCGAGACAGCAATTCCGTCGTGCACCTCGGATGTGCAGTGCGCAAGCAAAGTGAGATTGCGGCCAAGGTGGTCTAACGGAGTGATGTCCATAAGCTAGTGATTTTATGATACCCATGAGCGATTTCTGTTCTCATGTCTCATCCTGTTGATTCTCCTCGCCGTAGTTCTCTTCTTCTAATTCATCCTTCGTCTTCTGCTTGGATGTGCCATCCTCGCTGCCCTGTCCAGTTTGTTTCTTGTCTTCCTCCATTTTCTCAGTCAGGAATTTATTGATATCCTCCTGTAGCTTCTTGCTTGACGACCGTAGTTCGGACACGTACTTCGTTTGGGCTCCGGTATTGAGCGATCCGTCCTCCTTGATTTGTGGTGCTAAGATCTCGTATCTGAACTGTTTTGAACCAGAAGGCGAGTTGTAAGTAGCAGATAGGACCGTGGAATGATCTGAGGTGTTCGGCATGATTCAGTATTGCTGGTCGACTGGCAATAGTAGAAGATGGGGAGGGCTGGGTGTGTTTAAACAAAATGAGAGGGTTAGAACAGCGGGGGTCGGAAGGACTGGGGCCTCCAACCGCAACACCAACGTCAACAATATCATTTCGGCTGCGCATTCGCCCTCGACCCACGACTCCTACTTCGGTGGACGAACTCAACTCGCCTTGTTAAAGGTGTAAAGCGATCATGGCATGTCGCTAGTGCTTGTTTGTCCTGCAATGTTTCCCGCGCAGTTGATCCGGTGACCTCCCAGTCCATGACACCCTCTCCGAATCCGTGGAGCGAACGGCCTTTCACACTCTCTCTATTCGACCATGGAACCGCCTCCTCAGCGACGGACTGGACTTCGGTCACCAGTCCCTCCTGCCTCGTCTGTTTCCCCTAACCCGTCACGGGCGGACTCGAAGCAGAGCAATCGACCTAGCTCGAGCGGCAGCGACACCTCTGGCTCTTCACGCCTCTCAGTCGTCAAGAGATCTCCTTACAACCAACATTTACCTACGTTTGCTTCGCACAACAATACAAGCAATGCCTCGCTCCTGTCTCATAACCGGCCGTCTGCACATTACATGCCTCGTGACGGCAGCGCAAAACATAATCTAGGCCCTCCGCCCGAACTGCAAAAGCACCGTCCACGACAGCACTCACAGGGCTACTTCGAACCGTCGATGCCTTCTGCCTCCCTGGCAAGCCAATCTCAGCTTCACGATCATATCGGGATGCCTGCGCTCAACCCTTCTCAAATTGCGGCTCAGGCTGCGATGCAACACCTGAATGCCACAAACCATTCCCGCAAGAGATCGCAGACAGTGCCATTCCCACAAGAGCAGAGCCAACAGGAAAGTCGGCGTAATAGTAGAGGGTCGGCAGGCTCTCATGAGGGCCAATCCCCAACCCCAGCTGCGGAACAACAGTATCGCAACGGATTGATCGGCACCAATGCGGCGGCGACAGCAGCTAGCGTCGTATTCCCAAGGAATTTCGCATCGACTAGCCAAGTGTCTTTGGTGGAAGAAGAGAAGTCGAAGAAGGGTTTGAAGAGGTTTAGACCGAAGCATATTGTGCTGTCAAGAGACAAGGACAAGGAGGCTAAAGAGAAGCCATTGCCGTCGCCAAACCGATTGGCACCAAGTGGGTTGTCGAAGGTTATGAATGCCTCGACCACAAGCCTGGCTGAGTCACTGTCTTCCAACTCCTCCTCCCTGTATCAGCTTGCCAACCCATCATCGTCGACTATTGTGCCTTTCCCGGAGCAAAGGGAGCAGAAAGACAAGGCCCACAAGCACCATGGTCTGCGCCAGAAACTGAAACTCAAGGACAAAGACGAGACCTTTGCCCTTCCACTCTCTTCTGCCAACTCAAATTCCCGTCCAGTGGACATCAACAACCCGCAATCCCTTTATTCCTTTGCTCCCCCGTCTCCTAATCCGTCGTCCAACTTTGCCAAATCGGTCTCGGGGCTTGACCTTCGCCATGGAGGCCGTGCTCTTCGGGAAAAGAAGAAGGAAGAAAAAGCCCAGGCTGCATTTGCCAACCTCGAACCTGTCTATAGCCGAGGAGAAAGCGACACCTCCGAATGGCCGTCCCTCGGGACCAGCTTTACCAATCAGTCGGTCAGCAATTTCAACACATACAGCGAGATCAAAGAAGCAGGGGCAAACTTTGGTCTCTCCAACATGTCCGCAGATGACGCTTGGGATCTTCTGAGGGCAAAAATATTGGTGACATTCGAAGGAGAAGATGTACGAATAGCCGTTGAAGACTTGAACAAACTCGTCACAATTCATGTGCAGAGATGCGTGCAAAGAAAAGATCCCAGCATTGTGATTGGAGATCTGGAAGACCTCTTGAAGACTGGCTTTCTCAGCCTCAACCATACCCTGCGCAATGTCGCCGATAACAGCCTGGTACCCCGGCTGGTGGGTATATGGATGGAGGTGTTTGGCAAAATCCTCCCATTCATGCAAGCTGTCTTCCTTCCTCTTGATCAAGAATTCAAGGGAAGAGGCAGTATACTAACTACCCCCAAGATGGCCGCAGAATTCTGGGGAGCTTTACCAAGCCATGAGAGTGGGAGCAAGCTGTCATCGTCACCGGCATCCGGTGAGGGCGCAGACTTTGTGGTAGCTGCTGGAGAGGAGCTGGAGGTCAGACGCATTCTCCTCATCAGCTACCGGGACACCATCGTACTACCACGCTATGAGGTGCTCAAGTCGACCTTCTCTCGACTGAGTCTAGACAGCATCAACGCTTCGATCATGCAATTTGAGAACGGCAATAGAAATCGCGGCAACAGCGGCGGAAGTGACAGACCGGGAACTGCACAAGGCACTGAGCCGACGTATGGAAGCTACAACTCTCAGAGCAGCACATTGCTAGGCAGTATGACTTCCGGCGGCAGGTCTCGCGCAACGTCTAATCTGTCTGTGGTGAGCAATCCTGCACAGGACGTGGCCTTCCAATCATTTAGTTCTCCACCAGCAGCAAGGCCGACTGATAGTTCATCATCGCACGTCACAGAGACTGTGGGCCGAATGCTCCAGTGTTTATCGGTCTTGTGTTCGATCCAGTCAGGAGATGAAGCTCAGAACAAGATGGAAGAACTCAACAAGCAACTAAAACTGAATTGGCTAGGTCGGGGCCGCACTGGCAGGAATCGAAAGGGCTTTGTAGGGAGCAGAGTCCGACCCATGGGTCGTGGACTCGACCGCGAAGGGAGTCCTACACCGACACCCACCCGACAAGGAACGGTGAGCAGGCAGAGCGATGATACTGGCTGAGTGGACATGTCAGGGTTAGAGCATGTCGATAGTATCGTAGGATGACGGATGACCAGCGGTGGTTAACGACATGAATGAGATAATGCAATAGGCCAGCCTCGACCTGCAAGCTTCTCGTTATCCATGCATTTCATCTTGGTGGGACTGCAGCCTCTCACGCCTATAAATATGAATAGGAACGCGCTTCAGTCTCTCCATCTATCAACGTTCACAAAGCCCACGGATTTGAACTTTGCAACTACTGATTCGAACTCGAACTATCTCATCCAACTTGCTAAAATGCCCTTTATCCACTCCAGCCTGGACGGTGCATCGCTTCACTACGTTGACTACAACCCAGCCTCGAGCCGCCCTCGTTTCCAGCCCACAGACAGTCCGGCAAAGGACTGTAGCAACAGCGGTATAACACTAGTCTTTATCCATGGATGGCCAATGTCCTATCAGATGTACGAGCATGTGATGGTGCCACTCAGCGAAACGTATGGCATCCGATGTCTTGCATCCGACCGGAGAGGCTTTGGGAAAAGCGAATGGAACACCAGCCGCAGCAGCGACATCACGTACGACACCTTTGCGCAAGACACCATTGACTTGATTGACCATGTCAAGGTCGGCAAGTTCGTCTTCGTTGCGAGCAGCATGGGCTGCGGAGAATCGCTTTTGGCGTACCTCCAGATGCGACAAGAGCTGCAGAAACAATGTCAGGGATTGATATGGTTGGGTCCGAGTCTTCCGTTCCCACTGAAGACAGATACGAATCCTATGGCGCCCTCTCGAGAGCTGTGGGACATGATCTTAACCGGTTTCCGCCAGGATCGCATGGGTTTCACCAGAACCGCACTCCCCGGCGTGTTTGGCGTTCCTTTCAACATCGGAATCGAAGTGCCAGAGACAGTTCTGCAAAGATTCGAATGGATTGTTGCACAAGCCGACGCTCTTGCGATTGAGAGTTGCGTCCAGATCATCACAAACAGGGATTTCACCAACGATCTCAAGAAACTGGATGGGAAAGACGTGAGGGTTCTCGTTATCCACGGAGACAATGACCAGAGTAAGCGGATTCTGCATCGCCCTGTCGGTCTCATCCACAGTTCTCATGATTTTGCACAGGTAATCCCGCCGAAGCCACTGCGCACCTCATTCCGAACCTCGCAAAGCAAGCCCAAGTCAAAATCTACGAAAAGGCGGCGCACGGTATGTACCTCACGCACGCAGATCAGGTCACCGGGGACATTCTCTCCTTCGTACTCGGACTTTGAAAGAGCGGGGAACGTCTAGGCGGAGATTTCGAGGCCTATCGCAGCGCGTTGACCATCATCCTTGCGCTCTTCGCACCCCACATCGCGCAAAGCAACCTCGTATTCTTGGTTGGCTACGGGCGTTCGTTATGAAATCCATAACGTTATGGCCTGCAGCTACGGCACTTTGGCATGTTCGCTTGTCGGGAGGTAGTTGTCGTCTTTAAATCCAGACTTGACGTTGCTAACGGTGGTGATAATCTTCCTGGATCGAGGAGACGAAGTAAACGGCATAGTACAAAATCCAGGAAATTCACGAGAGCTTCTATTGTTCCTGGGGTCTTCGGCTGTTGTTTTTATTGATTCCTGAAGAGTTTCGCTTGAACCATACTGTCTCCAGGTTGGCTGTTCAGGATATTATCTTTGCCCCATCACCATCATCCACTTGAGGCTCCGTTCGTCTTCTTCAACTTCGCTCCAGCTCTACGGGGCGATGGCGGAGAAGAAAGGTCAGGTGAAGCGCAAAGCCGCGCCGCTGGCGATACCCCAGCCTGGCGAAAATGCGGCAGAAAGGAAGCGAGTGCTCAACGTCCTCGCCCAACGACGATATCGCCAGAGGCGAAAAGAGCACATCAAAAAGCTCGAAGCCCATGCAGCAGACGTGAATGGGGATGCCAACGTGTTCTATGGCCAGGGCCCTCCTTCGCCTACGAGCCCAAGCGCATCATCAAATGCCGACGGAGCACATACAGACACTGGTGGTCAAGTATTGCATCCAACCTTCCAACCATCAGACATGTCGTTCGATGACGGTGCTTGTGATTACCCGGTCGAGACGGCGGCGGAAACTGTAACGCTCCCTACCCTGTCGGATGCCTTTGCTACGTACGACGCATATTCCTTCGCTGGTATACCTACTCAAGATCAGGTACTCTGGGATACATCGGTACTGCTTCCTTCATTGCCGAGCACACCGCTGTCATCATCGAAGCATACATCTTCGAGCGAGAGCGAAACCTGGTCGCTAGCACCTCTCCCGGTAGACCAAGGAACTCCGGGGACCGGTCAGACGACGCCTCAAGGGACCTCGATTTTTGATCAGGAGATGACATATTCATTTCCCGACGAAGCACACTTGGAGATGGCCGAGCTTACCTTACTGCGGGGGTGCATGGCAATTGCCAGACGCATGAAAGTGCAAGACATCATATGGTCCCTGACCTCAACGTCGCCGTTCGCCGATTCTTCCACCAGCCTGACACAATTCAGTTACCTCCCGAGTAATTTGCAACCGACGCTGGTCCAGATGACTATCCCACACCACCCGGTCATTGACCTCCTGCCATGGCCGTTGGCGCGCGACAGGATGATCAAAGTGTTGTCACAGCCTCCTCAGTTTCGACCACCGGGGGCGGCCTCTCCAACGGCCCTGCTAGACTTTGTATATGACCTGGAAGACAGCGCAGAGGGGGTAAGAATAAGCGGTGGTGATCCCTACTCGGAGATGAACTGGGAAGTGGGCGAAAAGGTGTTCAAGTCGTGGTGGTGGATTCTCGACAGAGATATCGTGAAGAGAAGCAATGAACTGCGTGCTTCAAGGGGGGCGCCGATGCTAGGGAGCGGGAGTATTCTGGGAGAGGTGGTATGACCAGGGCCAGGGCAAAGAGGTTGGGAGAGGCCTTCTTCCTCTCTATGAAGTAATAACATCCATCATCATCTGCAATGATTGACACGGTTCGTTGCTATCTTTGGATCGTTTCCAAGGATATCGCGTATTCAGACAGGGTTGCATCCTGGAAGGCAGGCAGGCCCCTGTCCGCTCGTTCTTCGCTATCGTGACCGAAAACAAAAGCCATCCCCGGTCTCCGAGCATTGGTATCAGTACGTACGAGTAGGGAGCATTCACCTGCTCGCATCTCGAGTACCGGCGCTCGACAGGACTCGGTCATCCACGCATGCATGCCTCGCACCCTGCGGACACGTGCGGGAGGTCGGGCCGTTAAGCTTTTGGTCCATGCTTTTCCAATCTCCCCACTTCTCGTAGTTGTACGAGTATGCAGCGCCTGTCCTTTTCTCTTCTTTGCGGTTGTCGAATCTCGACTGGGTGCTCGTGAGGGCAATTTCACGCCAGCCACCAAAGCAACATGGCGGAGGTTAGAGCGGCATGGTGTGGTCGAGGCGTTCGTGTTGCATAATGCAATTTCGGGGCCATGCCTTCGCCCCACGAGTCAGCTCCATATCATTGGAAGCATACGAGAAGGTGGCTTTCGGAGGATTGGGCGCGGACGCGAGAAGCGAGCTCCGACTTGAATCCCCCGCCCTGCATTGTGTTTTTTTGGTGTTTTCATCATCCTTTTTCTCCTGTCGTCCCGAACAAAGTCTTGCGCGAATCATAGCCCGTGCTCTTCACGTGGCGTGTAGATGTTCGGAGGTTGATGTCTCCCAAGGTGCTGCGTGGCAATAGGTCAGCAACGACGAGAACAGAGCCTCAGAGCGCCAGAGCAAGCGTGAGAACCTGATACCTTCGGGGTCCTTTCATCATGATGCTGCAATTCTCCGACGAGAGGACCAGTTGGATTTGGTTACCGGGGACGAGCTGCTTCTCGTGCTGACCGGGTCTAGCCTCTTGCAGCAGCCTTCTGGGCCTCGTTAGCGAGGGTTCTCCTTGTCTGTTGGAGCCGAACTGGCGTTGGACTCCTTATCTGCCAGGGCTGAGCCATCGCAGGCCTGCCCCATTCGGCAAGATCCCCTGGTTCTGACAGTGACAATGCCATGTCGTGGAGAGTCTGGCCTTGCAGTCGTCGCCCTGCGCTATTCTGTGCTAGGCGAGCTGGACCCGTCGGTACCTGCATGAGGCTGCAAGTTTGACTGCATCGCGCAAGCAGCTTGCAGAGCTAGCTTCGCCCGTCAGGTTGCCTCTGGCACCGCCCTTTGCCGTGCAGGGCCATCAAAGTCCCGAAGTCCAGCTTTCTCGTCTGCGTACCGAGTACACCAGGGCAGCCCTCTTCCATCTGGGATTCCACAAGTTAGGTCCAACCGTTCCCAACTTCGTCCATTCTTTCCTTCTCGCTCGTTACTTTCTTTTCTGTTTGTGTGTGTTGATGTGATTTCGATACTTCCACAATCCTATCCCAACGGCCACCGGCGCGGAGAGGCCATTGACCTCGACAGTACCTCGTCGATTTCGCTCATTCCGGTTCACGATGCGTCGGTCCCTCGCTCTCTTCCTCGGCCTCGCCGCGCTGGGATTTGCCCAGGAGGGTGGTACTGCCACGACTTCGACCGACTCATCGACGACTACCCCTACGGATTCAGTCACTACTGCCCCCGCTACCACATCTTCAAATCCAAGTTCCAGCGCAGGTTCGAGTAGCTCGACAAATGCCACGAGCACGACGCAAGGCCCCATAACACATACGGTTGCAGTGGCTTTGGTATGCAACGCTCCAAAGAGGGTCGTGGCAAGGGTTATAACTGATACATTGAGTAGGGAGGGTTTACGTTCGTTCCCGACGTAACTCTGGCCGAAGTTGGCGACACGATCTTGTTCCAATTCTACCCAACAAACCACTCCGTCATTCGCGCTGAATATGGTTATCCTTGCATTCCATACGAGGACACGGGCGTCGACAAGGTCGGATTCTTCTCGGGCTTTTATCCTGTCGACGCAATATTGCCCGACCCGCCTCAATGGTCGATTCTGGTCAATGACACAAACCCCATCTTTTACTACTGCGGCGCCCCAGGATCGTGTATATCTCATCAGATGGTTGGGGTCATCAATCCCAATGCTACGACATCCCTGCAACACCAAAAAGACCTGGCATCGGAATCACAGTTCATGTTACTACCAGGTCAACCTTGGCCCGACGAGAGCGAGGATCCTTTCACCACGTCGTCCCCAGCTCCCAGTGCGTCGCCGACTGCTTCTTCCACCGGGTCGGCATCCGCCAGTGCAACCAGCGCCAGTGAAAAGTCATCCTCCAGCTCAAGCCTCTCTGGCGGTGCAATCGCGGGTATTGCAATTGGAGCCTCTGCCGTTGCTCTCGCGGCAGCTGTCGCCCTCTATCTCTGTGGCCGTCAATCTCGCGCTCGCGGGTCCAACATCAAACACATCGACGACCGCCCCAACACGGGCCACGCTACTCAGGTTTCCTACAACCCACAAGCGCCGCATAGCCACCTATCTTACATGACCGATCCGACCAAGCATATGTCCATGCACAGCAGCGTCGTGGGCATGGCACCCTCACCAGCCCTGCCGGGATACGTGCCTTCACATGATCCTAACATGTCACCCCCTCTGCATCCCGCGTATCCGATGCCAATGAGCGACTCTCTGAGTCCCAGTCCGATGGCGCCAGGAAGTGATTTCGCCTTACCACACAGTCCGAGCCCGAGTCAGATGTACGCAGTCCCAGCGTATAGCAGCGGTGTTCCGCATAGCACGTAAGCATGGATAACTACCAAAACGGGCCCAGGAACATAAAAAGCTAACTTTATCAATAGGAACGGAACCCCTGTCCACTCCATGATATACAGCGCCCCGCCACCGCCGCATGTCCATGAGATGGCGGCTTCGGAGCCTCTGCCCCATCCCCAGTCACCACAGTCCCAGGGGGATGGGATTATGGGCTTCATTCGGAGGTCAAGCGTTAGTAAAGCCGGGGGCGTAGAACGGTACGGGTGAAGAGCCACAACGTCGCCATCTTCCGCTTACCGTAGGTGCTGGGGCTGGCGATTGAACCGGACAAAGAGAAAAAAATGTAGGCTATTTAGCAATGTATTCTGGGTGGAAATCTACTGTTGGGTAATTATGGCGCATCGATTTTTGACGGATATCTGTGTCAGATCAAAGCATGAGGAGATGAATGTCTAAAGGGCAGTTCCTAGAGGCGAGCTAGGCGTATTTTCCGAAGGGGTGCAAACAGGCTTGGGACGAAAATCAAAAACCTGAGATTAATACGAAGCATCAATGGCCACATTGGTTCGGGCCACATTGGCTTGACACAGATCTAATTTCATAGATTCCTGTTGACGTGTAACCGATGGCGACCGACAATCCAACCACAGGACTCAGTACAGATCTTGGGCTCTTGGGGCTCCGATGGCAGTGACGGGTTCGATCTCCGTCTCAGGAATCCTGAGACCCTAGAAGTCCCACCGTCAATCCCTTCATCCTCCGCTTCAGCAGGTCCTCTTCGCTGCCGAGACTCACGAGGCTCTTGCTTCGGCCAAGATTGTCGGCGCCCTTTTGCTTGTCTTCCTGCTTCCGCCGGTTGTTCTCCCCTTTCGTTGCTCCATTGGGCCTCGCCGCCGCCGACGAACTTGCTTCTTTGCCGGAGCTTAGGCTAGACATGACCAGTGGTGCATCGTCATCCATACTCTCTCCCGTCGGGGTCCTTTTGTGGTGCCTCGTTTCGGTTGTCGTGGCAAGCTCGAGCGAGCTGCCCGAGTCGTGCGTGAACGTTCCCTGTCTCAACCTGCTTTCAATCGCGGGGCCCTCGAATTGATGCGGTGGCCTTGCGAAAATCTCTTGGATCCACTTCCCACAGCGGAAGATGTGTTTCCAGCCCTCTGGAAAGATGCTGACGAAGGACACAAAGCCGTGTGATATTCCCGGAATCAGGGTCACCTCAACATGGTCCTTCTCATTAAACTCGGCCGTCGACTTCTCTAGGCCAACCTCTTGTCGTTCACGGAAGAGATGGAGTTTCGCTTGGCGTAAGCGACCGGCGAAGATGACTGTGTCATCCACCAACGGGTCGCGTTCGCCGGTCAGGAAGTACGTTTTGGGAAACTTCGCGAGGAGCCCTTCAGAGGCGACAGCGGGACAAAGCAAATGATCTGTTGTAAAGTCGGGTCGATGGTATGGCCCCACGTAGAGGATGATCATTGCACGCATCATCTCCGGAGTGAGGATCCGGTCGCCAAAGTAGGAGATGATGCTGGAGACGGCCAGTCTGGTTTTGAGCGGTTGAGGCTTAGAGAGCGCGACAGCCTGCTTTTGGGCTTCCACGTCGGTGTTCTTTCGGTCAAGGGGCATTTCCTCTTGGACAGGGCTCTCGACTCGAGGGGCGAAGAAATCGTGATTAGGGTCGTCCTCGTCGTCGCTCATCGGACGTGGAGTTGTTGGAGTATATCGGCGATCGATATCCTCACTCTTGCGCTTGATAAACCGCTCGTATTTCTTCGCTGTCCGCGGGTTACGGATCAGCGCCATTTGATCGTCCGTCATCCAGCTGCCAATGTTGAAGTCCAAGGCCGGGTACAAGAGAACCAGTCCAGCAGGAGTCGGCAGGATTCCTCGAGAAGTGCTGCTCTGATTCGACTGAATCACCATCAAAGTCGTGCCACATGCCAGATTTCCACCTGCGCTGTCGCCCGTGATCACGATCCTTGGGCACGTGTCCGGTTTCATCCCGATACACCGGCCTCGAGTTGCCACGATCTGAGTGTAGACGTCAAAGCACTCATTCAGAGCGTACGGGTAAGGATATTCGGGCGCCTTGCGATAATCGAGACTAAGAATTGGCAGCCCGGTTCTTCCGGCCAACGCAAGCAACTTGTCATCACTTGTCCTCGGGTCCATGGCAACGAAGCCTCCTCCTGGGATATCTAGAACCACGTTCTCCTGCTTCTCCAACTCAGCGAGGGAGCCGTCGAAGTACATCCATGCAACTACGGGTTCTTTGTAATGAGATTGTCTTGGGCGAGGGATGCGAATCCGCCGCGGCTTGTATTTGGTGAAGCGAGGGCGTAATAACGCCGTGAAGAACTTCAGGTAAGGTGTGGTTGGCTTGTTCCATGCGACTCGTAAATGATCGACCGTCAGAACAGCGCGAACTTTGCGGACTTTTTCATCCGCTTGCTCTGCCGAGAAGAGATAGTACACAGAGAATATGATTGAGCATAAATCCCTGAGGGCCTTGTTTCTAATCCTCATAGCGCTCCAGAAACCAGCGTCCAGAGCCGTGGTGATCCATGTGGCTCGAAAGTATGCTCTGTTGTACAGGTTTGCGAGGGGTTCGGGGGACTCGAGGCCAACGATCTTCGCAAAGTTTCGGCATATGTAGAGCCAGAGGAAGGTCAAGACAATAGATTGCCAGACAGTGAATCGTTTCGAGAGGCGCTGGGAGATGGATCGAATGAGTGGAGGGCCATGCTTATCGCCTCTTATCCTGTCATAAGCAAGCGATCTTCCAAAGCAGAACAAAGAGATTACCTCAGAAGGTAGAGTGACCAGAACGAGACAACTGCGAAGACCTGGACTTTGCGGAACTGAGACGACGGCCGGCCCAGCACATGATCTGCCCACTCTGATCAGCGCAAAGGACTTCACGACAAGGGCGGTTCTTAAGCAGACCTATCATACTTGAGATTCACTGGGCGCCAGAGACATCAATCATAGATTCAAAAGGGAAGTCGAATGCAGGGCAGTCGGAGAATGCCACAACAAGACAACGCCATTCCAGAGCACGGACAACTACCGAGCTTTTGTCCGCATGCAGAGAATGGAAGAGAAAAGGAAACACGGTAGAGTTCTGGAGCAAAAGCATAGAAGGCCACCGGCTGACAAGGAGGCACAGAACCTGTGACCACTGCCATCGCAACGAAGACTCCTCTGACGTTGTAGCCCCGGAGTCCGGGTGGCTGTGGCATGCTCAGGTACCAGAAACGGCGAGCGAGGATGCGGAAACCCACGTTGCGGGCCGAAGGGCATGTGAAAGTTTGGCCATCAGGTGACGCACCGGCATGTGAAAGCGATACCGAGTATAGTCGACACACAGATACACCAGCTATTTGTACTCCAACTAACAAGTCGAAAAGGGGTATTCGCTGCATTAATGTGCCGATTGTCTATTCCACAGCCTCGTCCATATTTCTTGGGAAAATGCCTCCTGGGTGTCTGTCCCGAGATGAATTAGTATTTCCCAGACCCAAACCCGCATTCTCGTCCTGTGGGAATTTGCTGCACTATCACTTTAATCTCCGCGTCTCCCAAGATGATCATGTTGCTCCTGCTGCATTTTGAGATCATGTCTAACCAATCCAGGACTCTAAGAGTCATAAGAGAACTGGCCGAAATGAGGTGGACCGTCTGATGCGGCCTGGTGCGTCCCAATGCACATAAAAGATTTTGCATGCTGCATTGCGCCCGCTCTCGAGGATACTCCAATGTGGGGGTTCTGCGCTGAACTCTCATCGTCCATATTGTCTCAAGGGTGACAGTATTAGACGCCTTCCTGTTCAACGCCGTCAAGAGAATGGTAGATGATCTCTAATCCAGCCTGTCACTCCTCCACTGTTTCCACCATTGCGACTCCCGCCACTGCTCCCACCTTGGCCTCTTGAGCTATGTCGTCTCAGGTCACTGAGAGTGCTTGCATGGCGATGGGTTTCAGGGCGTTCCACATCGTAGTCATGTCTCCTGCCGTAATATGACTCTCGGACTTCTCGTATCGTGCGGGGAGTCTCTGGAATCGGCGCTGGGTGGTATCGACCGGCTTCAGGGCCATAGGCACGTGGACTTGATACTGACGATGCTCGCCGGCTGTGTCTCCGTCTTGAAGGTCCCGGCCGCAATCGATCTTCCGGATCCGTGATGGGTTTCCGACAGTGGGGGCAGGTATCATGTTCTTTCAGCCACGCTGTTACGCAGTCACCGTGAAACCAGTGATTGCATGGAAGGACAGTCACCTCGTTGTTCAACTCAACGTTGTCCATACATATTGAACACTCAGCCTTCCCTTCTTCGCCTAGCATTTCCCGGTCGACCTTCTTCTTTTTGAGAGACAGGATGGCTTCCTCTGACGCAGGCGGAGGTGCGGTACTTGCATTGTGTTGCTCCATGAGCTGTGTCATAACCCGGTCAAAGGCTTCTTGACTGTACACCATATCGCCAGTTCGAGCGTTCGCGGGGTTGAGCATTTGATGGAGAAGGTCAAATGGCAAAGGGGGTTGGCCTCCTCTTCGTCTGTCGTCAGGGTCTGGACCATGAAGCCCTTCTGGTTGCATTGATTGCAAAATGAGGGAGAAGAGACTGCGAAAGATTCAGCACAAAATCACCACCGTGCCTATGAAACATACTCTTGCAAACCCGCCGGCTGCAAATGGAAGTGAGGGTCATCCAATCCGCCTGCGCCTTGTCCTCGCGGGAATCCGAAGGGGCTTAGAGGGACAAAGGGAGCAGGCATGCCTCGATTATGTAGTTCATCCAGTCGGGTAAGCAATTGCCCCATCTCATCAATCACTTCATGTAGGTCATCTACTCGTACATTGCGCCCATCGCCCCGCCATGAACGGGTGCTGAGAACCATTCTCCCACCTCCACCGGTGGTTGTAAACTCGAACGTCGTAAAGTTGGTTCCATCATCGTCGTTCGCATCTTCTGCCCAAGGATTATGGCTCTGTAGCCCAGTGTGATCATGCAGGTCTCCGGTAGGTGGTGATGGCGGGTCGACGGGCAAGGGCAGAGAGGGCGGTCGGTCTAAGTCGTAGGTAGACGGGGCTTCGCCGGGTTCGAGCTGGTGTGTCGTGTTAGCACTGACTTTCCCACGGGTTGGTGAGGCTGCATACAATCTCAGTGAAATCGCCTTCACATCGGGGACAGGTGAGTCCTCCGTGCGCCCGATCCCATTCGTTCTGGCACTGGTGACAAAAGACTCGTTCACCTTGTATTCTTGACATGACGATGGTTTGAGGTCGATTGAAGGCTAACTTGAATGGACAGTGTGGTATTTCAGGCGCACAGATGGCGTGGGGACAAGGCTGTCGTCATGCGCAAGCTGGGTGTGGCGTGGATATGCGGCACCGTGCGTTTCGTATGGTGGTCTGGGGAAGAGTGGCGTCCCCTGCGGGAGAGCGTGGAATGTGTCGTTGCCTAGTGGTGTCGATCGCACAAGGACGAAATATCCTTTCTAAGTGGACGGAGAGGGAACGGGCGAAATGATATTTGGGTTATTGATGAATCAAAAGATATCAGATAATTGACCAGAGAGCCCAGTAGGTTTCCGTTGTCTGCGTGTCACCGGGGCGGGATTGCATCACCTCCAGATCACCGGCCTAGGTTATCGATAAAAGCAAACTTGTGCCTGTTCCACTTCGTAGTAAACTAGAGCGCGAAGTAATTGAGGATGAAATATTGCCGACTTGTCTTCAACCCTCAACAATGACCAGACCCATCCGATCACTGGGTTGGCTTGTTCATATGCATTATTCGACGCCGTTCCAAGTCATTCTTCCGGACCAGGCATTCTCCTTGCCCAGGCAATTATCCTACACAGCCCCAAAGCAAACGCAAAGGCCGAAAACACGTTGTCACCTCTTTCGCGACCCTCTCATTAACATGCCTCCAACGATGCCCGCAGCAACAGCGACGCCGCCAATGATTGCAACACCCATCAGACCCTCCCTTGATACCTTGTCATCGATCAGTTGGCGCAGGCTGGCGGCCTGTAAATTTCCTGGTTCCTTGTCTAGTAACAACTCGTTATATCTCCTCGCTTCAGCATAGTTCCCTAATTTGTAGTTTCCCAACGCCAGATAGTATAAGCATTCCCTTCTCCTTTCAGGAGTCGTTTTGAAAATGTCAGAAAGTAGCTGAACACCAAGTTGTTGCTCGCTTCGCTGGTTCGATTTGATCAAACCCTATCACCATCAGTTTGGACATTTGTATTGGCCGGTCAGGGAATAACTGTACCCATGCATAGTTGAATTTCGTCTGTACCCCAACATACTCGCCTTCCTTCTCGTACTGGGCGCGCAGAACTTGTAGTTCCGCCGGTTTGAGAGGGCTGCAGGCAGATAGAGTCAGACCTGTCATCCACCGTAGTCGAATGTGACCACCAACCTTTCTGCGTCTGCGGCGTATGGTAGATTCGACGGCATCGCAATAGTCAATCGGGCGTTTATAAGGTATGCGCAGGATGGTGAGGCAGTGATAGCATTCGAAATAGCGATTTCGGTTGGGAGCCTTTTGAGCGCAATTGGAGTTGCAGGGTCCTGTGGCTCAGCAAACGACGCAGTGGCTTAGGTATGACGTCCGCCATAAGGGGGCCTTCGTCAACTCCCCAATAAACACCCTCGCAAATTGTAGGCAGCCTTGGGAGGTAACTTTTGGCTGGTTGCTCCCCGCGACCAATGTCAACAATAGATGCACAAACTAAATCCTGTCAACTCCACGGCCACTTTACCATTAACCACTGTTTTTTTTTTTGAGGCCAACATCGCCCAAAATGCTTCTCGACGAGGATCCAGCTACTGTAAGTGACCCAGCTTGTCAACCTCTAGACCATCCTGACGCGATGCAGCTCATCCGCGCTACAATTTCCAACTTCAACATTGCACCCGACAAAGCCGCGCTGTCGCGCGTTAATGACTCGTTATCCACCCTACAACAATCCCGTGAGCTTCGCATTCGAGACGCAGAGACTGCGCTGAGAAAATTATCTCGCAAATTGGCCACGCTTTCCTCTCAACATCGCGAAGTGCTCTCTAGCCATGACAGCGGCAGACATGCCAGTGAGATAGTACAACTCGATACCAAGAAGTTCCGGGTCGCCAAACAGGCCTCGGAGGTAGAAGCAGAGAGCGAGAGACTAGAAGCCGAACTTGAGCGATTGAAGATACGACTGTGCTCGTTGGAAGAGCAAGGTGTCGAGGGTGACGAGAATACACGGCAAGCCCGGGAGGTTGATGATCCCACCATGTGCGTTGGCTGCCACAAGATGCAGGAATCTGTGCTGACCTAATAATAGATTGCGTCTTTGGCTATACAGATCACTCGGCATCGCGCTGGAGCAGGACGAGGCAGGGAACTACAATAAGGCGACAATTGCAAACACGAAGAAAGGCGATGTGCATGTTGTCAACATCGATCCCAAATTCTCGAAGTGGTTTTACGCAGACTACTTCTGGCAAACGATGCAAGGCTGATGTTCACGACCCGTCACGAACTTAATGAGCACAAAGCGAGGAGTCTTGGTCTGGGAACAATTGGGATGATTTTGTCTTTAGCATGAAGGTCGTTTGCAATTCCGAAATACACCACTATGTCAGGATGGGTGAAATGGAAAGCTGTCGTTGCCCAAGCTCCAATTTGAAGTTGTTTTTGGCTGCTAGATCTACGTCGATACCTTGGGTCCTGTTCCTGGTTTACAGCGCCAGACTGAACATCCTGCTTCGTCCAAGTACTATACAACTACACAAGCACCATTGCAGCCGTCCTTGAGTCAGTTGGCTTGGATACCACCACTTGCGCTGCTGAGAGTCTGCCTCAATATTTTATCTCCATTTTATTGCCTCAACTAGTCCCGGACGTGACACATTTCCCCTCGCACAAACTGTAGATGATCTCTGACAAACGATTGAGATATAATCTGGAACCTGTTCTCGGTGTTATTTCTGGTATTCGGTAGATGTGGTTGATATCGCGCTCGCGCGATAGGGCGGCATGACCAGAGCCTGAGTTGGTGATTGTCAGGGCTCTGATTCGCCCAAGAAAATATCAGCGCGGGCGTCGGGAAAACTCAATATTCCTGTTCCGGCTACGCTTTTCTAGCTGCGACAAGCCCAAGATCATTCAATGCATAGGACCAGTGTCGACGGACTCCTCGACAATGCCGCGCAAACCGTCGACACCGCTCAAGGTGAAGAAGAACCTTCTGGGTGAAGTTGTAAGTACAGATGGAACTCCTCTCTCGCCCAAGTTACTGACTGCTTGCGCAGAAAATCAGACAGTCATGGAACAAATACAACCTCTACAACCTGGCACGACAGATGCCTTACTCGGGAAGATCACATAACTTTTTCAAACAAAAATGGACATCAAAATCCCTGGCGCGAAACTACCATGGTGAACATATCCGCGAGAAACAATGGCTGCGAATGTTCGACAGGAGGATTCGGTCCGTGGTACCTATGGATGCAGAGTACTTGGCTTCCAATGATGGCTCTCTTGAATCGGCTGGTCGTGGATCCGGGTTGGAGGCAAGAGGGAAGCAGAAGACCGCAACACCAATACCATACATGCAAATGACCTTTGCACCGATGGAGCGGAGATTGGACACGGCCATCTTCAGGGCCATGTTCGCCAGTAGCGCTCGTCAAGCCAGGCAATTTGTCGTACACGGAGCGGTCAAAGTCAATGGCAAGCAGGTGAGGCTGATATTTCTCGTTTTCAATGTGGCAGTCTTAACGCGAGAAACAGATGCGATACCCGGGGTATCTGCTCAACCCTGGAGATATGTTCCAGGTTGAACCGCAACGAGTTATGTGGGCGACAGGAGCACCCAAAGTCCCGCTAAAGGCGACAAAGAGCGAAGACGCTGGAGAGGAGGATACTACTGGAGAAATATCAGCAGAGTCTGCCGATGAGGAAAAGGCCTCTGAACAAGCTGCTGAAGATGATGTCGATGTTGACAGAGATCCTCGGGAGGTGCTCAAAGACCTACGAGCCAAAGCGAAGAGCATCCTCGCGACATCGAAACGAGATATTGGGGCGAAACGGAAGCAGGACCTTCGGGCGTTCTCCATCGCCATCAAAAAGCTGCTGTCACGATCCGCATCATCGACAATCCTCACAGACAGTCTGGAAGCTCAATTTGCGGAAATCCAACACCAGCTAAACATCCGGAAGGAAAATCAAGACGCCGGCGTGAGCAGTCTGCCTTCTGAGCCAAGTCCAAAGACAGGGACAGCGGCCGAATCGGTTGCCCCAGAACCTAAGGAGGAGACTATCCTGACCGACGCCGATTACAACGAGCTCTATGCAGCACTTCGCTCTATGCATGAGAACCCTGTCGATGACTCCAAGCCTTACGCTACTCCGTGGATGCCGCGTGATTACATGAGTGTATTTGCCTTCATCCCTCGATTCCTCGAAGTCAACCACAACATCTGCGCGGCAGTATACCTGAGACACCCCGTTGCAAGACCAGGCTTGGCCGAGGTGCCCAGTCCCTACCAAGCTGAAGTTCATAGTACAGCCTTCGCGTGGTATTTGAGACGGAGATAAAGGTCTAGCGTGAATGCTGAGACGGACATTTTGTACTACTACAGGCACTGCTGCATGGCGATGGGGGCTGGATAGACTTGTGTACAATGAGAAAAGTGTCTCAACCATAAACCGGTCGTCTTTCGAATTTCTAGGCATCTCTAGCATCTATCTGCCTAGTATCTACTCATGAAAGTCTTACAATTACAGGAGCGGGTTGGACCGGTACTCTGGAGCCGATTCGCCGTTGATCTCTGGTTTCTTCGCCTGCTTCTCCTTTTCAAGGTCCAGTTCGGAATCCTCCAACTCGGCCAGGTACTTCTCCGCCTCGAGAGCCGCTATGCATCCGCTTCCGGCGCTGGTGATGGCCTGGCGATACCGTTTGTCTTGCACGTCTCCGGCCGCAAACACACCCGAAATGCTGGTATAACTTGTGCCCGGTTTTGTCAAAATGTAGCCGTCTTCGTCTGTATCCATTTGGCCCTTAAACATTGCGGTTGCTGGATCGTGGCCAACTGCGTAAAACAGTCCATTGGCTTCCAGAACTTCCTCTTCTTTTGTGACCACATTTCTGACCTTCAGATGTGTCATAAGTCCTCGCGGTTTATCTTCTCCCTGTACCTCGACTGCGACGTGGTTAAACTTGACCGTCACCTTTGGATTCGCCAGCAATCGTTTTGCCATGGTTTTTGAGGCTCGTAACTTGTCCCTCCTTACCAGCACAGTGACGTGGGAGCCGTATTTTGTCAAAAACATGGCCTCCTCTGCGGCAGAATCACCTCCTCCGATCACAACGAGCGGTTTGTTGCGGAAGATGGGAACGGCGCCGTCACAAACTGCGCACGCCGAAATCCCGTTCTGCCAATATATCTCCTCGCCAGGCAAATGTAACCGTCTCGCATTTGCGCCGGTCGCAATGATGACCGCATCAGCCGTGTGTGCAGGCTCATCTGATTCTCCGTCTTGGTATTCTCTCCATAAGCGAAACGGACGTGATTTTAGGTCGACCCTTGCGATCGTTTCCGTGATGATCTCCGTACCAAACCGGAGGGACTGTGCTTTCATCTCTTCCATCAACTCTGCGCCACCAATACCCTTGGAGAAGCCCGGGAAGTTCTCCACGTCGGTAGTGGTTGTTAACTGGCCGCCCGCCGCGGTGCCACCGGCAAGAAAGCCTTCATACATGATGGGCTTGAGCTCGGCACGGGAGAGGTAGATCGCAGCAGTATGAGCGGCAGGGCCGGAGCCAATAATGGCGACCTTGGTATGAGGAGGCGCCATGGCGCGCAAAAGAGAGGTGGAAAAGCTCGCTTTAGCGGGTGACTGTTGTTTTTCGATGGAGACCGATGCGGCGGCAAGGGAGAGACTGAGGGACGAGCGCAGAGGCCGTGAGATGCGGTGCAGCTTCGAGTAAAACAGCTTGACGGATGAGGAAGAGAATGCGCGGGAGACTGGGGAGGAGGGAGTTTTAACGTTTCCGAAAGGTTGAGGGAGAGTAGAAATTCCAGCAACGTCGATTGACAAATTGTGAGAAGAAGTTCGTGTGTTTGGATTGCAAATCGCCAGAAACTGTGGCGGCCAGTGGCGGCGAAGTCGGGTCGAAGCGAGCCACCAAAAGCTGAGAGCTGGGGCAGCTGCCGCTGCAGATTCCAGGGGCCTCGAATTCCCTCGCAGCAAACACCATCTTTGACCTGCCCTTGATCACGGCATCACCTATCCATCTGGTCGGTCGCCCTACTTCAACGCAATTGGTAGCGTCAGCGGCTGTTTTACGCTTCTTTGGTTCTCACCTCGTCCCTTACGCTGCCCCCCTCTCAGCACATGGGAACAGCTCTCAAAGCAATTTACCCTATGACACGGTAGATGGTAATGGGTTTGTTCAGTGCACTTTTCCATCCCAAGAAGCTCCCCATGCTCGTGGTCACCCTCGATGCACTTGGAACATTGTACAATTTCCGGCACCCGGTATCTGTGCAGTACCTCCAAGTTGCTGAGAATTGCGGTCTCAAGGCCAAAGTCGATCTCCAACAGCTAGATCGCTCGTTTAGATCTTCCTTCAAGCATTACAACGCAGCCCATCCCAACTATGGCAAGAAGACACTCGCGAGTCCTGAGGAATGGTGGACGAAGGTCGTCAACCGGGCTTTCGGCAATCTTGTGGAAGGAGGAGAGGCGACACTGCCAAAGGATTTGGGGTCTGCCCTCTATACACACTTTTCCTCCGGTGCTGCCTATGAACCTTTTCCCGACGTGAAGCCTTTTCTCCAGAGTATGGCTGCTCTCAAGAAACAGTTTGCCGATCCAGAAGGACCCCTCGTGGCAACTGGGATTGTCACAAACTCCGATCCTCGAGTCAGGGCGGTGTTACAGGACATGGGTTTCCGCGTAGGACCTTCGACCATGCCCGATTTCGAAAGTGTAATGAAAACACACATGAATAGCCTCCGCGACCCGTCCAAAGTGTCTTTCGACAGTCCCTTCAGAGACTATTACAGCCTCCAGAACGACTTCGATTTCCTTTGCACGAGCTACGACGCCGGCGCGGAAAAGCCACAGGAGAAAATCTGGCTGGAAGCCCTCAGGCTTGTGTTCCCGATGCCTATTTCTCGATCCGAACAGAACTGTGAGCCGGCCTCCAGCATAACGGAAGCATTCAGAAAGGTGTCATCGGCCATCAGCCATCAGTCCGACATTTCGAGGATGCTGCGGATCCATATCGGAGACGAGTACTCCAAAGACTATGTCGGCGCTGTCGGTGCTGGCTGGGAAGCTCTTCACCTCGATCGAGAGGGAAGTGGTGCCGAATCGGCGAACGGTGTCAAAGTCGTCCAGTCCCTCGACGAAGCTGCCATGGTTATAAATCTGATGGCCCGAGAGTATTTCGTTCAAGCTGAAGACTGACAACCCTGAGACCTTGTATCCGCGACTGCCTGAACTGCTGCTCATAGTTCCAATCCCGAGATGGAATTGCACCCGCATCCATTGGGCCGGAGAAAGACGCACACCCATTGAAGTATCGTCAATTCTCCACGTCAGCGGCTCCAGAAGAGCCATGGCCCAATGAGAAGATACCGCAGTGGCATGCTTTCTGCAGCCTGCTTAGAGCTTCTCCAGCGCTTCATTGACATCACATTCTGTTCCAACACCCATCGAGATATTTTGTACTTGGTGACCTCGTGCCTCAGCCCTTTGTGAGAAGTGACCGGCAATCTTCAAACACTATCCAAAAGACATGGAAGAGGGCAAGTTCGACCACCTTCCGCTTGCCAACAAAGGCCCTCTCAAAGTACCCCTCTACGGCCGCCTACTTCTGGACAACCCTTTCTACAACAAGGGGACATGCTTCACCTCACAAGAGCGTCTGGATTTCGGGCTCAAGGGCCTCCTGCCCACCAACATCCAAAACCTCGATGAGCAGGTCATGCGAGCCTATCAACAGTACTGCAATCAGCCAGATGACCTCTCCAAGAACACCTTCATGACCTCGATGGCTGAGCAGAATACCGTGCTCTATTATCGTCTGATTCAAGATCACCTACGGGAGATGTTCAGTATCATCTACACTCCAACTGAGGGTGATGCAATCGAGAATTACTCTCGAATCTTCCGCAGGCCGGATGGTTGCTTTTTGAGTATCAAACACCCGGACGAGGTGGAGGAGCGATTGAGTAAATTTGTTAGAGAGAATGACCCTGACGGAGGGGTCGACTACATCGTTGTTAGTGATGGGGAAGAGATCCTGGGAATCGGCGATCAAGGGGTTGGAGGCATCTTGATCAGCGTGGCCAAGTTGGCTCTGATGACCATCTGCGGTGGATTGCATCCGGACCGAACCCTCCCAGTCATCCTCGACACGGGAACGGATAATGAAAACCTCCTGAACGACGACCTCTATCTCGGCCATCGGTTCAGACGTGTTCGAGGCCAAAGGTACGACGAGTTTTGTGACAAATTCATCCGCACGGCCAAAAAGCTTTATCCAAAGGCCTATGTCCATTTTGAGGACTTTGGTCTTCCTAATGCCCGGAGGTTGCTCGACAAATATCGCACCGAGTTTCCCGTCTTCAATGATGATGTTCAAGGGACGGGGTGCGTCACTCTGGCAGCGATCATGGCTGGCTTGCATATCAACGGGGTAAAGATGTCGGACTTGAGAGTGGTTGTTTTCGGAGCTGGGACTGCTGGGTGCGGCATCGCCGAACAAGTCCAAGCGGCCATTGCCACCCAATCCGAGAAGAGCAAGGAAGATGTTGCGAATCAGATATGGTAGGGCCTTTCCTTGATCCACGAAGAAGGGACTGACTGTTGCAGGTGTGTTGATAAACCGGGTCTGCTCCTTGACGACATGGGAGATACCCTCTCAATGGCACAGAGACCCTTTGCACGCGAAGCATCCGAATGGCAGGGCAAAGACACCAAATCCCTCAAATCGGTCATCGCCGAGGTCAAACCTCATGTCCTGATCGGGACGTCCACAGTCCCCGGCGCTTTCACCAAGGAAGCTGTCCAGGAGATGGCAAAGCACGTCGAACGGCCCATAATTCTCCCCCTCAGCAATCCTACACGTCTGCATGAGGCCAAGCCAGAGGACCTCATCCACTGGACTGATGGTCGAGCTCTCGTTGCTACAGGCTCGCCGTTTCCGCCTGTCAAGCACAATGGCAAGGAGATCGAGGTGGCCGAATGCAACAACTCTGTCTGCTTCCCTGGAATAGGCTTAGGTGGCGTCTTGTGTCGAACAAAATTGGTGACAGATAAGATGCTCGTCGCAGCCGTGACTGCACTGGCCAAGGAAGCTCCTGCTATGCGTGACCCGGAAAAGGCCCTTGTTCCAGGCGTCGAAATGGCCAGACCAGTCAGTGTCAAGATTGCAATGGCGGTTATTCGATGTGCGGTGGAGGATGGACTGGCGCAGACGACGGACATTCCTGTCGACTCTGATGAAGAGTTGCAGGAATGGGTGGAGGCGCAGATGTGGGATCCGGTCTACCGACCTTACGTGAGGCCTTGATGTGGAGAATACAGTCCTTGTCCAGACCTTCGAGGTGGGAGAAAGCCTCGATTTCGCAAGAGGCGTTGTACAGACGTGTAGGCTCCATTTGGCACTCTTATTCTCTTAAATACACCTTTGAGGACACCCATGACACTGAACGAATTTATTTTGCCGCCTTGCAACCGAATGCTCGTGCACAGAAACCCCCAAAGCGGGCTGTTCTTAACCGGGGACTCGATCAAGTTTCCTTTGAGTAATTGAGAATGTAAGGGTGAGAAGTTGCAGGAGCACATCCGATATTGTCCTCACCGTTCGCAGCTCAGGATTGTACGCTTGAGCGGCATGAGGAAGACCTTTTTACTCGCAGAAAATCATCTCTGAATTCAAAAGTAGTGACAAGAATATTCTATCCTGTGCGTTCTCGAAACGAATTTCCGATGAAGGATACAATCATTGAGAGCCGGGCGACCCTGACCGGGAAAGCCTTGTTATAATCTTCAGGCTATTTCCCGGGTCACTGCGGCGATATCAAGGCTTCGAGCCGCTCGATCACGACATCGTCGACCTCGAGATATCCACCGGCTCTAGTTTCCGCTCGGCGACGGTTCGAACGCTCAAAGGGAAGCCTCAACGCATGGCCTGGAAGGGTTGGAGTGGTATGGAAAGCAGTGATGAGATTCCCCACCTCTCGCTTGAAATCAGCCATAGGCCTGAACTTGGCTGGGTCGATTGCCATGATGAAGTATCCGAACTCTTCCAGATTCGGCGGCAGGGCAGGGGAACCGGCCAGGATCCCCAGTAGTTGAACCGCGATAGCCAAACCACTCCCTTTTGCACCGCCCCAGACTGCCAGGGCTCCCTTCAGCGCCTTCTCAGGATCGGTGGTCATTTCTCCGTTCTCGTCGAACGCCGTGTCGGGTGGTAATTGTTCATTTTTGCGCATGGCCAGCATCACCTGTGCATGAATGATTCGAGAGGTTCCAATGTCGTAGATAATGGGGACGCCATCAGTGGGGACTCCGATGCAGAAAGGGTTGGTGCCAACGAGAGGTTTGTATGTGCCTTGCGGAGCCACCCAGGGACTGCAGTTCGAGGCGATGATGGTCACAAGGTCCTCAGCTGCAGCCATCTCCGCATAGTAGGACAGCATGCCGGTATAGTATGTGTTGTTGGCTCCCACAGCAGACACACCACAAGCCTTGGCCTTCTCGATCGCCACCTTCGTCGCCTTGTGGGCTACTAGATAGCCCAGAGTGTCCTTGCCATTGAGCTGGGCTGTTGTGGGCGACTCCGATGTCACTTCGATGCCAGATGATGGCGTCTTACCGGCCAGTCTGTCGGCAATACTCAGGATCCGCGCGAGTCCTGCGATGCCGTAGCCTCGCAGCTCGCTGTCAAGCAGATGGTCACGGATAGTGGGAATGTCTTCTTCCTGGTATCCGATCTCCCGCAAGGCCCGGTCTGCCAACTGCTGAGCTTCCTCGAACGCGATTTTCATCTTGAAGGCACACAGAACACAAGAGAGAGTCAGGATTGGTACGAGGCCGTCTGCAGGGAGATTCTGAATCCTAACACTACCACAAGTTTTGTGAATAGACGGTGGCAGTGGTCAGAACCGAGGATACAGTCTGCGTCGGATGATCAGATCAGATTTGGGGAAATTTGGAGCAAGACAGGCTTGGGCTCCACCGAGACTCATTCGCGGCGCTGGACATCAGCTTTTCTCACTCACATACATACTCCAAATCTCTCGAGGTCCTCTTCCTAGTATTTTTCCGGGTTTCAAGAAGGAACGTGAATATCGTTCGACGAGAACGTGGCCCAGCGGAACCGACTAGCATACATTTATCCTCACTGTTGTCGCAGTTATTCCTCGCTTCGAGCGGCCAGCTGAACGACGCGGTCGGCGCTACACAGTGCAGTTACTCAGTGACATACACGAGAGCTCGCCGCAATGGTCGAGTCCCCTGAGCAACTGTTAGCCCAGCGGAAGGGGGTGTTGCGACGGCTAGCAACCTCAGAAGACACCACCCAAGCCTCATGAGACCTATCGCCAGAAACCCAGCAGCCAACCCTTTCAACCTCTTATCCTTTTCTGCACACTTCCATGTCCTCGGTTCGAACGGAAGCCGGGATGCCCTGGTGGCTTGAGGTCTGCTCGATGTATATTGTCCGCTCATTCTCATCCATTTCGCCTCGTTGAAGTTGGTAGCATCTGAGTTACCAGAGCATGATCTGAGGCAATAGGCTGAGCCACAACACGGACAGATTTGGGGGAATGTACCGAAAGTTCCACTGGTTCAGCTGCGAAATGGCGTGGGCGAAACTCAACATAGGGTTAACCAAACTTTGAACCCACTCAGGCGTATATATTTCAGAGCGCTACAGTCCTCGAGTCGTAAAAAGATGCCACAGTTGATGTCCGTACGTCTACAGCCGAAACCGTCGCGATCTCTGCAGTCACGAAAATCGAACTCCAGGATGGTTGCCCTGTCAACTTTGACCCATCTAATCAATGCTACGAGCATTTCTATCACGAGCGCGACCCAACCTTCTTCGGGAATCATCCGATCCGGAGAAAACCCCGCCGGTAAACTCCTCTCACGAAGTATCATACCGGAAGGCTGTTACGACACAGTTCACGTCGGCTGGGGTGACTATCTGGTCAATCGAACCATCAATATCTGTTACCCCTACCTGGAACCCACCTGTGAAAGAATTGCCAAAGCCACGCTTGCAAAGTGGATGGATTTTTGCGCACAATGGGACTCGCGAGGACAAAACGTGGTGAAAACCTGCCAGTGGAAAAAGAACAAACCATACACCATGTACAAGGACGCCCCCAAGCTTGACGATCGTCGGAACATGCCCTATCGAGTGCCAGGCCCTTTGAGGTGTTGCCCACCGCCGTACGAAGGGATGGATGTGGCCAAGTTCTACATGCACAATAGTCTGTGTAGGATGTGGAGGGTCAAAAACGACGGAGAGTACCGCTATTACTCCCAGAATTTCCCATTGTACGGGATCTTTGACGAAGAGTACAACTACGAAAACATGAACATCTGGTCTTACGACGATCGGACACACACTTCCGACCATATCACCCTCCTGGATGAAGACGCGAGGGAAGATCTCAAAACGGATTACTTCCCCTTGACCTTGGAAGAACTAATGAACGAGGAGGACGAGTACAAGAAGAAGCAAAAGCAGCACCACCATCTCTCACCATTTTACTGAGAGGAAGCACGAAGAGGGAACCAAGCTGCCCACAATGTGGTACATTCCGTTGCTTACCCACTGGAAGCGTGGATTGAAAACGGTTGTACTTCGAGGCCCACTGACCCGGACACAAGAGTCGAGGCTATGAAGAATCAGATCGACAACAGCGACATCGAGTGGGATATGTGTTTCCCTACAACCATGTTATCAGGCAAGGGATAAGGGAAGGTCTAAGGTACCCTACTGAGCAAAGTTTGACTGAGGAGTACCCGATCCGGACTATCCATATCTCGATTATACTATTTCTCCACCTCCTCTGGCACTTGTGGTTTTCTAAATTGACATTGATATTTCCCTCCTCTTTCTGAACAATCATCCTGAGTCCCTTTTCGAGTGTCGCTGATGGAGCGTCCATTTGTCTCTGTGTATCATCTCTTTCTGTACTTCATGTTCAAGCAAATAAACAAAGAAAAGTAATGTACAATTCTGACCCGATTGTGAGAGAAGCATATCGCTCAGTGTAGGAGGAAGATAAGTGGTGTTCTCGAGTGTAAATAACCTTGGTGACCTGGATCACGGAAATTTGTGAAACTTGAACCATCCTTCATAGGAGTAACTATCTCTCCAGCTTACCTGCCGATTGCCGCCAGCGCCACGCTTATTATTCCGCCACTGTGGAGGATTCCCCACGCCATGCTGTATGAGAATTGGCCCTCGTACTGGGCTGGGTGTGCATGATCCGACCTCACCTCAACATTCCTGTCTGTCACACTTCTTGACATCCGTTGCCTGAGATGTGGATGTATCCAGCTTTTACCCACGCCGCTTTTGGTGATCGTCAAGCGCCAACTTGTGCTCTGCTTGTATAATTTCCTGGCTGCCGGTCGTGCGCGCCAGAAGTGAAAGGCGTTACGCTGGGTTGTTTGGAAAGGGTCTGCCGCCTGCCCGCCTTTGCGGCCTTTGTTTGACACTAGATACCTGAGCATCGACCGAGTTCGGTGGGGAGGAGTCAGAAAGTTCTGTGGTCAAATCAAACCTGGAAGCAGGAGATTATGTCGGATTCCGTCTGAAGCTGAAGTGCCCTTTGAAATCTTGTTTCAAGTGTTTGGCAGAACAAGCCTCGATAAGCAAAGAGAAGGAAGAGGTGCACCCACGCATCGAATACCTGGAACCGACTTGCCTTCATGCAGCGGAAGCCCTTTTCACCCGCCAAGACCCACTCTGTTTACCCCTGCGCCCACGTCGCTTTTTCAACTTTCAAAATGACTCGAATCCATTCCCTTTCTCTTTCCCTTTCGTGTCACTACCACACTTCCATCAAAGTTCCCATACAAACATCACCATGCCTTTGATGTGGATACCTACTTGTCCGAATGCGCGTTGTGCTAGCCATGGCAATATGTTTACAGGAATCACTCTAACAGAGTCGGCTGTATGTCCAAGGTGTCAAGGTCCGCTGCAGTGGGAACAAGTTCCCGCTCCAAGCCAGCCAATAAAATCTGCAGAATTGCAGATGGGGAATAGAAAACGCGCTCTGAGCGATGTCGGCTTCAACGGCGGCGACGATGCCGTGGCACAGTCTGAGAAGACGAACGTTGGTGCCGGCAGAGAAGACTCGGGAGCAGGTGAACGCTACCTAGGTGGCGATCGACGCGGTCGTCCTGGTGGCCGTGGACCAAATCGCGGGTTTAGAACCCGTAGACGCGGAGGTAACTCCCAGTCTTCTGCGGCGGGTGCTGCTTCTGGGATGCCACCACATGGTGGTAATTCTAGACCAGGGCCCATCAATAAGCACGGCAGCCGCCCTGCTTCAACAAATCAGTAGGAAAGCCCCCCTGGTGCGAGCAGTGCTCCCACTAGAAATCCTGGCGCTGGCAACCCTCGTGATCCAATCACAAACCGCCCCAAGGGTGGAAATGGTGTCTTCGGAAGAGAGCTGAAGCATCAACTGGAGCACGAAGAGATTCTCAACGAGAAGCGTCAGCGGTTTGAGGAAGGGGACGAACTCAAGAAATCAGAGTACGATATCAACTTTGAACACTTGTTCCCAGGCTTGGTGAGTGCTGGCAACAGTTCAAAGAGAGGCAACGAGGGCCAATCTGGTGCAAATGTCGCAGATGATGTACAAAATCCCTTTGACATCCTCGATGCGTTGTTTGACACTGGGTTGGAACAACGGGTGATAGTCAGGAAGACGTGTAAATGAATGACAATGCTGACATACTTGCCGATGAGGACGAGAGTGCCGACTTGATGAAGTTGGTTCTCTGCAAAGCCCTCATAGAACCGGCGGGCGCTTCTACGGAAGACGCGAAGGCCACCTAGACAAAGTATGGATTCTCCAGGAGGCGTTCAGCCAATACACTGCGATCGGGAACGATAATTTCCTGGACCAATTGGCTTCTCACCGCACTGAAGCTGAGACTTGCCTTGGGGAAGACTCACCCTTTGGGTGCAGGGACTAGCAAAAACTCCGTGGGCTGAAGCAAAATACTCTCCTTCTGATATGAGAGTCACTTCGGCAACCCGGCTTTGCTCCGACTGACTCTCTACCTCAGAGGCGAAAAGCCGCTACCGCAGAGACGGTGAACTTCAAACAGCAGATAGAATCTCTCATGGTCCGACCGAGTCTGGAAGACATTCCATCATTGCAAGAATCTGTTACAGCTGCAGCGAATATGTGGACACCGATCCAGCAGAGCTGAGCAATCTGAAAGATGAGCACACACCACTTCTGCTGGCCGTTTTGGATTTCTCCAGCGGTCTAGATCAGGAATTGGTGTCTTTCGAAGAAATCCATCAAGACGTCCGTGTAATGCTTGAGGCTATGGATGATATTGTCGCCAACGCACCCTCCAAGGAATCTCTGGACAGCGGGTTGGGTTTTGGCAAACAAAAGATCCAAGCGCGTGTTGATGTTTTAGCGCAACATGTATGTGGCTTGATGACCGCGTTCAAGCGGATATATGTCAAGGTGCGGGTCATCCCTGCCTTGACCAGTTACATGCAGAAAAAGGTTCTCTTGCAGACATGGGAGGCTGCCCATCTCATGCTTATGGAGATTCTTGTCCTTAAGAGCGACCAGCAGGGAGCTCCCAATAGCACAAGATCTGATGTGGAGGACTTCCCATAGGCGAACGTACTTGGAAATACGTTCGACTACCAAGGGCGAGTGACGACTCGACTTTCTTCGCCCTGATCAACGGGGCTGAGACTGCTTCTCTCACAACGACGACTCCTTGAAAGAGGTGTCAGAGTCGCCATGACCTGACGGGGCTGGCGGCAAAATGCTCGAAATGACCTCATTCAAAGAGGCCATTTCGACAACGGTTGGCGATGGAACCTTACCTCTACGTGGTGCCAGCTATCAACTATGTTGCCCAAACAACATAGGCTAAATAGGATCCTTTTCGAAGAGGCGTCTTCACTTGTCATGCTTCCAGACCTTGAAATCCTGATCAAGGAACGAAATGTGTCGTCATTCTGATTATGCACAAGACATCAACATCAAAGCCGATCAACATCAACCATCAGAAGTCCTCCGAAAGCGCAACCGTCTCATCTTCCAGGTCTCAAACAACTACCTGGGCGAGCTGTATTATTATGCGAGAAGAGTTATTACATGTCTCACGTGGCAGCGATCCTACCAAGATATGTCTTCAACGGTGAGTTCTTCTCGTGAAACAGATACGAAGACTTGTGGGGGTGAGATCCTCCTTGAAAATGATTCAGCGGAAGTTTGCATACCACCCTGGCCTCGCTTGGCTTTCCTCGAATTAATCCTGGCTCAATTGATATGGAAAACAGAATATGGAATCCTACATGAAACAGAAATCAAGGTTCCGTTATATATGGCGCCTCTCGGGCGGAGCTGAGATTCCAGGGTACTGCAGTAATTGGTGGTGGACAGCGTACTATTTACCGAAATTTTGAGTGATCAGACTATACACGTCATTGCTAACAGCAGCCAGCTTCCCAACCGTGTGACCTCTGCCTGATGGACCTGGGTCATTCAAGCCCTGTACTGATCGTACAAGATCCACACCGACTTCGAGCACGGTGCCTCCAACATTCTCTTCCTTCGTGATAAGATCGACCATTGTCTGCGCGACTCTTTCAGCAGGCACCCACGCGTCGGTCTCCTCGTCTATCCAAGCCAGCTTATCTAACGTCCATAGGGGGGTCTTGACACAGCCAGGGGCCACAGCATTGACTCGGATGTTCAATTGTGGCTCCAAGTCAGCCAGGGACCGAGTGAAACCAGACATGGCATGTTTGCTTGCCGCGTACATTGGGGTCGGCATTAGTGCAAGCTGTGCCGCTATCGACGACACTATGACCACCACTCCATGGCCAAGCTTTTGGCGGAGGAAATAGTCAATGGCGAGTTGAGTGGCTCGTATGGGATGTGTGACGTTGATCTCCAGTGTCTGATACGAGGACGAAGCAATTGTGTCCTTTCCGGTGTTGAAATGCCAAAAGTTAGACCAGGGCTGGGTACAGTTAGCACAGGCCAGGGACCGAGTTTGACTCGATGATACGCACAGGCTCAAATACACCAGCTCCCGGGACGACAATATCAAGTCTGCCAAACTCCTTTATGGCGAAGTCAAAACTGTTCTGCAATTGATCCCATTTCGTAACATCGGTTTTGATGAACTTGGCCTGCACTGGACTAGAGCTGGACTGTTTGATCACATCCTCAGCTTCTGGCCGCAATGCTAGGTCGACGACAACAACATTGCTGCCCCCTCCGAGCAGTTTCTTCACGAGTTCCAGGCAGATGCCCGATCCTCCCCCTGTAACGAGTGCTGTTTTTCCCTGCAGGTCTAAAGCCATTCTGTCAGCCTGGTTGGTAACCGCGAGTCGGAAGATTTTTCTGGAAGACTCACGAGCCAGGCATTGCATTTATGAGTCGACGGATGAAGCGGAACCCCTCCCACGGCTGGTGCGAATAGACTTCCTTACCCATACGAATATCCAGCAACGGCCTGAAAATTCACGGCTCCCAGCAGCTCAAGACTAGCTCGGGAAACATCAATCTCGTTGATTGGAGCCTATCTCAGCATAATCACTTTGTTCCACGCCACAATCTAGCCAATCCCTCCAGCACCGAGGCAAAGTGACCCGAGCTGTCCGCTCGCCACAGGTGTCAAATGCATAAGTCTAGACGATTTTAGAAAGAGAGTTTAGTGTAGCTAAAAGATGGGCAGGCCGGCAGAACGGAACGTCGAATGAGTGCGGGGTTAATCCAATTATAATTGAGGATACCGGCGCGAAATGTTTTAGTTTAAGCGTGCAGCAAATCTAGGCAGGCAGTTTTTATCCCCGCCTCACCCCGCCAACACTGTCGAAAGGATCAAAGCACCCTCTGAGATATTTTGCTATAGTGCGGAAGAGGGGAGCTCATTTCCGAGGTTGCAAGGTCTTTTATCTCGTGTACAGGCTAAGAATGGTCCGGTTTATGTGATAGAAAGCTCAATGCTCATGTGATTTGGCAGCAATGTACGAACTCCTTTCAACGGAGTGAGCCACCGCCAGCCCCGGTGCCCAGGTTAGTGCAGTGGTGTATCTTTTTATAGACTGTCTGATGACCTGCCCAATTTGGAACCAGCTCCTCGTTGTCTAAGTGCCTCAGGAAGGGCTTCGAGATGTACATCGGTAGTTGGATGCAATAAAAGATCGACGCTGTCGCTTTGATGGGTGAGAACAAGTCTGAAGACCTCTCTCTGCTTTCTAATTCTGGACAAAGCAATTGATGATAGAATCCTTAGCTTTCTTGTCTGACATTCTGGGGTTCCCTCGGGATCGTTTGCCCTGCAAAGTATTATCTCGTTGAGGTTTTCTCGTTGCCTTCATACGGTATTTTGAGGGGTCCAGCCTTACCGGAAGCGGATGGCCGAACTACCACCTTACAGAGCCTTCGCGTAACAGATCCGATTAGGGTGCGGTGGAGGTTATAACATGGTGAGATAACGTTTACAATGAGTCCAGGTCTGTAACAGGGCAAGGGATGCGTATAGTTTGAGTGAGGTGTCCGGATGAGTGGTGCAGCGGAGTGGCCGCAACACACACTCAATCACTGAGCTGCTTGATGGAAGACAGAGAGAAGATATTGATAAGGCTCGAGGGATTAAGGAACAATGAATGCGGCTCTTTCCGTATTGTCTGTTGAGCGGTTGAAACCGCAATCATCGTAGATCTGACCAATGTTTTAATCCATCTTTGCACTCTCTTGCTGAGGCGCAGCAGGCAAAGGGCCTGCGCAAGCTCTGACTCCAATATGTCAGCTCACCGATTGGTGGCATGGCAGCATTCATTGTTAACAGCCCTGTGGAGGCTCGGGCTTTACATATATTGCTCTACGCGTCGGTGAGCTAGGAATCCCGTGGTGTGAATCCATCCATTTCGGCTTAAGTCATTATCAAAATTGCGGAGATTCAGGGGGCGAAAGGCTGGACCCACCACGTCAAGTCATCCAATAACCCCGATACCTCTAATCACCAATGTAAAGCCCGACGCGGACTGAAATATTCTTTGCTCTCAGACATCCCCGATGGTGTGGATTAGAAGCGGGATTCTCTTTGTAGTCCACGTACCGGTGATTATTTCTCCCAGCATGATCCATCTTGGCGATCACGCGAGTAGCAAGTGCTGAGAGGCCTTTAGGCCTCGATAATAACTCGTCGATAATTCGTCTCATATAGCTGAAAGGAGAAAGATATCATAAGCTGTAGAAGTCACACCCTCGACGCTCATCCAGTCGAGTATCTCACAATCATATCTTCAGCTTTTAGACCATCTCTTGCATATTCATTCTGTAGGCCAAATCTCACGATGAATACAGTACGTACCCTGGATCACCTGCTGGGCAAGTCGACCTCCTGACATATCGCAGATAGGATCAGTGGGGTATGTTACATAGTCCGCTCAGCGAGCTGCAACATTTATTACTCCTACTAGTCCCACTGACGTGCTTTCCAGATATGGATGGCTCGCATTGATAGTTGCGGGGACCGGAGCGTTCTATTTTGCCAAACGATCGATCGACGCAGATCGATCCTCAAAGTTCGAATCTCTGAGGGAGAAAAACAACAGATTCGTCTATTCACGAGAGTACAAAGCACCGAGAAGGGGACATCAAATATCAAAGCCAAAAGCAGAAGCAAAATCCACCGAGGAGCTGGAACAGAACGATTGTCCCTAGCACCTCTGGTTGAAAGTGCCTCGCCACCCAAGTACATTTGATAGAATGTAGTTGCGGATAAGTAAGCAGTCTAAACAGTTTATTTCCATTCTCCCAAGACAGACCGCAGGAAGAAGTAGTATGAATCTCCGCATCTGACAAATGCAGCTGTTGGAAGTGTTTGCAATCTTCCATTACTAGGGAGTGGCTGAGGAAATGGTGAAAATGATGAGGAGTCTTCGGATTGTGGAAATCCCGCAGCGAAGTGAGGAGCCACCAATGGTAGATAAGTGGAGTGATAGGAATGGCAACAGTAGCTGTCTCCACTGGTCACCGACGAGTGGGTTGCGATGCGATGTTGGCCGCTCTATAAATCGCCTCTCACTCCCATTAGCCTTTGATTGGCAAATTTACCTTGTTAACATTCAAACAGAATTTCACGCTCGCTCTCTCAAAATGCTCTCAGATATCCTAAAGTCTACTGGAGCGGGCGCAGTCTTTGGGGTCGCTCTGACAATGTCCCGAGTTTACCACCCTTTGGTCATCATCAATCAGATGCGCCTCACTGATTTCCACATGCTTGAGGTATTTCTAACAGCGTGTGCAGCAAGTGCGTAAGTTTATTGTTGCCCATTTGACCAATGTAAGTAAGTAGCTGACACTTCCAGGATTGTCATGCTGTACTTTGAAAAACGCGGCATTGCAAAACGATGCGTTCGATCCAATTCCTCTCTCAACTGGTTCTCCCCCTACGATGCCAACATTATCGGAGGTGCACTACTCGGAACTGGTATGAGTCTCAGTGGGGCTTGTCCAGGGACAGCCATTGTCCAGCTAGCGCAAGGATTTCCATCTAGCGGACCGACAGCACTTGGCCTTCTTTTAGGAGCTTCGCTTTTCCTCAAATATGGAAAGCTTTTGAAGGTTAAAGAGGACCCTACATGCAAAGCCCTTCAGCCTGGTGCCCAAACGATTGCATCACAGTTGCACATTCCCCCCGCAAGTGTCTATATAACATTCGAAGGCCTGTGCTTTGCTACCATTATCCTGTCGAGCCTGATATTGCCCGGAAGGTCATTCAGCACACTGCCAACTGTGGTTGGCGGTCTTCTTCTAGCAGCCGCTCAAGCATTCTCAATCTATTGTACTGGCAATCCAGTGGGTGTCTCGGCTTCATATGAACACGTGGGGCGATACTTGCTACATGGGCTCGGTATCAAGGAGGTGCCTGAACCTGCAACCTTCCCCAGAGCAATCACTTTCGCCCTGGGAATATTCTTGGGCAGCCTCGTATACACCGGAATGTTGCAACCAGAGACAAAGATCAGCGCACCTGTGGTACCTGCCACTGAAGCACTGTTGGGAGGTGTTTTCATGGGGTTTGGCGCAAGACTAGCTGGTGGTTGTACGTCGGGACATGGCCTTAGCGGTCTTGCGGCATTGTCATTCTCAAGTTTGATCACAGTTGCAGCGATTTTTGGGGCGGGCATCTCGACACAGCTGTGTCTCTCACATTTGCACGTGTAAAATATTAGATCTCATAAGAGGCAGTCAGGGATTTCCATACCACTGAGAGTGTATAAAGCCGGGTGCAGCCACGCGGGCACAAAGTGCATCAACCTGGATATCACCAGGGATTCGTCCAAGAATGGCTCTTGTTTCAGGAAAGGGCCGTTAGAGGCCCCAGGGGGTGACGGTAACCAATTCTCATGGAACTACTGTGATAACATGTCCCGAGAAACTGTTGAAATTGAGCTCCACGATTATTCTTCCTTCACACTTTTCTGCAGAGCGAGGTTGGGCTCCATTGAAATGTTCACAAGTCAAATCCTTCACTGGTCGTACGCAAAACCAACGGCAGATCACTCCTTTCCCTCATAGCACTGGACCGGCATATACACGACCTCCACAATGTGTCCATCTGGATCTTCAAAGTTGCGGCCATACATTCCTGAATCCTTCTCAGCCTTTTCTTGCGCTTCGTTTTTTTTGCAGATATCCACCTTCGCTCCGCTTTCCGCTGCCTTCTCCACCATCTCGTCTACTGCTTCTCTGCTCTCCCGGCTAACGCAAAAGAGCATCTGCGTTGTTTTCTTTGCATCGGCCAATGTCCTGTTTGGGGGAAGGAATGTATTGAAGAAATCATGGCAGAGCAACATGATTTTAATCGGAGATTCATGCGGAGTCGCAAAGTGAGTCGGAATGGGGAGGGAGACCATGGCGGACGTAGAGCTGGAAAAGGTGTGATTTTGAACAAAGCCCAGCGACGTGTAAAACGCAATTGATTGGGAAAGGTCGCTGATCGGAAGGTTGAGGAAAGTGGTCTGCACGTACGGCATGGTGGAGAACAGGTTGCGATAATGGTATGGGCTACACCGAGATAATTGGTCCAGGCGGCGGGCGAAGTCTGTCGTTGCTGGGTTGTCGAGACTGATTGCTTCCAGGGCGAGGATGTGCCCTTCCTTATAGTCGCTGACTCGACCCGGGGTCGGCGCAACCTCATACCGCCGTATTCGCTTTACCGTTGGTCCCTTGCCGACTATATCCAACTCTGCCTGAGGAAGCCTGCGCGTTCGTGACACGTGGGCACCTGACCGTCTCAAGGAGGTGCTGATGCCTGCTGCCGAGGCCCTTAATAGTTTTTGGCTAATCAGATTGAGGGATTGGATCTGTAGCGCAAGGCAGAAATGCGCCCCATTGCGGGGGGTGAAAAGGAGGTTGGAATCGGGGATTTCGGGGATGCTCTCCAGACATTAGACCATCCTCGTCAATCTGATGATTATTGTACTTGTTCTTGGTAGAGATTCGGCTTTCTATTGTATCCACTACTGCACCCCATAGCGTCGAAAGCTCGGTAACCCGGGTAGGTATTCATCTGTTTGCGGGATACCTTCATGTGGTGATATGGTGTGATCTGAAGACAAATCCATCACTCCTAGCTCGGCCTTGTCACATAGAACTACGAAGTCCCCGAGTGAATCAGGTGATGAAAGGATGTCTTGATCACCTCGTACTATAGTCATAACACTATTTACAAGAAGTGTGGTGTTGTAAACATGCTCGTCAACGTCTTATTAGTTAGCGATCACCTCCATGCCTCCAGTTGTGCCTTTTGCACGCTAAATCTACGATTTCTACTGTTAAAATCAACAAAAGATCCTTGATGTCACGATGATTTCTGTCGGACAACCTAAGAATATCGTTATTGTTGGAGGTGTCGCCGGTGGCATGTCGTGTGCTACACGCCTTCGTCGTCTAGACGAGAAAGCAAATATTACCGTTCTTGAAAAGGGCAAGTATATCAGCTATGCGAATTGCGGGATTCCGTACGCTTTGGGAAATGTCATTACGGACAAAACCAAATTACATGTCCAGACGAGCGAGAAGATTGCCAGCTGGTTCAATATTGACGTCAGGACGGAAGTTGAACTCGTAGCAATTGACAGGACAAACAAAGTCATACATGTCAAAAGCGTTGGGGCCAATTGTGGCAAAATGCACTGCGACATCGAAAACATCAGCTATGATAAACTTGTCCTGGCCCTCGGAACTGATCCATTCATACCACCCATCAAGGGCGTTGACTCAGAGCATGTCTTCACGCTTCAAACTATTCCGGATCTGGAGAATATTCAATCATACATTGCAGCACACAAGTGCCAGAACGCGACAGTCATAGGAGGGGGATTCATAGGCCTCGAGGCTGCTGAAAACCTACGGTTGTTGGGCCTGAATGTTACGATCATGGAATACCTACCTCATATCTTCCCACCCGTTGACCGCGACATGGCCCATCCACTACAAAAAGAATTGGAGCGTCACGGGGTTCGCCTCATCTTAAATGCTCGCATCACTGAAATTACAGCCACGGGGTCCGACAAGCCTAGCCAGATATTACTCACTGGGGCCGACCCCGTCACGGCAGATCTCATCATAATGAGTGTGGGAGCGCGCCCGCGAACAGCAATTGTCGAACAGGCGGGCATACAGACAGGAAAATCAGGTGTCATTGTGAATGGCGCCATGCAAACAAGCGACCCTGACATCTATGCAGTGGGGGACATGATCGAAACTCCCCATTTAGTCTCTGGACTTCCGACACGAATCGCCCTTGCGGGCCCTGCAAACCGTCAGGGGCGGCTCGCGGCTGACCACATATGCGGGATGAACGTCAATTATCGCGGCAATGTGGGAACGGCAGTTTGCAAGATATTTGATTTGACTGTCGGTATCGTCGGGCTGTCAGTCGATGCCTTAAGATCCATAGGGCAAGGTGACAAAACAAGGCATCTGACCATCCATCCTTCCCAACACGCTGGATATTATCCAGGGGCTGAGCCCATGGTGTTGAAGGTCGCTTTCGAGGCCGACTCGGGCCGTTTGCTTGGGGCCCAAATCATCGGAAAAGAAGGGATTGACAAAAGAACCGATGTACTCGCCATGGCAATCCGTGCTGGGATGAGCATCGAAGACCTGGAACATGTTGAGCTTGGGTATGCTCCGCCATACGGAGCTGCCAAGGATCCAGTCAACATGGCAGGCTTTGTGGGTGGCAACATACTGAGGGGCATCATGCAACCAGTCTATGCTGAAGACCTCGTCAAGGAAGTCTGTCTCGAAGACTGTGTCGGCCACCGAGAAAGACACCTGCCCAAAAAGTACCAGGTTGTCGATGTCCGCACCCCGGAGGAATTCTACAAGGGCCATTTGATTGGTGCTGTCAACATCCCGCTCGATACTCTTCGAAGATCATTGCTTCTGTTCGATAGAAGCAAGACAATATTGGTTTATTGCCAGGTAGGATACCGTGGATATCTGGCATATCGCATCTTGAAACAAAATGGGTTTGAAGCGGTGAATATGGACGGTGGATTCAAAGCTGTCTGCGTGGGTGGATACGATTTGCTGATCGACCAGGAGAAATAAATAACAGTGTGCTTTGGGGTTGCTGCGATATATCCATCTATAGTTACACCATCTCTTTTAACTGTGAAACTTCATGATGCATCTCAGAATAGCGGGGTACGACTATATTGGTGTACCTCTAAGTGTGAGCTGCATCGAGGAGAATAACTCCGGTTGGAGCCTCAGCTGCCCGCCACAACTTGCCTCATAAGACATGCGTGAGAAGTCAGGTGCCGGAAAAAGAAGACTGCCGAAAGTGGACAGTTTGAATGTATCGGTGCTAGACTTAAGACGGACGAAGGAAGAAAAAGAAGAAGCAGCATAGTCAAAGGTCCGTTTCAAACCCACTGGTACAACTCAGGCCTGGTCTGACAGGTACCATGTTTTCAGATGATAGAGACCCGGAATATACATTTATCAGTGTAGTATCTAATTGACAATCTGCCCTTGAGGGATGTACTTCCACTCTGATATATATGCAGGTGTACCAGGTGAGGAAGCGGTAATGTTTCGCCCGTTGGTCGTGGCATATGCCCCAAGTAATGTCCCTAGGGTCATAATGTCAGTCAGCCTTGTGATGATGGAATCAGTCAATGGACGAAGAGCTCCTGCCTACCCGTAAATCCGAAACTGACATCCGCGCCGGGCGCATATCCGATCGTGATTACATCTGACATCGCATCGATCGGACCGGCTGAGAAGGCAAAGTGTGTCAGGTTAAAGCCTCTGATCTCGAGATAAAGCTTCAATGTGCTCACCGCTGAATCCGATAGCGAGGTGTAATTTGGAAACGATGAATGAACAGGGACAAGCAGTGGCGGCGGGACGGCAAGATAGGATGTAGCAGAGAATCGGAAGTACGGCGCCAAGGGGGGTGGTGAGGATGACGAGCTTGTGTTCGTTAACAGGACGATACCGAGATCGATATGGTGGTTCTGGAGGTGGTCAGAGCCGTTTCCGGAAGCGCAACACGGCCACATGTAGGACCCTACCTGGGTAAGGAAAACAGTGATGCCAGCCTCGTCTCCCTCGGACTCTGGGGAGAACTCCATGTTCACACTGAAGGTAAACAGCGTGTCCGTCTGGCGACGACCGACAAATGTCTGGCCTTCCGGTCCCGCATAGTTGCCATCATAGCCTGTAAGATTGAGCTTCGAAGGGCTTAGTTGGAGGGTGTTCGGGCGTCCTGGTGGTGATATAGTATAGGAGTTATTGATAGGGATGCGCCAGTGGAGGAGATGGATCGGCATACTAGAGTCGGGGGGAAAGGTAAGACGGTCCGCGGCATCTGCAAACGGCCTGATACATGGGAATCAGCAAGCGGGCAAAGTCTCATGTCCCACAAAACATACCCTTCTCCAGAGATGTTGCTGTTTCTGCTGGACATCTGCCATCCACCCATTTCTCCCCGAATGGGCCGCAAAATGGGCCATTCCCCATCATTCCATGTCACGGGGAACAAAACAGTCTCTCGACCCATTGGGTAAGTGGTGTAGTTTGGCCCGGATCGAGTCGACAGGCACGCTCCCCACCAATTACCAACAGAATCCCGGAACAAGTCAGCATGTCCGACCGTCTGAAAATATCGAGTCGTGTTTGCGTTTGTGATGATGGGATTGGCCGGATTAGGACTATACAATCCATCGATTGTCTTGGAGCGGGCGATAGTTTCCAGATGGCTGAGCCCCGTGCCTCCTTCGGCAATCATTAAATAGTACCAACCATCCTTGAAGTATAAATGAGGTCCTTCTGGCGCGAGGCCCCCAGTGCCATTCCAAACATAGCGAACATCGGTTCCCACCTCTCCGTTTGCAAGATTGATAGTTGTCAGAGTTATTCCTGGCGTAACCTGCCAGGGATGTGAGCCGGTAACAATGACTGTACTGTTTTCCGTCCAGACTGGGCACGTGTCATACCCGGTGAAATTGAAATGGATGGGATTTGACCATGAAGAGGAATTGAAAGGATCAGTGGAGCGAAAAATCATATTATCCCATCGCGAAAAGTTGGTCTGCGCTGCATCGTCGAATACTAATGTCGTCATAACAAAGAATGTCCCTTCGTGGTAGCGGATTGAAGAAGCCCAAATGCCACTCGTTGATTTGTTGGTGATGGCTAGGGTCGGCAGCTGGTCTGGTCGATTGAGAGCATTGCTAATGAGTCTCCAACTGACCAGATCCTTGGAAGCATGGATGGGAATGCCTGGGAAGACGCTGAAGCTGCTCGATGCACAGAAGAATGTGTCATCCCATTCACGGACAAAGATGCAGCTTGGATCTGGATAGAAACCGGGAAGAATAGGGTTGGAATACGTAGAGTTCAGCGCAGTGATAAACGGGATGAGAATAGCGACGCTCAAAACCGAGAAGAAAATCCTGGACAGCATCTTACCAACTCTCCATCAACCTCCAGCTTCCAGTAGACCTTGAGGCTTCCACCCATCGATATATTCTGTACTACTTCTAGAGCACGCGGAAGCCCTCCCTGTGAAAGGAATTCTTGGGCTTTGCCCGCCAACCCGCAATCACCGGCTAAAATGGAAGCGGGAGATCGACAGGCTCTGAAAAAGGACAATATGTTCCACGTCATGACTTGCCGGCTAAAAAGGTTCGAGTTCTCCTCATATTCGGTACATCTGCTTCCGAATCCCACTTTCAGTCCTGCTTGTATGGTATCCGGCGAGCCGGGAATTGTTACTTGAGAAGAAGCGATCAGAGAGGGAAGAGAGAAGCGACGGGAGGAGCAAACTGGTGGACTGAGGGGACAGGAGTGGGAAAAGCATCTGAGCTCTCGACTAAAATAAATGCAAAATAAATATCATTGCCGCATTGTATTCGTGACCATCCAATTTCTTCAAGAAGATTAAGTCGTCCACAATGCCTAACTAGTATGGCCTGATAATATGATATTGAACCTATCAATGGAGCAAGCTGGTGCCTCTATCAGATTACGATCAGAAGAACATCGGCATGAATCCCTCTGCTCGCACATTCCAGTCGTTGGGGAACTTCATTCCCACGTCATCCTTCCAGCCGCCGGCCATCATTGCCACAGCCATCAGCAACGATGTACTTCCTGGGAAGTAGGGAGTTGGAACCCTCGATCCGCCAACCGGCATCCCTACGTCGTCAAACTGGAAGTTGGGATGGACAAGGAAGTCAATAGCCCGATCAAAGTCGCCCAGATGGGCCGCTGTCATCGCAACCATTGGGAAATCCCAGCCAAAAGAATCCGACCAGTTCCAAGTCTCGTAGATCTTGTTCATGGTATTGTTCATAATTGTTAAGTTGAAGTCGGAGGGAGGCGAAATGAATCCATAGACCATAGCCATACTGGGGTGATCCGATGTCAGATTTGAGTTGTTCCACATGTCGGCCACGCCAGAGTATATCACATAAGTATCATCCTCCACGGGCATGGGTGGAAGGCTCTTTGCAACAGAAGTCCAAGCGTCCGGGACAGTCTTGTGTTGACGGATTTTCCATTCTGTCGCAATGGATAGTCCCCACTGCCAATAGGCAAGTTCAAACGTAGGATTGAAAGTTGAATTCGGGTTTGTATTCTCAGACACTGGATAGATGGGCGGGCCTAGTTGTAAAACATTCAACGACTGGTTATGGAAAGCATAGGATGCCATGAAATCCGCTGATGCTGTAAGCACTTCATCCCACTTTTGAAGTGTGGCATTGCTCGGAGATCTCTGATATTCTGCTTCTGCGAAGTATAAGGGATGCGGTTGTTGCCAGATTAGCAGAGAATTAATCTCTCCAGGAGCTGACCGACCAGATGGGTCTGACATTTTCCCCCACCGAGCGCCCTTGTAGCCCATATCTCCGGCTCTTTGATATGACGTGGGTAGAAATCGTCTGTACACGGAGTCGTGCCGCTCCAGAAGATCTTGCTTCCCCCAAAGGCCAAAGTGGAGGGAATGCCAAATCACCATCTCCATGTGGAATTTGCCGTACCAACCATTATTTGTCAGACCTGACTCTTGTGGGGGATCTCTGCCAGCTTCATTGATTGTCACAAGGTACTGGGACAATATGATGCGGCGCTGGAGTTCTTTGGCTTTGGGGTGGCGGTCTGTTGGGAGGGAAATAAAGGCGCCGCGTTCCCAATACGAGTTCCACCAGGCACGAGAAGAATTGAATATGGTCGTAGCCGAAGAGTTCGTGGTTTCTGGAGAGAGGCCAAATCTCGCCGCGAACGACAGCTGATCTCCGAATTTCGGCGAGAGTAAATATCGATGGGTTGACGGTTCTGGACCTGTGATGGTAGCGTTGCCTTGCCAGTCAAGTGAGGTGAAGTATGTAGTTGAATCCAGATCATGCCGAATAGTTGCAGCTTGCTTCTCGGCCTGCAACTTTGTTGTATGATTCGTGGTCGCATTGAAGATTCCAACAAACGGTGCATCGAACTTGTTTTGTCCGCTAGCATATGGGTAATCGAGAAACACCCCAAGCCCGCCGCTTTCTATCAAGTCCGAGTTGATCCGGACACCAACAGTGTCATTTTCTGGATCCACAGCTGTCTGAACCGTGACTTTCGATGCATTCAAGGTGAATTCCGAATGAAGGATACCCGAATACAGGTCCAAGTACTGAACTTTGTCTTTCAAGTCTCCCTCAGACACATCTTGCCCCCCAAAGTGCAAACCGATCCGGACCAGGTTAATTCTATGAGGGTTCGCGATGAGCCACTGTGAGATGTCGACCTCTGCCGGGTTTGGCTGATCATATGTGACCAAGCGACCATGAGTCCACCATTGTAAACCAGTAAAGTCAGAAACTGAAGTCTGTCCTGTCGTCGTAGGAAGGGAGGAATTGTGCCATCCCCAACTGGAAAGCGTGTTAAACGGTAAGAATGTTTGGAGGCCAGTCACATCCGCCGAGAAGACAAAGTTGCCGTTGCCAACTTGCATTGGCGTTTGTGCACTGGCATTGCGCCTTGGATTAAATTGAGCTACCACTGCTTCCCGCTCAATGCTGACGCAACTAGCTAGCAGAGGGAGCGACAGCAGAAGAAAGACGAAGTTGGAAGTGGACTGGCCTTGAATGCTTCCCATCTTCATGCAGGCCGTTCTAGGGTCT